AAAACTAATTCTTCAGAGTAAAACTGTCACTGTAAACTTCTGGAAGGTGTAGTATTTTATATGTAATTGTATGCTAATACATTTGAACCTAATACAAATGTGAAATGCTTTGAATAAAGTATACCTCAGTTAACTGGGCTGCCTTTTTTGTTGTTGTTTTCTGAAAGAGTTACAGAAACAGGGAGAGACAGAGCTTTTATCCGCTTCACCCCACTCCACCTCTCCAAAGTGGCCACAACAGCCAGGGCTGAGCCAGGAGCTTCATCCAGGTCTCGATGTGGGTGCAGGAGCCCACGCACTTGGGCCATCCCCTGCTGCTTTCCCAGGCATGTACATTATCAGAGAGCTGGATTGGCAGTGGGGCAGCTAGGACTCAACAGTGGAGTCCATATTTAAATTTTTGTTTTTAATTTTCATTTTATTTGAAAGGCTGAGAAAGAGCAACAGGCGCGTCCTCCATATGCTGGTTACTCCCCAGATGCCCACAACAGCCAGGGCTGGGCCAGACCAAAGCCAAGACCCAAGTACTTGTGTGATGCTGTGGATGCGTGTTAACAGGAAGCTGGACTGGCTGAGAAGCAGAATCAGGATTCACACACAGGGACCGCAGTACAGAATGTGGGCGTCCCAAGGGGCAGTCAGCCCCTGCACCAAATGCTTGCCCTGCTCTTATAATGTCATTTATTTTTTTAAAACTTTATTTGGGAAAGGGAGAGGCAGAGAGAAATCTCATTCTTCCATCTTCTGGCTTATTCCCCTAGATGAGCCAGGCCGAAGCCATGAAACAAGGAACTCCACCTGTGTCTCCCATGTGGGTGGCCTGGGCACATTAGCAGGAAGCTGGATCAGAGACAGCAGGAACCAGTGGTCCGATATGGGATGCCAGCGTTGTAAGCAGCAGTGTAACCCACAGTGCAACACCTGTGTTTCAGTGTTAGGATTTTTTTTTTTTAGGAAGTCTTTTTTTTTTTTACAGGCAGAGTGGACAGAGAGACAGAGAAAGGTCTTCCTTTTTGCCATTGGTTCACCCTCCAATGGCCGCCACAGTGATCCAAAGGCAGGAGCCAGGTGCTTCTCCTGGTCTCCCATGGGGTGCAGGGCCCAAGCACCTGGGCCATCCTCCACTGCACTCCCTGGCCACAGCAGAGAGCTGGCCTGGAAGAGGAGCAACTGGGACAGAATCCGGCACCCCGACCGGGACTAGAACCCAGTGTGCCGGCGCCGCTAGGCGGAGGATTAGCCTATTGAGCCACGGTGCCGGCCCTCAGTGTTAGGATTTTAAAGTACGTGGTGACCTCTGGTGTGGCCAGAATTCCCTTCTTAAGTGTCTTAAGTTTATATGAGGCTTATGGGGAACCCGTGAAGTCACTGCTTACCTGTCTTAAGGACGAGCAGGTGTTGAGGTCCCTGAGGGACGAGGTTGGTAACATTCCCATGTCATGGCATGTGATAAGTTGACCCCTGAGTGACTGCGAGTCCATCATGGGTGTCGTGTGACGTCAGCTTCGCGTTTTAGGTCTCTGTGGGTTGCTGTCTGCACAGAGGGTCCTGGGTCTCTTCATCCATGTTTCTGAGTGCTCACCAAAGCCACCATCTGATGACTTGTCTGCCCCTTCCGGGCTCCCACAGCCACTTGAGCAGAGCGAGCTCTCAGGACCGGCTCTCGCTCCCGCCTGTGCTCAGGCTCAGTGACTGTGAGAAGCAGCTCCCGTGGGTTTTGTGGCTGCCGTGTGTCGCATCCTCCTGTCCAGCACCACACAAGAAAATGGGCTTTCAGAGGGGAGTCTGCAGCCAGAATCCTGTGAGTCACGTGGTTAGGACTGAAACAATCCATTTTGATGTCAGTTAAAATCCCAAGCAGCAGTCAAATTGGAATTGAAGAATATGTTTTTTAAAAAACCCAAAAACCCTTTCCCATTCTACACGTGCTTTGGTTTCTGGACACATTACACCATAAGGATATTTTCTTCTGTTTAATCAAATCCCCGGTGCCTGGCACAATCAGCAAGTTCATGGTTCCAGTAAATTACTGAGCAAGCTTTATATTGCAAATTGTTCTTCCTGGTACAATTTATTTCTCAGACTTGAAATGTGTGTACCTGCACACTTTTCTCGTCTTTAAACACAATTTTCACTGACTATTTGTCTTTTTGACAAACCAATATTTGTAGAAATTCTCAACATTCCTGAAGTACGGTGGGACTAGTAGCTGCGGGGGGCACGAAATCACGGTAATTTATCGCTTTGCTGTTGTACAATCCTGTGAGGGAGTGCTTCCATTAGAAATGTATCCTGCTTTCAGACGTGGGGGCTTTACAAAGCATGCATTATGCAGGCTTCTTGCAAATAAAAGAAATGTCTGCATTAGCAAATCCAAAATAGGCACTTCTCTTTTTTCCCTTTTTTGCATGAAGAAAACATCATCAGGTCCGGGTAGCGTGAAAGCATTGAATCGGCCCCAGATATGCTGCCCCCACGCGTCTGTGCGGACAACGATTGGCTGTTGAGATGCATCCTGGAGTTCTGCAAGCCAGTGCCTTCCCCGCTCTGGCCCCATGGGGGTAGGCGCAGGGGTGCAGTTGCTGAAAGTCTCGGCATTATATCTTTGTTTTCTGCTTGCTCCCCCAGGAAGGGACCTTTCCTAGTGCCCTGCCGCCCTCCCAGTTAGAACAGAGCCTGGCACCGGGCGGCACCCATCAGGCATCCTTGAAGGAGTTGATGGGCACATGGCTGCCTTTCCCCTTGTCTGGGCTGCGTGTGTGGTGTGTGTGCATGCTCGCTTCCATAAGGGATTCAGAGATGCCACTTCCTAGTCATTCATCTGTAGCTCAGAACAGGACGCTGGGGATTGAAGCCCAAAGAGTTCAAACCCCGAGAGCTCCTGGCAGGTGTTTGGCCTAATGGTTAAGACAACTGTGGCCCATATCAGAGTGCCTGGGTCCCAGCTTCCTGCCCGTGTGCACCCTAGCAGGCAGCAGGTGATGGCTCAAGTGCTTGGGTCCCTGCCACCCAGATGAGTTCCAGGTTCCCAGCTTCAGCTGTGGACATTTGGTGTGTGGATGAGAACTGACGCTATCTCTACCTCTCTCTTAATCTCTCTGTGTGCCTGTCAAACTAAATTTTAAAAATTTAGAAAAAAAAAATCCCTAAGGGTCCAGATGAGAACATTTCCAAGTTCATTGTCGGGAAGAAAAGAAGGAGGCCTCTTGCATAGGTGAGGTCAGACAGCGTCAGGCTGAGCCCCAGCACGGGGCAAATTTTCTGTGCACTAGTGAGAGAATGAAGAGAGCTTTCTTTTTAGCATAGGAGAGTGGAGCTTTTCAGCAATTTGGGAAGTGAGAGTACTTCGGATTTTACATAAAGACAGTCATATACAAGATACATGGCAGTTCTATTCCAGTGAATGAGCTGGTATGTGCCTAAAAATCTCACCCCAGGCATAAACACTGTTGTAATCGTTACCTGCTAACCCCAGAGGCACGGCAAGAAATGGCCTGAAATCCACCCACTGCCCCTGCTGGAGCTGCCTCACGACAGGCCATGAGAGGTGGACACGCAAGAGCGCGGGCCACCTCTTCATTGAGAGCCCATCCGTTTATCAAATACAGATGACAGTTGAATTGAGATTCGGACGACAGGTGAGCTGAGATTTGGATCAGCTGAGTTCAGGCTGTTTGCGAGTAAGAAAGATGCCTTGTCTCAGGCACGAGCATTGGTTCTCTTTTCCCAACAAGTGCAGGCCAACCAGTTAAATGCCTCATGACCTGCGCCCTGCAAACTTCGTGGGAGCTGATGGGCGCGTCAGACCCAAGGAAAGTGGTTCCAGAAGGCTCCCTCAGCTCTTCTGCCAAGGGGCTAATTTGCATTTCGGCAGGACCCCCTGTCTGTGAACACCCAAGTTTGACATAGGCTTAAATATCTCTGCTGCTAGCTGTTTCATCTGGGATCAAGACAAGAATTGAAGGAAAGTGGGAGAGAAGCGAAACGAAACAAATGTGAGTTCTACCTCTGTGGACAGGCTTAACCCGGGGCAAGATTACGTGATCTTTACAAGAACGAGAGCAGTTCAAAGAAACCACACCAGGAAATGCTGCAGTCGATACACGGACTTCTTTTTGGCTTAATTAAAATTCCCCCTTCAATAGCGAAATTTGGAATTGAGGGGCTTAACGGTGCAAATTTCCACCTCTACCTTTTGATCAAGCCCCGGGGAAGTCCAGCAGGCTGCCTGTTTTGGTAAATACTACTTTATTGGCACAAGGACGCCCATCCATAGCTTACTCATCTGAGTGAAATAATCACGACAGAGACTGTATGGCCCGGAAAACTGAAAGCCATTGCCGTCTGATCCTTAATAGCAACCCCTGCTCTTGGTTCTGACAAATAAGCTCATCTCTACCCCTTTGCAAAGCAGGGCAGGGCTGCTGCTCTTCCCTGGCCCCCCACGTCTCCCATGCCCCGTGAGCATTTTAAACAGCAGACCCCGTGAACATCCGAATGCCCAGGGTTGGATCCCCACCTCCAGTGTGGGCCACTCTGATTCAGTGGGGTGTGTGTGTTGGGGGGGTGGAAGGCTGTCCACCTAGCTGCTCCCAGGGGAGGCCCTTGCTGCAGGGGTGCCCGGGAGTCCTGGGGAGAACATTTCCGTTCGCCTCCCAAGCCCTGGACTTTCCACTGCTTCAGGTTGCAGACCCAAGTTGTTGTTGGGAACAACTGCTGAGGGTCAGATCTCTTCTGCCACACTCAACACGGGGCATGAAGCATGTGCCCTGGGCCTGCACCGCGCTAGCCCCTGGCCGCTGTTGAAGTTCAAGGTCGCTCCTGGGACCCAGTCAGGGCCAGTGAGATGCGCTGAGGTCGACTGAATTGACGCAGCCTCTATCAACCTGTTGGTCTCGTGGAGTCTTCCTGGGCCTGCAGGCCTGGTGCTGCCTCCAGTGTCGCCTGCTGCCCCTGACGCATACTCGGCGAGTAGCGCGATCTCAGCAAACACGTTTCCTTTTAAAGATTTATTTATTTGAAAGGCAGAGTTACAGAGATGGAGAGAGAGACAGAGAACTCTTTCATCTGCTGGTCCATTCCCCAAACAACCACAATGGCCAGGGCTGAGCCAGGCCGAAGTCAGGAGATTGGAGCTCCCATCTGGGTCTCCCACATGGGTGTCAGGGGCCCAAGCATCTGGGCCATTTTCTGTTGCTTTCCCAGGCACATCAGCAGGAAGCTGGATTGGAAGTGGAGCAGCTGGGACTGAAACCGGTGCTCATTTGGATGCCAGCATCGCAGGCAGTGGCTTAGCCCATTGTTCCATGACACCAGCCCCTAACCTTTTTAAAAACTTATCTATTAGCAAACGAGTTTGTACCTCGGTTTCATCACCTATAAAATGGAACACTGTTTGCTTCATAGGGCTATTTTGATAGCAATTGTGGCATCCATGTTCCACGTTCAGCACTGCACCCACCATGGCGTAGATGCGTGGTAGATTTTTTCATTGGTTACTTTGACTTCTGGAGCCCAAGGTCCCACACAAAGAGAAGGCTTGGCAGCTTTCTGGTGTGTTTTATGTCGCTTTGTGTATGGAGAGTGGCTCAGCACAGAGTCTGGGGACCCTGGAAGGCAGACATGTTGCTAGCTATTTTATTATTGTTCCGTCTGGAGTCCAACAAACTTCTACAGAGCCTACCAGCTCAATTCAGACCTAATTTTCTCCCGTCCTATATTGAGCTGTCTATATAAAGACATCGTCAAAAGGAAATGAATTAGCGATAGTGTACGTGCCACCGAGTACAGGTTTTCTCGCTCCCAGAAATCACAGGCTCCGGCCATGAGCAGATAGCCCTCTCAACTGTCTTTATTCTACTGCCATCCTGTGGCCGACCTGTACCACTGCAGCCCCGGGGCCGGATGGAGAAGAGCATCCCGGGCCATCGGCTCCCCGGGAAGGGGCGCTTTGCGGGGAAGGGAGTGCGGTGGCGGGGTCTGCCGCCAGCCAGGGATCCTGCCGCGAATCACCAGTCCAGCCTCGATTTCTGCTTGATGAACCGTAAGGACACATAGTAGAGGAGCAGAAAGCCACCGCTGATGCCGATGAGGATGAGGTAGATGGCGTACAACGGGTGCGAGTTCAGGTCCATGGAACTGACGATCTGGGGACACACATGAGCAGGCCGCGCATTAAGACGCTGCTGGACCGGCTGTGGGCTCGCGCACACGCCGGGCCTCGGCTACTTACTACATCTCCTGGGATGGACAAGGTCAGGTTGCCGACCTGCGTGTTGTACTGGCGCCTGTTAAACTGGATCTGCATCAGCCCCTCGAAACACCACCGCAGGAAAGACACCTTGGAAATCCACGCCGGCACTGAGGACGACGAGAGCCCGTTAGTGCCCCCGGCCTTGGAACTCACTCCTGTCTCTGGTGGGTAGCACCACTGGCCAGAGGCTGTGAGGGCCCTGGTCCCACGGAAGCAAGGCACACCCAGAGATGGCTGAGGCCCTGGGAGGTTTCTGACAAAGCAGTGATTGAATCTGCACCCTAGGAAGCTCACTCTGCAAGCCTGAGAGCTCTGGACCAGCGGAGACCAGACGGTGCAGTGGCCCAGGGCCCAGTGGCGGGGCCAGGGCTGGGCTGGAGAGCCGAGGGGACATTTCACAATCGACCCGGCCCTCGGGAGACTGCAGAGAGGAGAGGGGGTCAGGTGGCCTGCGAGGAGCAGCCATGCGTCTCCTCGGATGGACGAGTGCCCTGCACGGGCTGCCGGGCGGGCCAAGCCCCGGCTTCCAGAACTGCAGCCCCGGGCTGACCGCTATGCCATTCCCTTTCTGCATGTGGGCGGCTTCTTCAAAGGCCTGGCCAGGTCTCACCTGCCCACAGGTTGTCCAGGCTTATCATGAAGCCGCCAGTGAGGTAGAAGGAGTTGTAGAGGGCGTTACAGAAGAAGGAGGACATGTGGAAGGTGGGCAGCAGGGCGGCGGCAGCCATGGCCATGGCCCTGCAGCAGAAAACCACCAGCCACACCAGCAGGAAGTGCAGCAGGAAGGGCAGCGGGCCCGGCCGCAGGTTGGCCAGCCAGTAGGTGGGCATCCCGTAGATGACAATGTAGGCGCAGTGCTCCGGCAGCTCCCCGAGGACCTGCAAAGGATGCCCTGACTAGCACGTGACTCAGGCTCCTTCCTGTGCCCTTGTTTTAGGCTTCAAGGTCGCGCCCCTCACCTTGCAAAGGTGCCAGCCCCTCCCCCTCCAGGCCGCCTCAGGGGTACCCTGGTTGCTGCTGCGCCACACCCAGAAGCCGAAACTCACTCCAGGGAGACGGTGGATGCGTCTCTGCTCTCCTAACACCTGCTCTCCTCATGCCCTGCCCTGTGGCTGTGTGGCCTTGAGAGGGAGCCACATACAGCTGCTCACACCTGCCTGGCGTACTCTGGGGCCACGGAGTCTGCCAGGTGTTTCCCACCTCCTTTTTAGCACGCCTGGCCCACAGTCCTGGCATTCTGGATCTGACAACCCCTTGGGAACAAGGCACCTGCTGGCACAGATGTTGCCCACCCCGTGCGGCCTCTCCCCCTACCCCCAGCCTGGGGGCCTTCTCACCCTCAGCCCTGACCCTTCACCTTGGCAAAGAAATAGGGAGCCGCCGTGTACAGCCCATCTTCCAGTTCGTAGTAGAGCATGGCTCTCTCCGAGTGGCCTGTGAAGGCGGGGCAGGGAGGAGAGAATGAGGGAGGGAAAGGGATCTGCAGTGTTTCTGATTCTGGGTCTCTCCTAACACAATTGAAAGTAGTTACATGGGGCCCGCACTCTGGTGTAGTAGGTTCAGGTTCTGCCTGAGGCGCCAGCATCCCATATGGGCCCTGGTTTGTGTCCTGGCTGCTCCACTTCCCATCCAGCAGAGTGCTTGTGGCCTGGGAAAGCAGTGGAACATGGCCCAAGTGCTTGGGTCCCTGCACCCAGGTGGGAGACCTGGCAAAAGCTCCTGGCTCCTGTCTTGGGCCTGGGCCAACTCTGGCTGTTGAGGCCATTTGAGGAGTGAACCACCAGGAGGAAGATATCTCTCTATCTCTCTCTCTGTAAATCTGCCTGTCAAATAAATAAATAAATCTTTTTAAAAGAAAAGAAAAAAGTAGCTATATGGCTCAAGTTTCTTGTGATTTTTAAAAATGGGCACAGTCAAGCCATCCTAACTGAGGTGTTTGGTGAGGGTGTACAAGACTGGCTGTGCACTGCTGGCAGGTCTAAATCCTGTTGGGACAGGATTGGAATTTGCTTTCATTTGCATATTCATATTCATGTGAGTACTTTAAAAAATATTGTCTTAAAATTATTCTTTGAAAAGCAGAGTGACAAAAAGAGAGAGAGAGAATACTCATATCTGTTGGTTCACTCGCCGAATGCCCCCAACAGCCGGAGCTGGGCCAGGCTGAAGCCAGGAGCCTCGATTCCACCTGGGTCTCCCTTGTGGATGGCAGGGGCCCAAGAACCTGAGCTGTCTCCTGCTGCCTCCCAGGGTGCACGTTAGAAAGAAGCTGGAATTGAGGGCAGAGCTGAGATGTGAACCCAGGCACTCCAGTATAGGATGGGTGTCCCAAGTGGTGTCTTAGATCATGCATCAAATTCCTGCTCCCCAATGACTGTCTTTTATTTCACAATCGCTATGCAATTCTCTGGCAAGCCCATTTTCCCCAGGAGCTCAGAGGAAGACAGAGGCCAGCCGTGGACCAGCTTAGAGGGCGGTAGCTGCAGCCTGGGCCGGCCGCTGCACATTCCGGTCACAAGAACAGGTGGCACTCACATTTGGAGGTGACATCCAGAATCACGTTGAAAGGAATGAGAGCTCCGATCATGAACAAGAGGGCTGTGGTGTCCATCAAGGGGAGCTGGATGTCTCCGTGGCCGTAGTAGAGGAACCCGATGACGAGGGACATCAGGCAGGCCTCTGCCCCGTGGATGAGGAGGGTGGGCAGGTCTCGGAAGTCATTGGAAATCTGACGGCTTAAAAACAAGAGAAAATGGGGCCGGCGCTGTGGCACGGCGGGATGAAGCCCCAACCTGCAACACCGGCATCCCATGTGGGTGCCAGTTTGGGTTCCAGCTCTTCTGATCCAGCTCTCTGCTGTGGCCTGGGAAAGCAGTAGAAGATGGCCCAAGTCCTTGGGCCCCTGCACCCGCCTGGAAGAGGCTCCTGGCTCCTGGCTCCTGGCTTCAGATCAGCTCAGCTCTGGCCATTGCAATCATTTGGGGAGTGAACCAGCGGAATGAAAGACCTCTTTCTCTCTCTGGCTCTACCTCTCTCTGTAACTCTTTCAAATAAATAAAATAAATCTTAAAAACAAAAACCAAGAGAAAGGGAGCAGGCGTGGTGCAGTAAGTTAAGCTGCCACTTAACACGCCGCATTCCACACCAGAGTGCCGGTGCTGCTCATGGCTGCTCTGCTTCCCGCTCAGCTTCCTACCAACGTGCCTGGAAGGGCAGCAGATGAGCCAAGTGCTTGAGTCCCTGCTGTCCATGTAGGGGACCTGGATGGAGTTCTGGGCTCCTGCCTTCTACCTGGGCCAGATCTGGCCATTGTGGCCATTTGGGGAGGGAATCAACAGAAGGAAGATGTCTCAGTCTCTCCTTCTCTCTCTCCTTGTCACTCTGGCTTTCAAATAAATAATTAAATAAATCTTTAAAAGAAAAACAAAAGAAAGAGGTGTCAACCACACCCCCTCACCCTATGACCTTGGGGGCTGTCCTTTAATCTCTGTCAGTCTCATTTTTCTCATCTGTGAAATGGGGATAGTAACACATCTCACCGAGTTGCTACGAGGATGTCAGGAGACACTAAGAAAATTGTCCGCAGGCAGTGGGCACTCAGATACGTGATTATGACTCCGCCTCCCAATCAGCAGCCTGACAACCTTCCTTGAAGAAATCTCGCTGAGGTGGGGCGCATTAAAGCAAAACAATGCAGGGCAGAGCGGTCTGTGGCCCGTGGCCCCTGCCCTGGATCAGAACGTGAGCACCCGGGAAACACTCACCACGCGGAGGGACTTGCTTTCCCTCTGGGGCTGGTGTGGAGGGGCCTTGCCCTTCCCACCTGGGGGACTCGGGGACCGCTGAATTTCTCACAGTGACCCCCGCTCTTTCTGTGGTCCCCTGGCTGGAGAAGACGTTTCAGCACGCTGAGGGCGGGGGTGGGGTCCAGGGATCCTGTTTTCCCCAATCATTCCACTCACTGCCACGTTCACGCTGACCTTCCTGGCTTTTTGTTCTTAAAGATTTATTTATGTATTTGAAAGTCAGAGTCACACAGAGAAAGGGACAGAGAGAGAGAGAGAGAGAGAGAGAGAGAGAGAGGGAGGGAAAGAGAATCTTCTATCCATGGTTCACTCCCCAATGGCCACAATGGCCACAATGGCTGGGCTAGGCCAGGCCAAAGCCAGGAGCCAGGAGCTTCTTCTGGGTCTCCCACGCAGGTGCAGCAGCCCAAGCACTTGGACCATCCTTTGCTGCTTTTCTAGGCACATTAGCAGTGAGCTGGGTCAGAAGTGGGGCAGCCACGGCCCTTATGGGATGCGAGCGTCTTAGGCACGGCTTTACCGGCTACACCACAAAGTCTCCCCTTCCCTTTTAATTTGTGTTTATTTGAAAGGCAGAAAGAAAGAGAAAGAGATCTTTCATCTGCTGTTTCAACTCCTCAGATGCCTGCAACAGCTTGTGCTGAGCCAAGCCATAGCCAGGAGCTCAGAGCCCAATCTAGGTCTCCCATGTAATACTGCAGGAAGCCAAGTACTTGGGCCACCACCTGCTGCCACCCGGAGTGTGCATTAGCGAGAATGCTGGAATCAGACACTGAGCTAGGACGCCAACTCAGGCACTTCGACGTGGGATGTGGCATTCTAAGGGGCATCTATTATTAATTGATCTGAAAGGCAGAGGCAGAGACAGAGAAAAGAGACACAGAAGTATCCCACCCACTAGTTCACTCCCCACATGGCCACAAAAGCCAAGTCTGGGCCAGGCTGAAGTCAGGAGCCAAGAATTCCTTCCTTGTCTCCCACACGGGTGGCAAGAGCCCAGGAAACTGGATGAGAAGAGAAGCCGGGACCGGAACTCGCACTTCCACATGGGGTGCTGGCATTGCAAGGCTCAGCTTAACCTGTTGCGCCTCAATGCCCACCCCTAGGTGGCGCCTCAACCGCTTCACCGAACGCCTGCCCCATGTTCCTTTTAGATGGCGAGGGCTTAGTGCTGTACAGGCCGAGGTGGGACGGGGATGAAGTGACAATTACCGGATCAGCGTGGTGAACTGCTGCAGTGCCCCGGGCAGCTTGCTGGGGCTCTGGAGGGTGTCGCCGTCCTGTGTGAGGGTCGGGCTGTTGGGAGGCAGAGTACGTGGCCAGGTCAGGCGGTGGCACCTGCTGCTGGGAGCTGCCTCCCTAGAGTCGCCCAGCCTCACCTCTCCACACAGGTGCCCACATCCAGGTCCCTGGCCTCTGCTTTCCACAGAAAGTCATCACAGTCCCGCACTTTCTCCAGAAACACGGCCGCAAGTGACCGGACCTTCTCCCTGGTGGCCATCTCCTGCTCTTTGCTGCGTCTGTCGATGCTGGTCAGGTCCACTGTGAGCAGAGAGTGCAGGGTCATGGGCCACCCGGGGCCTGGCCTGTGTCAGCCCTCGGGGTCTCTGGGACATGCTCCTGCCCCTCTGAGAGGGGGAGCCATGCCGTGATGGCCAGCGTGCCCTGCCAGGCCCCACCACTTCTGCAGAAGCCTCAGGGGAAGGTGATGGGTCAGCAGCAGAGGCCCTGGCCCCGGGCCCCCTCCTCACTCCCAGCCCCCACCAGGCTCATCGTGGGAACATCCCAGGCCTGAGTGTGAGCCTTCAGCATCAAAGCCCAATGCCCAGGCTCCAGCTCCAGCCTCCCAGCTGCGCCTGCTCGTGGGGAGGAGGTGGACTGGTCAGGTTGGGCTCCTGCTGTTCTGCCCCTCACCGTCCACTAATCCCTTGGCTTCCCCAGCAGCTGCCCACAGAGGGATTACATGGGGATGGAGGGAGCCAAAGACCAGGCAACTGTGGCAGAGGACTCCGTGCCCTTTTTTTTTTTTTTTAACAGGCAGAGTGGACAGTGAGAGAGAGAGAGAGACAGAGAGAAAGGTCTTCCTTTGCCGTTGGTTCACCCTCCAATGGCTGCTGCGGCCGGCGCACCACGCTGATCCGATGGCAGGAGCCAGGTGCTTCTCCTGGTCTCCCATGGGGTGCAGGGCCCAAGCACTTGGGCCATCCTCCACTGCCTTCCTGGGCCACAGCAGAGAGCTGGACTGGAAGAGGGGCAACCGGGACAGAATCCGGTGCCCCAACCAGGACTAGAACCCGGTGTGCTGGCGCCGCAGGCGGAGGATTAGCCTAGTGAGCCGTGGCGCCGGCCATCCATGCCCTTTGGTCAGCTGCTCTGCAGAGGTACTGAGCTGAGCCAACAAGAACGGGGCAGCCATCTCCTGGGGGTGCCTCCTGCAGGGGGCCAGGTGGAGGGAGGGGGAGTATCTGGCAGCCTGCAGTGCAGCCCTCCTCGCACGGGGCCCCTGCAATGCCTAAAAAGGCAAAGCACCCCACCTCAGGCACTGCCGGGCCTCCCTCCAACCAGCTGGGCCCAGGACCAGCACGCACCGCCTGCCCGCCCTCCATTCCTTCCTTGGAGCTGGCTGGGTGCCACCTCTTCCCTCCTCTCACCTCATAGCATGTCTGTAGGCAGGCTAATGTCTGGGAGGATGATATAAACCTTGATTATCCCTGGTGCAGGGCTGTGGCTCAAAACACCAAATTCACCAGGCACCCCAGGGCTTGCAGACAAGAGCGCCTCCCCCCGACCCTTCTGAGATCACTTAAAGTAAAGAAAAAGTGTTCCCGAGTCTGCCGTAGCATCCGCCTATGACCAGCTCTTCTCTGGGACTCTTCCCATGTCTCCTGGTGATCAGGTGGGCAGGGGCCCTCGGCCCCCTCATCTCTGGATGCCCGGCCCAAGCATGGGTAACACCCCAGCAGGAGCCCGGCTGTCCCCTGGGCACAGGGAGCAGCGTGACTGCCATGTGAGTACACAGGATGAGGGTGGGAGGTGGCAAGAGTGGCACAAGCAGTGGGAGAAGGGCAGGGTCAGGGGCTGGGCACACCAGCTGGGCGCCCCAGGTCTGTGCCTGGCAGCTGTGCCATGGCAGGCAAGGTGTTCAGCTCTGCAGGCTCTGGTCTTGCCATCTGCAGAGATGCTGATGCCCTTGGCCTGACGGAGATGTGAGTCTCAAACAGGTGACCCTGTGGAGCTGGCACTTTGGGCCCTGGTGCACGCCTTCGAGGGAACGGTCCCTGGCATCCTATTTATGGGTGAGGTCCTTGTAACTCCTGCCATCCTGGGAGGAAGCTGAGTCTCCAGGGCACCTAGAGGACGAGCCATGACTGCTGCTTCCCCTGGCCATGGTGCAACGGAGCCACCTGTGAGGAGCCACGCCTTGCTCAGCAGTTCAGATCCAGGCTGGTGTTTTCAGTGCAGGTGGCTGGAAGGAACTGGCTCACACACTCCTGAGTGTAATATGCTGAGAGCTCAGGAGCCAAGAGAAGTCAAGTCTGGGGCAGAAAAGAGCCATTTGCATATCTAGAGAGTCATCAGCTAAGATTGCCAAAAAGGGATGCAGTGCCAGCCCCCCACATGGGCGTGGGTTCAAGTCCCAGCTGCTCCACTTCAAATCCAGCTCTCTGCTATGGCCTGGGAAAGCAGTGGAAGATGGCCCAAGTCCTTGGGCCCCTGCACCTGTGTCGGAGACCTGGGAGAAGCTCCAGGCTCCTGGCTTCAGATCAGCCCAGCTCCAGCCATTATGGCCATTTGGGGAGTGAACCAGCAGATGGAAGACCTCTCTCTTTGCCTCTGCCTCTCTGTAACTCTGCCTTTCAAATAGATAAATAAATCTTTAAGGCCGGCGCCGTGGCTCAACAGGCTAATCCTCCGCCTAGCGGCGCCGGCACACCGGGTTCTAGTCCCGGTCGGGGCGCCGGATTCTGTCCCGGTTGCCCCTCTTCCAGGCCAGCTCTCTGCTGTGGCCAGGGAGTGCAGTGGAGGATGGCCCAAGTGCTTGGGCCCTGCACCCCATGGGAGACCAGGATAAGTACCTGGCTCCTGCCATCGGATCAGCGCAGTGCGCCGGACGCAGCATGCCAGCCGCAGCGGCCATTGGAGGGTGAACCAACGGCAAAGGAAGACCTTTCTCTCTGTCTCTCTCTCTCACTGTCCACTCTGCCTGTCAATAAATAAATAAATAATTAAAAAAAAAAAGATCGCCAAAAATGTCCCATGCTGGTCCAGGCTTGGGCCCCCACCACCACCATGCACCTGCAGTCTCCCTGCCTAACCTGGAATATCCTAAGTTTGTCTACAGAATCTGACCAAAGAGCACAGTTGCAGACATTGATGCAAACTGCCCTGGATTCCACATCCCCTGATCTTTGGAGCTCCTGGAAATTTCTGCATAGAAGAATGGCTTTGCTTCAGAAGCCACTTGCTTAGGGTCCTCACGGCCAGCATTTCATCCTTGGATGACTGACCCCCTATTCTCCACCCACTCGGATCATCACCCACATCCTCGCTTCTCCTCTCCTGCAGCTCAGAGAGTTTTTCCCCGGGAAGAGAGTTTGGGGTGTGGGTGCCTGGGTGCCAGGGCGCAGGCCGCTGGCCTTGCCAGCTCACCATAGAAGTCCGCAGGGTTTCTGTAGCGGGGACAGGGGTGGCCGATGGACGTGAAGTACTGGACCATGTGCTGGGCCGCCCCCAGGTAGATGGTGGTGCCCGATGACATGAGCAGCACCAGGTCAAACAGCCTGAAGATGTCCGACCGGGGCTGGTGTAGGGAGATGAGCACCAGCCGGTTGCCCTTGGCCAGCCGGGACAAGGTCTTCACCAGGTTGTGCGCCGTGAAGCTGTCCAGCCCGGAGGTGGGCTCGTCCAGAATGAGGATGCCTTCCCGACAGACAGCAGGGCAGACGAGTGAGTCAGCAGGACTCCAGCTGGGTGGGACGCGCGCCCACCACCCCTGGGGCTCACAGGCCTCACCTGGGTTCCACAGGAGCTGCACCCCAATGCTCACCCTCCTGCGCTCGCCTCCTGACACCCCGCGCACGTACATATTGCCCACGCGTGTGTCGGCACACTGCCGCAGCCGCAGCTCGGCGATCACGTCCTCCACCTGGGAGCGGCCAGACGAGAGACGGCTCAAGGCCACTGCCATGGCTGCCGCCACCACGGTCCTCCCTTGCACCTGGGCAGGTGCAGAGCCAAAGTCTAAAACCACCTGTGGCTGCCCCCTGAGTTTTTAAGCGAAAGGGCCCCCAGCTCCAGCCACCACCCTTGCTCTCCTAATTCTTTCCACAGCCGGGCAGGCTTCCGAGGGCATTGGGCTGTGTTTTGGGGACTGTGGCCATGACCTGGGGACTAGATGATTGGGCTCCCTGCCCACGTAGATGACCAGGAAGCTTGTCAACAAACTCACCCCAATCCCAGGACAGGCGCTGCAAAGGGGACATCCTGGGGCTGAGGTGAGGACGAGGGACTGGGGTTAGTGTGCAGGTGGATGCTGGGCCGGCCTGCTCAGACTCCGCCTGTGGCTGGGCACTGATGCGAGCCAGGGAAGGGATGGGGAGGGGAGGGTAGCATGGCTTCTCAGACCCCAAGGTCATGGCTGGGGTCAGGTAGTTACCCTTTTGTTCCGCTGGGCCTGGGAGAAGGTTCTGGGCAGACGCATTTGGGCAACGAAGGTCAGGGTCTCTCGCACGGTCAGGTTGGGGAGCAGCTGGTCGTGTGGGCGCACGTGGGCCACGCACTTCCTCACCAGCTGAGGCGTGCTCGGCTGCCCGTTGATCCAGATTTGCCCCGACTTGATCTTGCCTCCATGGTCGCGGCTGGTGATGACATCCAGCAATGAGGCTCTCCCGCAGCCTGCAAAGCCATTAGAGAGAGAGCTTCCGCAGGGCCAGCCTGGGGGCCACTGCTCCCCCACTCCCAGCCCCCAGCACCAGGGACTGCTCTGTGCTTGTGGAAGGAATTGGTGCCCAGGGAAGGTGGCACAGATCCTGCACCTGTAGCGGGCGGCCCCAGCACACACAGCCCCAAGGCCTCTCAGATACAGCCAACGTGAGCACCCATGGCAGGCACATGGATGCCGGGGGTCAGGCCAGGGCCCGCCAGCGGCCACAGGATGGAGAAGGAGTGTTGGCTGCCTCAGGTGTGCCTCTGCTGGGAGCGCCTGCCCCTCCCACTGCTAACCAGCGCCTTTCTCCCCAAGTAAGCCTGGTGTTAATTGCATTGCAAAGCGAAACTGCTTCTGGCTGGTGAACATGCCAGCATCGACCTTGTTTAGCTCAGGAGCTGACTTTGTGAGAATAATTCGGAGCATTCCTAGAACGCCTTTAAAAATAGAGAAAGGCAAGACCAAGGTTTCCCACCTGCTCATTTCACTCCTCAAATGCCTGCAACGGCTGGGTTGGGCCAGGCTGAAGCTGGGAACAGGGAACTCAATTCAGGTCTCCCGTGTGAGTGGCAGGAACCCAACTACTTGAGCCATCACCTGCAGCCTCCCAGGGTTCACATTAGCAGGAAGCTGGAATCGAGAGCAGAGCTGGAACTTGAACCCAGGCACCCCGACATGGGATGCGAGCATCCAAGTGGTTGTCCTGGCTGCTGGCTCAAATGCCTGCTGCAAACTCCGCCTCTATTAAAAGGATGGCTTTTAAAAATGCAAAACCAGGGGCCAGCCCTGAGGTTTAGTGGGTTAAGCCACTGCCTGTGATGCCAGCATCCCTTATGGGTACCAGTTCTTGTCCCAGGTGCTCCACTTCCCATCCAGCTCCCTGCAAATGGAAAAACAGTGGAGGATGGCCCAAGTGCCTGGACCCTGCACCCGTATGGGAGACCTGAAAGAAGCTCGGGCTCCTGGCTTCTGCCTGCTCCTCCCCACTCCACCCCCCCCACACCCCCGCTGTTGCCACCATTTGGGGAGTGAACCAGTGAATGAAAGCTCGCTCTCTCTCTCTCTCTCTCTCTGTAACTCTTTCAAATAAATAAATAAAATCTTTAAAAAATGCAAAACCAGAACATATTTTGAGAAATGAGAAAAAAGCAGAGATGTAAAAGTGTGAAAATGATTTAAAAATTATAGCACAAGGTACACACCCGTTCTGAATATTATCTCTATACCCTTCTCTGTCTTATCTATACCAGTGGTACTTTTTACTCTCTTTTTTAGAAAAAGACAAAAAAATACCCATTGCACCCAGGTTAATGCTACCCACTTTTGAATGGCATATTTATTACTGTTGATTTGGGGGAGTAAGGCCCAGATTGGATCTGGGTTCCAAAAGCAGGCACCAGGGCCCTTTTTCTGAGAGCCCTGTAAGCTGTGAATGCCAGCTGACTCAGGCTGGGAGGACAGCTTCCTGCCCCTGGACTGGTACCAAGTTTTGCCCAATACCCCCCAGGTAGAGTTTTGATTTCCAATTTTTCACAGTTGTTTTCAAACTATGAAAGTGCCAGGACACAACATGTGACAAGTCCTCCTTGCCACTGTCCTGTGCCAACAGCCCCACAGCACCCCGTGCAAACTCAAAAACGAAGAAGGTCCCCCATGTGACCCCACGTTTACTGCCCTGAGGCTCCTGGGGTGGGCGCTGCTTCCTGGGTGCACCTCGTTTAAGGTCCCTGAGAACGTAGGTGGAACAAAATATCCAGGGAAGAAACTGGGAGTGGGACTTCCAGCCTGCACCCTGTTCAGTCTCAGCCAGCAGATGCAGGCCCGGGGACTTCAGGGGAGTTTGCCAGCACTCGCAGGGACCAGAGGATTCCCGGCAAGAATCAGGAGGCTGCCTTTCCTGAGCCAAGCCTGCCAAGAGGCCCAGGAGGATGTCTGGTGCCTTGAGGGAGACCCTCTAAACACCAGGAGGAAACACTCGTGGGCATTCAGGATCCTTGTAAAATGACCCAAATGTCCACATCAGTAAATTCATTACTTGGAATTAACAACCTTTCGGCATTGCTGGTTCTATAGAAGAAGATAAAAATGCCTGGGACTGTTTTTTATTTGTTTTTTTGAGAAGTTAGAATCAGCATTCTTGGCGTGTGCGCCTGTGTACATGTGTGTCGTATCGTACAAGGCACAGGAAACGTTATTCATAAATCTTTCTATGAAATCCCTTTGATGATTTCAGCTGAGAAAACCTAAAGCCAAGGACTGCCGAACGCAGTCAGGAGGCCTGGAAAGCAGTCAATACCTTTCCTGTCCAACCTCTGAATTTCATTGCCCTCAACCAAACCAGTGATACTAACGGGGCACCGTGGGGGGGGGGGGTTGTATGCACTCAGCGCTCACCATGGCGACTCCAATAAGGGCCCTGCACCTCCAAAATGCTCAGTTCAGCCATAAAAGGCAGGTACAACAAGCAAAGCTACCAGGAGTTACAGATACAAATGAAATCGTTGGCTATGGGGGATCTTCCTTTTTCTTGTTTATATTGGAATCAAAAGGCCAGGGCCAGGGTGGGAGGGACGTGTGATTGTGCAGGTTGATTCCGTTACAAAGTGCATTTACATATCATGCTTCCTTTGATCTTTGGTTAGACAATAAACAGAACTTCTCTATCAAGAGTGTAAAAGTTTGGAGCAGACGGTCAAAAACTTGCCTTTGGCAATGATTAATTAAAAGGTAGAAAGTGCTCTCTGACACTGTGTAAGAGTGTTCCAGGGAGAAACACCTGGGTCCAAGAATCAAGAGAGCAAGTTCAAGTTCTAGGTCTGCATTGAATGTGTGTGTTCAAGGAGAATCACTCAAATGCCCTGGATTAGTGTCCTCGTGTGTGTGCGTGTATGTGTGTGTAGGGGCAGGAGAACACTCTAGAAACACTGAGGGCTAGATAATTTGAAAGTGTTCCTCTAAAAATGCTTCCCAACTGTTAGAGAGAAGGAAAGGTAGGACAGGAGATCCCTTGTCAGCTCTGATGTTCTGTAAGTTTAAATCCAGCCTGAGCAAGTGGCCCATTGAGGCACTCAGAATCTGGCTCTTCACTGGTGGTCGGAGGTTGAACTATGACCTGGAAGGGCTGTTGAGCAGTGGAGCTGTGCCCAGTTGCTGTCCGACTGTGGAGGGAAGAGCCTGGAGCCGAGGGCCCCTAGTCCCCGGGAAGAAGGACACTTTCTGTGCTCTTACCCTGAGAGGGATGTGCTGGCTACAGCTTCTGGTGGACAAGAGACCACTCACGGTTCACAACAGCGACCACCTGAGAGCCGGTCAGTGGATGACCTGGGATTTGAGCCCAGGTCAGTCTAACCCAGAACCTGTGCTCTCAACCATTCTGCTGTATGGTTCTATCAGGCAGCAGAGTTGTGCAAGAAGCATCCCTGTTTCCGGTGCCCCATTCTGCATGCTAGGGGAGAGATATAGAGATAGAGATAGAGAGAGAGAGAGAGAGAGAGAGAGAGGTCCCACCTGCCTCTTTGCCCTGAGTGGTACCTGAGCTCCCAATGATGGCCAGCATCTGCCCACTTTTCACTCTGAAGTTCAAGTTCTGGATGCCCAGCTCGCGAGAGTCTTGGCTGTTGTGAGATATCCAGGGAATCTTGAACTGAGCCAGCTGCTCAAACCAAGGCACCTGGGAGGACATGTCCACCTGCGGGGAGACATTGGAAAGTTCCCCTGTGAGCCTAATGTGCCCAGTAGAGCCTTTTCCACGGGGACAGCCCCCTGCTGATGACAATGGAACCTGGGGTTCGGGCTGGACCCCACTATTCTGAGAACAGAAGGCTGCTGTTTCCAAGCTTGAAGATAAGGGGCTGGGCTGCACGTGGAAGGGCAAAACAGGAAGCCTGAAAAAATGTCTCGACAGAATGGTAATTTACTAAATTCATACATGGTTTCCTATGTGCAAAACATAGGGACACTTGATGGCCATTGTTCAATCCTAGTTGCAAACCTGTGGAAGCTCTGTTACAATCCCCGCTCTGCAGATGAGGCTCAGAGTAGAGAAGTAACTTGCTCAAAGTCACAGCTGGGAAGTGGCAGAGCAGAGAAAGAGTATGTGTGGCTCATCAGTGTGTCCTAGCTCACACCTGCAGGAAACCAGGCTCAGGCCTCCAGGGTTCACCACCCATTCGGGCAACACGCAGTCTCCCCTGGGGAGACAGGGGAGAGAGACTCAACTCTGATGGGGTAGGGGGCTCCTGAGACCTCTGGTAGGCTCTGGTACTTGTTCCTCACTCTTGATGCTTCCTAGCTCCAGGAAAGTACATGTTACTAAAACAAAAATCCACAAGCACTGATGACATGTGAATAAAGTCTATGGTTTCGTTACAGCATTGCCCCCGTCAATCGTTGGATTTGGTAATTATACTGCATTCATGCACGATGTCTACAGGGGGAGAAGGTGGACAGCGGGCATAATAGGAGCACTACTTTTCTACAACTTTTTCAAAAGTAGAAAATTATTTCAAAATATAAAGTTAAAAAAATTGAGAGATTTTTTTTCCCCCATGGATCCATGGCGTTTGCTTTTTACGCTTTCTCAAGGGTGTCATTATCTTCTCATGGCTCAGCCAGCAGCTACCACACACATCGTTGTCGAGGGAGTGAGGGAAATTTCCATGGTGCTGGCATCAAGGTGGACTGGACTCTGTCCTTGAGGGCAGGAGACCTGCACGACGGAATCTCCCTTCCTTTCCCTGCCCACGCCTTTCCGCTCCACACAGGTGCACCTGTACCTGGTAGCTGAGGTCTCTGACCTCCAGGGTGTTGGAGTGGCCACTGTAGGTGAAGTACAGGCTGCTGTCAGTTTCAGAGGAGAACAAACTGTCCTGGAGGCCCTGCTGGAGACAAGACAGGGGAGGGGCTGCTGAGGACACAGGGGAAGACAGAGATCGGACCCGGGAGGCGAGAGCAGCAGTGAGATGTGGCAGACGTCCCAGATCAGCATCAGAGGGGCTTGTGCGCATGGAGTCCCGGGGTCTTGAGAAAACAGGAGCAGCGCTGGGGGCACAGTTCCTCCCAGCTTCAGAGAGAGCTCTGAGGCTTCTTCCTGGAGAGCTCCTGCCCTAGAGAACTTGAACCGCAGGCCAACAGAACGTCAACGCAAGCAGTGTATGGAGGAGGTCCCGGGCTGGACAGAGCCGTGACCTCTGCACTCAAGGAAGACCTGAGCTGGGAGCTTGCAAACGTTTGGCCTTGAACTTTGTCTCCCCTTCATGTGGCTTAATATCTCATTATGCAAAATAGACCTCACTAACGTAGCAGGTAAGAGGAAAACAACTGTCAGCATGTATTTTTTTTTAAAAGATTGCATTTATTTATTTGAGAGGCAGAGTTACAGAGAGAGAGGAGAGACCAAGAAAAAGGTCTTCCATCCACTGGTTCAAGCCCCAAAAAGGCTGGAGCAGAGCCAATCTGAAGCCAGGAGCCAGGAGCTTCCTCCGGGTCCCCCACACGGGTGCAGAAGCCCAACTTTCATTGCTTTCCCAGGTTGTTAGCAGGGAGCTGGATTGGAAGAGGAGCAGCCAGGACATGAAGCGGTGCCCATATGGGATGCTGGCACTGCAGGTAGAGACAGCCTACTATACCACATTGCTGGCCCTGTCTGTCAACATGTTAACACTCTATATTTGTGAATATTCCATCCCAAGAAAAACTGCATCTTATTTTGATGAGTTTTGTTAAACAATGCCATTGAAAATGCCACTGGGAAATTTCAGAGGAAGTCCCTACCATCATCATCATTATCACCACCACCACCATCAGCATCGTCATTGCCATCATCATTTTCACCATCATCACCATCATCCTCGTCATCACCATTCCCACCGTCATCATGATTATGGAAGTGACCTTCTATCTGAATGTACATCAAACAAATCAATGTTTCATGGTATCAGCTGGCACCCTGGATGGTGCTAGCCATCTGCAGCTCTGAACTCTCCCTATTTCATCAATTCAATCATTGAAATCATTGAGGGGCCAGTGCTGTGGCGTAGCTGGTAAAGCCACATCTGCAGTGCTGGCATCCCACATGGATGCTGGTTCGAGTCCTGGTTGCCCTACCTCTGATTCAGCTCTCTGCTATGGCCTGGGAAAGCATTAGAAGATGGCCCAAGTCCTTGGGCCCCTGCACCTGCATGGGAGGCCTGGAAGACGCTCCTGGCTCCTGGCTTCAGATCTGCCCAGCTCCAGCCATTTGCAGCCATCTGGGGAGTGAACCAGCAGATGGAAGACCTTTCTCTCTATCTGCCTCTGCCTCTCTGTAACTCTGTCTTTCAAATAAATAACTATTAAAAAAAAATCATTGAAGCCCAGGCAAAGGCAGAACCTAAGTAGTAAGGTTTTTGGTTTTTAATGCATTCTACTTTTTTTTTTCTGCTTCTATAACGCAGGAACAAGTATGGGTTCATTAACAAGCTCCCACGGACCCCTGTCATTCTCACACTGATGTGCTCCTTCAGTCAATCAAGCGTCCAAACACCGGGAGCCCACAACACACCTGGGGATGTGACAGTGAAACAGATCACCTCTGAGAAGCTTGGACTTCAGTGAGCCAGACAGGTGGTGAGCAGGAAGCAAGGCAGGCCAGGCAGAGACACAGGCTGACCTGGAGCATCTAATCAGAGTTTGTTTTTGCTGTGTACCCAATGCACACGTGTGCCTTAGGTGAAAAGCCCATGCCTAGTGATTGATGTGAAAATAACATCCAGCAGCCTCTGTCCCTGGGAGGGTGGCGGGAAATGAATACAGGTGATGGTCTGTGCAGGAGCCCCCCACCCAAGTTCCAGGAGGATATGAGTATGAGCAGCCCAAAGCTACTGTGGTGTTTAGCATTTGAACTATCACCATAAAGACCCCTGATGACACAGTGAAATCGTGGGGAAGGGAAACACATAGTTCAGGAGAGGGGTTATCTCTGGGAACAGGGAGAGAGAGAAGGGAGAAGGATGTGTGGAGCTGGGGAGAGAGAGACCTTAAGGCTATCGGTAAATAGCGGATGGGACTTCACTACTATTTAAACCATCTGAAATAGCTCACAAATGTTTTCAAATAGAGAGAGCAAGCCATGGCTGGAAGTCCAGGTCCCCTCTTGACTCCCAGCTGCCAACTCCCCAAAGCAGGGGAGGGGGGGAGGGGGAGTTGGAGGAGGGAAGAAGGCAGCCTGCTCTGTGGCCCCCACCCTCCCTCCACCTCTCCCACACATGCACACCATCTAGCTTTTCCATTTCATTGTGCTAAGCTGCCAGAAATTCTGCCACTGAGAGGCTAACCTGTACCCTGCTGTCATCGTTTTTTCAAGCAAAAACCTGTAGGAGGGATCTGAGTCCATGGGCATCAGATGGGAATTAGAATACTTCTGCTGGCTACAACTGTCCTAGGGTTGGGTTGAGGAAGAGAAGAGCTACTGAAAAAGGAAGGCTAGACATTTGGAGCCTGGAGCAAGGTGTCAGGGGCAGGTCATCTCAGGGCCACTGGGCTGTGCTGAGAAGATGGAGGGCACTAGGGCCCAGGGGGAGTGAGGCAGCAGGAGGGAGGACAGAGGTTCCCTTAGCCCTGGGCTTGCTGAGCAGGTGGCAGGTGGGAGCCAGCCTGGGACCCACCAAGAGACTGTGCCTTCTGGGAGCTTCAAATTTTGGAAGAAGAAAACCTGTGCCTGGGTTGGGAACGACCTCTGTTCCCTTTTAAAATATTTTCCTTGGCTCCCAGGAAGGATGTGTTAGACTCTTCCTGAGGTTTTGACAAACCCTCGGTATTTTTCAACTACTTAAATATCTATTCGGCTGACATCTTAATCAGTATGACTGTCAGAACATCACTTGAATTTCTGACAGGTGACACCCAAAAAAGCAAAAGCAGGTTTATTTGTAGGTAACCAGCTCGGCTCCTGCTGGCTTACACTGTAATTTCTCCTTGTATTAACTTCTGATTCGATTCCTGAGTCGGAAGCGTAGATGAGAAGCGAGTGTGCACAGAGCCCGCGTTCTGGTGCTGAGATGGGGAGCCTTGCCCACAGAGGCAGGTGCTCCGGGGGCCCTCGTGGCCCCTTGTTAAAACATTCAGCCTGGCTCTCACGCAGCTCTGCCCTGGGGCCGGGGCCCTGCTCCTGCCCAGGGAGCGAGGATCTTGTAGGCCAACAACTGCCTCTCTGGGTACCCAGGACCCGAGTGTTCCCAGTGCAAACAGCCCCAGCTGCCCTCCCAGGGCTTGTGTGCACCTTCTCCCAGGCCCGGCCCCTTGAGCCCTGACACTACACGAGCTGGGCATTTGTCTCCATGGAGGGTGGACCAGCTGAGCGCAGGAGCCTTGGAGAGTGGGGCAGAGCTGAGGGGCGGGCTGTTGCATGGGCTGGATGCCTGATGTCCTGTGCCTTCCCATTCCGGCTGCTGTTCCAAGAAGCACTGGAATTTCTAAATTTCCAGCCAGACTTCTAGGATGTGAGGAAGGTGTGGCAAGGTCAGAGGACAGGACCTGTTGTGTAGAACAGCTTTTAGCTTCCTTAGCGACTTCCAGATATCCAGACGCGGGCTACGTGAGCCTCACCCTCTTGCTCCAAGGCCCAGACATGCTAGGGGCACCTGGAGGGGCAGGAGCGGAGAGATGGAGACTGCAAATGGCCAGGTCCACGTGCATTTGTGGATATCGGGGTGGGCAGTTCTTTGCCTCCCGGGTTAAGGCGGCTGAATCAACAGGTGCAGGACACCACTGACTGTGCCGTGCTCAGGCCATGAGCGCTGTGGCCCCAGCTGGGCTTGCCAGAGTTGTTGCCTGCAGGGGCTGGCCCACAGGCTTTGCAGGGAGCAGAGCTGCCATTTGTCTTGGCTGCATGCAGAACTGCCTACAAACTGTGGGCTCCTCGGACCTGGCTGGGCCACGCCCCAGCAGCTCAAGGCCAGGCTGAGGGCTCCCCTGTTGAGTGTGCAGTCCTTAGCTGCCCCTTCCCTCCCTCCTCTCCAGCACGGGCAAGCACAGAACACTAGCCTGGAGATCGGCCACCTCTGTCAATCAACTTAGCCTCCTGCTTCTGATCCCGCCCACACTCCAATTTCCATCGGAGTTTCCCAGGTAAACTGAGGGAGGACTCCTTGCAGCCCTGCTTCTTGGTCCCTCTCTAGCTCTCTCCCAGGCCCAGGGCCTGCCCGCTGCGGCCCTGACATTCCCTTGTTCCCAGGGGAGCCGGGGCCATCCTCTCACGTCCATCCCTTGCTGCCCTGGGATTCGCGGGCTGACAGCAGCGTGGATGCCAGAGATGCCAACAGAGTCCCCAGGGTGCGGGAACGCTGCTCTAGGACACAGGCTCATTTCGAAGAAGCTACCTGGGCCCTCATCACAAACCAGACAGGAGTTCACCTTCGCGGTGTGTGTGGGGGGGGTCCTGCCCCTCAGCCCTTGGACCCCCAGAAGGAGCCCCTCTGCCAGACCTCCCCTGCTCTTGTCCAGGAGCTGAGTCACTCACCGAGTTGTCCCGGGGGGCGGTGCCCCCCTGTAGTCCTTTCCCCTCTGCAGTCTTCTCCGCCATGGGGCCCACAAGCTCCATAGCCAGGGCTGGCTGCCGGGCAGCTGCTCTCTCTCAGTTTCCTGGAGCTGAGCGGCCGCGGCTTCCTTCTCTGTGCTGGTCTCTCTCCCAACGTCCGTCTTGGCAAAGCGTCCTGCAAACACACCGTGTGTTCTGCCCACTGTCAAGATAAGGACGGTCTGGCTAAAGGTACATCAGATAATGGCATCCGTGGATGGCCAAATCCCAGGCCTCACGAGGCACTCTGGGGCCGGGCAGGGAGCAGACCGGGCGGCCTGCCACTGGCTCCTCAGCTGCAGCGCTCAGGGTGGGTCGGGCCACCACACAGCTAGCCGGTCTTTGCTGCCTGCCGGCCATGAGTGAATTCCCACGGGAAACCCCAAGGGGGTCCTCAGCGCTCCAGGTAAACGGGAGCTCCCAGGGCTGCCTGGAGGAGGTGCCTGCAGCCACCCCCGGGTCCCGGCACAGCCTGGGCGTGTTCCACGTCTCCTACAGCGTCAGGTAAAGCAGATCCGGGCCCTCTCCCCACCTGTTGAGCCTTGCCACTCCGCTCTTGCCCCTTGGGCTGCCTGTCCTCGCCAGTGGGGGCGCTGCCTGGGGGCTTCGGGCTCCTTCTAGTGGATCAGGAGGAGGGTGGGCTGCTGCCGGGAAACCAGGAACAAGAGTGAGTGGCCCCTCCTCCTGCCCAGGGCAGGGCCAGGGATAAAAAAAAAAAGCCTGCCTTGTGCCTCTGTCTTGCACCCCTTCCTGTTGCCCCCTCTCTGCCTGGGGTGTCTCCGGCATGCCCTAAGTGGACGGAGGGAACTTGTGGGGTAAGGCAGCTGGGAACACCAGGACGGGAATGCACGCGGGCCACCTGAGGGAGCCACAGAGACCACACACTCTGCACGGAGGGCGGGCAGCTTGCAGTCACTTCCCCAGAGGAAGCACAGGCAGGAACCTGCCCAGGGACGGCCGGGGTAGGGTGGAGCTGGGATCAGTGCTGGGGACAGGGGTCTGGCCCCTTCCAGGACCCCACGCTGCCTTTGCCCCCGCCGGATTTCCTTTAAAGCAATCACGTCGGGCCGTGGTGGGACATCACATCTCGCCAGCAGCGATGGAACAGGCAGATCCTCAAAGATGTGTCGCTGTATGTGGAGAGCGGGCAGATCTTGTGCATCTTAGGGAGCTCAGGTAAGCGGGGTGGGGGGGTTCTCGGCGTCTCCAGGAAAGGCTCTGGCTTGCCTTAAACACCACATCAAAGCAACAGGTTGAAGTTGTGGCAAGGAGGCCCCAAGTTTGGTATCAGGATGAAACCTAGTGGCTTGCCTGATTGCATGGAACCTGGGACCAACATGGAATCTTTAGAAAGGCCCTTGAGAGAGCACTGCGTCCTGTGTGTGTGACGCCAGGCCCCCGACACGGGTCTCCCCTGCTCAGAAACAGGAAAAGGAGTCCATAGGCACCAACATGCCCATTGAACCCCCACATTTAACTCCACTTGTCATTTTTTAATGATGCACTTCTACACAGACAAGAACACAGAGTAATTTTTTTTTTTTTTTTAAGATTTACTTATTTAGGCCAGCACCGTGGCTCACTTGGCTAATCCTCCACCTGCGGCGCTGGCACACCGGGTTCTAGTCCCGGTTGGGGCGCCGGATTCTGTCCCAGTTGCCCCTCTTTCCAGGCCAGCTCTCTGCTGTGGCCCGGGAGCGCAGTGGAGGATGGCCCAAGTGCTTGGGCCCTGCACCCGCATGGGAGACCAGGAGAAGCACCTGGCTCCTGGCTTCTGATCAGCGCGGTGCGCCGGCCTTTTTTTTTTTTAAAAGGAAGTCAGGAAAAAAAAAAAAAAAAAAAAAAAAAGGAAGTCAGGAGCTTGGAACTCCACCCCCGTCCCCTGCATGGGTGGCTGGGGCCCAAGTACTTGAGCCAGGACCTGCTGCCTCCCAGGTGCATGGCAGGAAGCAGGATCAGAAGTGAAGTAGCTTGGATGTGGGATGCAGGTGTAAGTGGCGCTTAACACGACAGCACCTGCCCCATGTTAGCAATTCTTAACAGCCTTGGATAGCTAAGGGCTAATGAAGTCTGTTCTGTCTCCCTGAACTCTCAGGGTCCATGTTAACGGTCTGTCCAATGTGACAAAGAGGGGACGGCTGGCTTCTTATCCTAGAGGCACCCCCTGAGTGCTAACCCCAGAGGAAAGCAAACCAAGGGGAAGCGTGTCCGCCGGCAGTGACCACATGCACCGGCCATGCGCTCAGCACAGCCCCTCTTCGGGAGTGTTCTCGGTGACAGCCGCCTAGGCTGTGCCCCCTGGGTTCTGGCAAAGGACTCACTAAGCCTGAGCTTCTGGAACCCTCCTCCGCAAGGGAAATCCCCGGGGTTGGAGGGGGTCTGAGAACTGGACTCAGTAGGTCCGGGTTGTAGTCTGAGTGTGCATTTCTCTCAAGCTGCTGCTGTTGACGCTGGCCAGGACCCACACGTGGTCATCAAGGCTCTACGCAGTGGCCTCTAGGTCCAGGTATAACGGGACCACCCCAGGGTGGTCCAACAGCTCCACCTCTGCTTCAGTGGGCAGACAAAGCAGTGTCAGTCCTGACCCGAATGATAGGCGCAAACCAGAGAGCTTCAGTTGTGTCATGAGACTTCAACCCACGAAGCCAGGAGAGCGCAGGGCAGGGCGGCTTCCGCATCGGGAGGCACAAGGACTCCCCCAAGACCTTCTCTTGTCGCCCCTCCAGGCTCAGGGAAGACCACGCTGCTGGACGCCATGGCCGGGCGGCTGTGGCGCAAGGGGACCTTCCTCGGGGAGGTGTGCGTGAATGGGCGGGCGCTGCGCCGGAACCAGTTCCAGGACTGCTTCTCCTACGTGCAGCAGGTGCGCGCGCCCCGCCCGGCCCCCAACCCGGCCGCCCGCGGGGCTCAGCCGCTCTGACCGCCCCCTCTCCCGCAGAGCGACACCCTGCTGAGCAGCCTCACCGTGCGCGAGACGCTGCACTACACCGCGCTGCTGGCTGTGAGCCGCGGCTCCCGCGACGCCGTGCACAAGAAGGTGGGTGCGGCCTCGGGCCGGCGCTGGGGACAAGCCCAATGGAGACAGCCCCCACTTTGCTCTGCCTGTTGCCCCCCCACCCCCACCCATCCCCGCTTGCCCCTGGCACTCGCTGCACCTGCGCCGCCCCACAGCCCTATGAGCTCTGGGATGTGCATGCTCCACATCTTGGAAAAACACATCCTTGATTTCAGGTGCTTCCTCTCAACAAGTAAAAGGTGAAATCGCTCAAGAAATTTTTAATTTATTGATTACAGGTTTGCAATGATGCTGTTACCATGAATTTCACTTGTTTCTTTTTACTTTTCAAAATATGGCTACGAAAATCTTGCACACATGTGTGCGGCTGGCATTATTTCTATGGGACAGGCCGGTTCTCCCAGCTCTCTGTTGGAACAGATAGGATTATTTGCTGGGCCGTTTTTTTTCTTCCTCAACTTGCTTTGTGGCACGTTGAATCCAAACTGGATTAAGTTAATGAAGGGAGAAACCACTGAGTTGTCGGCTCTTTCGGAGTTCCAGCGTGTTTCTTTAAAAGTCCCCAGTTTGGAAGTAGCTGCAGGTAATCCCACCAGGACCTCCCTTGGAAACACTGCTTCATTTCTGCTGGGGCTGTGGAGGCCTGGAGCAGCCAGGGAACGGATGACAGGAGCCAGGCCAGCTCCCCAGGGCGCACGCTTGCTTATTATGATGCCCTGGGTGAGCAAACAGCATTCTTCGCTTGAGAGTGCTGGGCGATGCTAGGTGTAGCTCTGACTGTGGGGGAGCCTGGGAGGGGTCTGGCGCCCCTAAGGACCCTCACGCTCACGGAGCAGGGCCTGACCTTGGGTCCTCCCCCGGGGTTACCTTAGATCACTCGGAAGGCGTTGCAAGGTTCTTGCTGTTTCACAGGTTGTACTCTGAGCTCTCCTATCTGGCTGGCACTAGGCAGGGCTTGTTGGCACCCCACTATCTCCCTTTCATTCTGTCATCAGCTCTGTGAGGGAGGACTTCTCTCTATCTCACAGACCAAGACACTGACACCCAAGGAGGTTAAGATCGGACACCTGGGAGTGGCAGAGCTGGGGCAGGAAGCACAGGGCTGTTCCTGCTGGAGGGGTCTTTCTGATCGGACGCAGTCCGAGGAGTAAAATCCTGATGGAGTCCTTACTGAGAAGGAAGCGCTCGGGGCAACAGAGGAGACCCTAGGCAGATCTGCTTCTGTTTTCCAAGGCACCTCAACACAAGCATGGCTGCTGTGAGCAGGTTGTTGGCTAAGCCTTGTGCCTTGTGGGCCACCTGAGCGAGCGCAGCCGGTCCTGCTCTGCCCTTTGGTGGCGGCAGGTCCTCGGGCAAGTTATGTAGCTCTCTGAGAATCTGCTGTCTCTTCTGTGACCAGGGAACCACGGGGCATCGCTCCTGGGTTACAGCGAGGATGCCATCAGATTACGCGAAAGCACAGGGCGTACAGATTGGACCTGCTGTTCCCCTCCACCTCTTCAAAGGCTCTGTGAATTCCACCTGCAATACATGGGGGTGGCCTCCAGGCAGGAAACCCCCCGGGGCAGAGTAAATCAGTGTCTCCTCTGTCTGCCCTGAGGTTTGAGAGAAGAGGAGGAAGCTCAGTGAACTGCCCCGTGGGTTCGCGCATCAGCCTGGCCCTGTGGAGCAGAGCTCAATTCCTTCTGCTCCGATGGCAACAGGAGACCCTTCTTTGTTTATTTTTATTTTTTCCAAATCAGGCAGCACTAGTTTATGTCTCTCATTATTCCTTCCTGTCTATTTCAGATGTGTGCCTTCTTCATCAAAGCTTCCTCAGTGCTCCTGACCCTACTCCCTGTCTGCTCCGAATTTCATTCCACAAATCACTCTCTCTTCTACTCCAACCTAGCTTGCCCTTGCTTAGTGCAGTGCTTTTGTTTCCTTTCTCAATGTCAAGGTCACAGAGTCTCCGTAGGGGTGTATGAGAACAGCACTCATTGCCCCAAAGCCACGCTGCTGCTTCTCCATCTCTTCCTGTCGGATCTCCACCAGGGCGGGAAGCACACAGGGGCAATCAGCAAAGGGCGGGCGTGGATACACAGAATTTTGAATGGCTCCAGGGTGAGGGGATACACTGAGGAGAGAAAGAGGGGAGAGGGAGGAAAGCAGCTAAGCTTCTTGATTAGAAAGTCGCTACAAATGTTTCTCTTCAGTTGTGATTGTTACAGGGAGTTAGAGGAGGAGGAGCAAGGGGAGGGCTTTGGGGAGCCGCAGGGTAAGTAGAGTGAGGGCAGCTGGGGACAGGGGATTTTCAGGAGTGTGGCTGGGGGCTATAATTTGGGGCTCCCTTTAAAGTCCTTTAAAAAGATCCCAGTAAAGATTGGAATTACTTTTAATTACTTTGGGCTGCTGGATTATAATCTTTTGATGCAAAATCCTGCTGAGATTGGACCACATGAGACTCTAGGCTTTTTTGGGTTACACAGGGGAAAAATGGGCTTAGTTGAAATCAAATTGGACTCCTTAAAACATATAAAATATTTATTATAATCAAGTTTTAAAACTCATGAAAATAAGCTATATTTTAGCTATGCCTTTGGAGGTTTTTTGTAGGTGGGCTGGACTGATGGTGGCATCAGAAAATAGGAGTTAATGAAGCATCCATCGTTTTCTAGTGCATTCCCTGAAGTGCAGATAAGCAATTTGTAAAAGTTAAAAAAAAAAAAAAGTAAACATGACTTATTTATTTGAAAGAGAGGGGAGAGGAAAGGGAGAGAGAGGTCCTCTGGTTCACTCTCCAAATGGCCACAACAAGCCAGGGCAAGGCCAGGATGAAGCCAGGAGCCAGAAACATCATCTGGGTCTCCCACATGGGTAGCAGGAACCCAAGGACTTGGGCTGTCTTCTGCTGCCTTTGCAGGCACATTAGCAGGGAGCTGGATGAGAAGCACAGAATGGTGGGGACTTGAACTAGTTACTCCAAAACGGAATCTGGGCACTCTGGTCAGGGATATGGGCATCCCAAGTGGCATCTTATCTGCTGCCACAAAGACTTGCCTCAAGTATAAGCAGTTTTCATTGTCATGGGGACTTTTAAAAAGTTCATATTATTTACTGAACTCTGACACGTGTAATATGTTGTGATTTTAAAAAATATTTATTTGTTCGAAAATCAAAGTTAGAGAGAGCGACAGGCATATCTTCCATCTGCTGGCAGCAGTGGTTGGAGCTGGGCTGATCTGAAGCCAGGAGCCAGGAGGTTGGAGCTTCTTCTGGGTCTCATGTGGGTACAGGTGCGCATTAGCAGGGAACTTGATAGGAAGTGGAGCAGCAAGGACTCAAACTGGTGCCCTTATGGGATGCTGGCGCCATGACAGTGGCTTTGTCCACTACGTCACAGCGCCAGCCCCATATGTTGTGATTTTTAAGCCAACCTGGATTTGGTTATAAGAGGCTTGATTTCCCCAGGGAGTGGTGAGTCTGAAAGTGACCCGTACACTCCAGGGAGGTGGGCCACCTCCCCCGTGCCCACCCCAGCCGTGAGCTGAAATACCAGCCGCAGCAACGGCCATCCTTCCTGGGCTTTGCGTCTCCTGCAGGTGGAGGCGGTCATGGCAGAGCTGAGCCTGAGCCACGTGGCCGACACACTGATCGGCAGCTACAGCTTCGGGGGCATCTCCAGTGGCGAGCGGCGCCGGGTGTCCATCGCAGCCCAGCTTATCCAGGACCCCAGTAAGTGGGACCCAGGCCGGCTACTTCCTGCCTCTTCTGTCATCTACATTCATCTGAGGCCGTTTCTTCACAGTCCTCATATGGAAAGGGGAGCGTGTGTAGGCTGGAATCCCTGGGTACTTGGTGTTTTGGGGAATACCACATAGTCATTTCCTGACTCGTTGCCGTCATCCACATACGGTTCTCAACTTACGATGGCTCAGGTTGAAACTGCTGGACTTTGTGCTGGTGGGAAAGTGAGGGGCGTTCAGTAGAAGCTGTACTTGGAATCTGGATCTTTTCCTGGCGATGTGTGCGATACTCTCTCTCTCGATGCAGTGGCAGCAGCATGGAGCACAGGTCCCAGTCAGCTCGACCACCCCGAGGGGAAGCAGACAATGCCCTGGAGCGTGCTGTGTTGTCAAGTTTAGGTGGATTCTGTGCATTTGCAGTGCATACTGTTTTTGACTTACCGTGGATTTACCTGGGTGTAACTCCATCATAAGTGGAGGTGCACCCCTACAAAACAGCTCTCAGAAGCACTGCATTGCGTTTTTGCACTCCCTGAGTGTCCTCGATGCATAGGGAGCCCTGCCCTGTGTCCATCCTTATTTCTTATTAGAGCAGTACCACTGTGTCTGCCGGAGGAACACAATGAGTTTTGGTCTGCCTAGAAGGGTCTTATGCCACGGCAGGAATTAAAGCAGGAAAGTGGCACACCCAAGTGCGCGTGTGGTGGGTCAGGGGCTGTCACAGTGGGGAGCGAGGCCCTTGCCTGGTTTGGTTGCTCCCTTGACCTGGGGAAATCTCACCTCATACGTGCACCTGAAAGAGGATATATGGTGCCTGGATACGTCCACTGCCCTGGGTAGCCCCAGCCTGCCAGTTCTTCAAATGGTGCTTGGTCACTAGACAGTCAGTGCTCCTACAAGAGTCAGAGATGCTCCTAGGAGCTCCTGTCACTTCGGGGGTAGAAGGAAGCTACAGTAACAACCTCTAAGGAACCCAAATGCCTGTCTCCCCTCAGACCTGATTCACAGGGGAGATTCCTTTGCAGTACAGGGACCCTGTTAAGTACTGGGAAGTGCTACCGACATGAACTAGGCTTGTGCCTTTCTAAGCAGGTTCTTTCTCAGCCCTTTCAAAATAAATGGGTGCCCACCTGCCCTTGTTCCCTGCCAGGGGCCCCTGGACAGAGCACAGCAGTCCCTACCCCATGTAAGAGGCCTGATCTAGTCCCCCTTGAGGTTTAAGCTCCACTTGATTGGACTCTGTGGCTGAGTCGGGTCGTCCCAGGTGAAGCTGTGTCTCCTGGGCCCAGGCTGGAAGCCAGTTGGCAGGCAGGTACTTCTTGTCACATACCGTTTGAGTGCGGCATGGCGGCTTGGTAAGGAAACTGCGTAACATTCCGAGTTCCAAGCCTAGAGCCTGGGCTGGGCAGTGGCTGAGAAGCCTGCCCCTTCTTTGTGGGCAGAGGTCATGCTGTTTGATGAGCCGACCACAGGCCTGGATTGCATGACTGCCAATCAGATCGTGGTCCTCCTGGCCGAGCTGGCACGCAGAGACCGCATCGTGATCCTCACCATCCACCAGCCCCGCTCCGAGCTCTTCCAGGTAAGCGGTGTCTCTCGTTCTGCTCAGCTCCTCGAGGTGGGTGTACGGTGTGTGGAGCTGGGAATCACAGTGTGCAGGGTGTGATGAAATCTAGAGTCATCGGTGCCAACACTCCTGACTCAGGAAGGGCAAGGGGTGGAGACTCGCTTCCTACAGCACCGACCACGTACCAACCCTGGAACATGCGTATTGTGAAAAGACTATGCATGGATTTCAAAAATTTTTTCACATCAAATAAGCTTCCATTTTCCATGAATTTGTTGAAGTACCCTCATACTTTCTTTTGTTAAAATGTATGTATTTATTTTTATTTGAAAGGCAGAGCAACAGAGAGAGAGAGAGAGAGAGAGAGAGAGAGAATCTTCCATCCCCTGCATCACTCCCCCAGTGCCTGCAACAACTGGGGATGGACTAACTAGGCAGAAGCCAGGAGTCAGGAACTCCATCCAGGTTTCCCATGTGGGTGGCAGGGACCCAAGAGCTTGAGCCATCACCTGTTGCTTCTCAGGAAGCTGCTATGGGATCCAGGCGTCCCTAGCGAGAGCTTAGTCTGCTGCACCACAATGCCCATTCCTTTTAGACTTTTATCTGCTGCTTCATTTAATGCATGCAATCTTTTGAGGTAGAATTAGTTTATCCACTTGATAGAGGAAAAGAGCTGAACACAGTTATTAAGAAGCTGGAATTGCCAGTCATGGCCACGTTGGCTTCAAAGGCTGTGTTTTTCTAATAAATATACAGATTTCCTTCCCCCCCAAAAATCTCATTTTACCCTCCCAGTATCCTTTGGGTTATTTATTATTTGCTTTTTATAGATGATGATCTGAGATTTCAAATAGAAGCATCACCCAAACAAAACACAGCCTAGGTTGCCCAAGGACACTCACTTGTTGGCGAGGCTGGGACTGAAACCCAGGTGTGGTTGGTAGCTCTTCTCCCCCCCAGCTGTGCTGCTGGGGCTCAGCTCGGGGACAGCAGGATTGGCAGGGGTGACCCAGGCTGACAAGGACAGTGACCTCCAGGGCATTCATTAAGAAAACCGATGCAGGGCCAAGGTCATCAAAGGGCTGACTGCTGGGAGATGTGTGTGTCCCGGAAGGACATGATAACCGGATCACACGCTAACCACCGCCTGTTGTCTGAGCAGCTCTTTGACAAAATCGCCATCCTGACCTACGGGGAGCTGGTGTTCTGCGGCACGCCGACGGAAATGCTGGATTTCTTCGACAGCTGTGGTTACCCGTGTCCAGAACATTCAAACCCTTTTGACTTCTATAGTAAGTTTTCCTTGCACACTGCCCTCCGTGCACATGGTGCAGAATTTCTCCTCCCAGTGTTCTGCCTGGATGACAGTAGCCCTGGTGGGCTTTAACACGGGTTCTGAATTCTCCCCACTGGATAGCTTTAAGACATTCCAGTTTATAGGTGTGCATTAGCAACAGGTTTTATTCTGATGGCATGGGGTTTTTATGGCAAGTATTTCTGAATCCATGATGACATTGCTATCCACTGTACGTATCTTTGAATTAAAAAAAAAAAAAACACCTGGGTCACTATCTTTTGGGAAAAAATTTTAGTGGACTTGACATCGGTGGACACCCAAAGCAAGGAAAGGGAAATAGAGACCTACAGGAGAGTCCAGCAGATTGAGTGCGCCTACAAGGAATCAGCGATTCATCACAGAACCTTGGAGAATATCAAACAAACCAAGCATTTGAAGACGTTACCAATGATTCCTTTCAAAACCAAAGATCGTCTGGGAGCGCTCTCGAAGCTGGGCGTTCTTTTGAGGTAAGAGCCAGGAGTGGCGAGAAGGCCCCGCGTCGGGACTTTAGACGCTCACCAGTAACACGGGAAAAGGAACTACAGGAAGGCCGTTTGCTTTCAGGAGAGTGACGAGAAACTTACTGAGGAATAAGCAGGCGGTGACGATGCGCCTTGTTCAGAATCTGATCATGGGTTTGTTCGTCATTTTCTACCTTCTGCGGGTCCAGAACGAGGTGCTCAAGGGTGCGATCCAGGACCGCGTGGGCCTCCTGTACCAGTTTGTGGGCGCCACACCGTACACAGGCATGCTCAACGCCCTGAATCTGTGTAAGTGTCGGCACGCGGCGCGGCGGGCGCCACTCTCCCCGCGGCCTCTCCCTTCTCCAGCGTTCCCGTGGCGCGAGCCCACCATTATCACGGTCTTTTTCCGAGCTGAACCTGGCCCTCTCCAGGTGCTCCCGCTGGGGAAGGGCAGCTACTGACACCTTAGTGTGAACTAGCTCCCCAGTAGATTCCTGCAGGAAACAGGCAGTGCCTAGGTGTTGGCCGGAGAGTGAGGGGAGAGTCCGTTCAAAACAGGTCCTGGGCGGCTCCTGCTGGCCCCGGGGAGTAACCCTGCCAACTTCGCATCACTAGTTTCTTCTTGGAGCCTATTTTAGGACAGACAGCATCTGATTTTCAAACTCAGTGGGAACCCAGAAGCAACACCTGGTTGCCTGGCAGCACGGTTTATTCAGGAAAATAGATGTGAGAGGGATTCCCAAAATGAGACTCGGTAAAAGGGCAGAACCACACTTCTGCAAAGCGAGTCCTGGAGGCAGCACCGGGGCGCTGTTACGTCCCAGGTCTGCCAGGTAAAATGGAGGCTGCTGGGGCGCCCAGAGCCGGAACTAAAAGGGAACAAAGCGCCTCAAATCACTCATTTGGGCCCCCTTTGCATGTGCTTTTCTGGAATGGGCGACAACCTCTCATTTAGAGGGAAGGAAATGCATGGTATCTATTGCAATTCAAGGAGGGTGTAGACTTCTGGGTGGGGGTGGGGGAGTTACTGTCCTATGGATGGGAGGTCCCTTCCTTCCATGACTAAGGGAGCTGCCCAGCTGGTCTTCACCATTCATCCCTGACAGAGAGACCTCAAGCTCAGCCAGGGCTAGCCCGCCCTCCCTCAGCTCTGTGCTGACCAGTGTTCTGCCACCTGCCTTGTGTGTCCAGTTCCTGTGCTGCGAGCTGTCAGCGACCAGGAGAGTCAGGACGGCCTGTACCAGAAGTGGCAGATGCTCCTGGCCTATGTGTTGCACGCGCTTCCCTTCAGCATCGTCGCCACCCTGGTTTTCAGCAGTGTGAGCTACTGGTAAGGGGGCATGTGGGACAGGCAGTTCTCCCAGGGCCAGGCCTCCTGTGGCTCTCAGAGGACCACTGGGATCTGTGGAGGGAGAGCTCCAGGGTGGCCAACACCATGTTCTCTGCCCTGGAGGACCTGCATTTTGCCCATCCATGCGTCCAATGCAAGATTCTATTTTCAGACCGTGTATTATGAATATGTTAATCCCACTGTAGGCTGCATGGGACCTGAGAGCAAACCAACAAGGCAAGGAAGCCTAGGCAATGTCATGTCCCACATTCACTGCAGACCCTGGGCCAGAGCACGGGGCTCTGAGGTAGTTGGCACTCAGCCACATGCAGGGCCCAGGTGCAGGGGCTGAGGAATTGCCCACTAGCGACTGAGCGTGGCGCCCCCAAGCCTCTGGAGGCCGGGGCGGAGCAGCGCTTCTTCCTGATGGGACTTAGGATATCGCGGTCGGATGGGTGAGGGGGCTTAGGAACAGATCACCAGGGGCAGAGGGCACCAGAAGCACTAGAATATTCCTGATGCTGTTGGGTTTTCTGATAACGTATCAACAGTGCTTTTTATTTCTGAGAAGTTGGTAAAGATCTGAATCCCAGTACGTGTGGAGTTTAAGTATCTGCGTGATGTGTTGTCATAGGGTGATGGAGCCTCCTTCATCAAAGTGGCTTTCCCTTAAGAAACACTGCAGGAAGTTACCCAGTACCCTCTGGCTCCATTAGTGTAAGGGCACTCTGCTTGCTATCTGGAGGGAGAACCTGAGCAGTTCTTGACCCACTGTCCTTCATCACCTGGAGTCACGTGTAGGTGCTCCCAGCCAGAGCCAGGAGAAAGACCCATAACACCAATATGAATAATATTGTAAATTAAAGGATCTAAGTACAGGGTAAATGAGGGCTTAGTGTGAGCTCCAAGATTAAGTTTGACAGTCTTCGTGCAAGCTTTCAGAAGTAGGTGTTACCTTGGAGAGTGACAGGGACAACGCCATTTGTTTCATGTCAGCAGGAGGGTGGATTGCCAACTGAGGGCAATGGCCAGGACCACACAGCACAACCCTGCCTGCTGGCTCTCATGAAGTTCCCTCACTCTCTGACACTCAGGAGCATGCTAAATCTCTAAGCTGTGATATAACCCCAGGCCTATCTGGTTCAGGCTGAAAGAGCCAAGAGCAAATTCTAAAAATGGTTCCCCTCCTTTAAAAAAAAAATAATTAGTTATTTGAAGACCAGAGAAATAGGGAGAGGAGGAGAATGAGGAGAAAAGAACGAGAGACATAGACAGAGAGAGATCTTCTGTCAGCTGGCTCACTCCCCAAAGGCCCACAACAGCTGGAGTTGGGCCAGGCTGAAGCCAGGAGCTTGGAACTCAATCCAGGCCTCCTACGAGGGTGGCAGGGACCCAGGTACTTGAGTCAGCGCCTGCTGCCTCTCAGGGTGCACACTGGCAGGGAGGTGGATTGGAAGCGAAGTAGGGTCTCACACCCAGGCACTCTAATTCTAATATGGGATTGGGGCATCCCAAGCAGCGTCTTCACCACTGAGTCAAATAACTACTCAAAAATGTGACCAGTTTTGAGTAAAACAAGGTAAAGTGAAAATTGAAGACCTCGTTCATTTAGAACCTCACTGTTCATTGTGGCCCACGGACTACCGCGTGCATGTTACTTTGGGGCTTGTTCCACTTGCAGAATCTCAGGTCCAGCCCTTGAATTCGCAGAATTGGCATCTGAGGGTGGAATTCTGCAGAACTATATTTTTCATTTAACAAGATCCCCCGAGTGATTTGCATGCACCTTGCAATATGTAAAGCACTGATTTTGAAGACAATACAGTATTTGTGACTGACCATGAGAACCATTTTGTTCTGTAGGACTTGAGAAAACTGCAAATTTAAACCAACGTCAGTGGAAACATCAGGTCTTTGCTGTTTTTGATAAGTCAGGCATGAAAATGCAGGATCATGGGGCCAGCATTATGGTTCAGTGGGTCAAGTTGCCACCTGCAGCACTGGCATCCCATATGGGAGTGCTGGCTTGAGCTCCTCTGCTTCTGATTCAGCTTCTTGCTATGCACCTGGGAAGACAGTGGAAGGTGCCCAAGTACTCAGGCCCCTGTCGCCAGTGTGGGAGGTCCAGATGTGTTCCAGGCTCCTGGCTTCGGCCTGGCTCAGCCCAGGCCATTGAGGCTATCTGGGGAGTGAACCAGTAGATGATGGATGATCTCTTACTCTGTCTCACCTGTCTGTTACTCTGCCTTATAAATAAATAAATGAAATGCAGAATCATTTCCAGAGGCAGCACAGCTATTAGTCGTGTAGCAAATACTTTAAGAAATGATAGAAATCTCTGTTGAATGCCTACTAAGTGCCAGGCGCAGTTTGTGCTACAGGTTGTTTCAAGAAGACTTCACTCCAAGTGCTATCCTCAAGCTTGGATAGCCCGGAGTGTATTTGTAACTCTGTTAGCAGGCCATCTGGCCTGAACTCAGTGGCAACACCTGACTGGACCTGACCTCAGGTTCTCGGTTCTTGTCTGGCATGAACACTCTGTGGCAGTAATATTCAGGTGCTGGAGTATGGCTAGCATCTTGGATCCCACTATGGCACATGGTGCAAAACCTTTCCACATCAGTGCACGTTCACGTTCAGAATGACATCCAGCTTTAAGGTATTTCAGATCATGATTGCAGACATAAACAGATTTCCAGATGACTTTTCTTGCAAAAAGCATCAGATTGCTATTATAAGAAGCACAGATGCTGTGCTGAGAGATGGAATAGGAGTTGGCGCTAACACACAGTGAGCACTTGCTTTATAGCGGGCACCAAAGGCTTTAAACGAGTTAATTCATGCAATGCTTGGAACCATTCTAGAAAATGTTACTACTGGTATCCTCGTTGGTAAGTGGGGAAACTAAGGCACAGAGGAGCGTTTCCCATCTCACGTCCTTGATGTTAGTAATTCCAAGGAAGACCAGACCGGCAGAACATTTGGCTGGGTGAAGAGAGGGGTTCTGAGGGGAAGGAACTCTTGGGGGTCTTTGGAGGAGAACTTGGGACATGAGCAACATCTCAATGAACCGCAAAGGGAGCAAAGGCATTGCCAGTAAAGGAGGAGCAAGGGTGCAGGTTCAGAAGCAGAAAGGTAAGCCCTTCCCGGAGGAAAGGTTCATCTGCACCATGGGGAATGAAGGATTGGCAGGAACAGTAGACATCAAGACTGGAAACTGGGGCTTGGTAAGGGAGGCACTGACTGCCCGGTCCACAGGCCCACACGTATTGGATAATGGGGCACAGGAGACGGTTCTAAGCCATGGAACGGCTCCTCTGTGTTGAGTCCTGAGTGGTGAGTCTGGCATCCCTTTGGCAGCAGACTGGAGTTAGGACACAGAAGTCGGATGGTTCAGTGAGGGGCCTTTGCAACAGAATACTGGAAGGCAGAAGACCCTCAATGAAGAGAGTAGTAGTGGCAACAGAGAGGGGAAATTGTCCTGAGATGCTGACATATAGAGTCAAGTGGACTCAAACTGAATGGATTTACTGGAGCAAAAAAGTCGCCCATGATGTCTGAGTCTTCAACCTCAGGGAACGGGAGGGCGGCAGCATCCTTACAAGCTTTCCAGGAAAGAGAGTGGGTTTTGTTTGGAATACACAGCATCAGGGATGCTAAAGGACAAGCAACTGGAGCTGTCCGTCTGAGGTTTGTGTGATAAGAAAAGGAAGGGTAAGAGTAACAGCTCTGGGAATAGATGCTGCAGGGAGAGTGGAGGAAGAGGGAGGAAGCAGGCTGAGGGTAACACCTACACCAGGGACACTGAGATCAGGAAGAGGACAGCACGCCAATGAAGGAAGCAAAGGGTGGCCAGCGAGACAGGAGGAGGAACAGGACTGGGCAGCATCAGAGCTTTGAGGAGGTGTGGTAAACCATTTGACATGGCAGAGGTTTAAGGAGGTGAGGCCAAGATAAGGAGGTCATTGTCACTGTTCACAAAAGAGCTTCGGTGGAGTGGTGGCGGTACAAGTCAGGTTTATGAGGGGAAAAGGAGCGAGGTGGGGGAGGGGCTTGTTGATACAGGGTAGGATGAGGAGGGAGAAGTTGCTTAGATGGTTATCAGGCTCAAGAATGGTTGTTCTAAAAACATCGGATTGAGAACAGATGAAAATACAGCCAGCATTGGGAAAGCCACAGATCAAGGTTTCAGAGCAGACCAAAGTACAGGTAGGTAGAATCAGAACAACCTGGGTTCATCGATGCAAATAGAGAGGGTCACGCATGGCAGAGATAGGGGAGTGGGGGGAGGGTGCAGGGCAGGGAGAGGATGGGGACAGAGAACAGACTAGGATGACAGAAATTCATGGAATGGGAGGTGAGTTTATGTGCTGAGCACATGAGAGACTGAGGTTGGTGATTTAAAATAGAGGTTCTATCAGCCAAGGTGGGATGTGCCATTAGAACCCAAGATGCAATGAGGACACTTTAGGGGCCCAGAGGCCAGGTGAAGCAAATTGGCAGAGCGGATTCAATCAGTACAACGGTGTGTGGTATTCAACACACCCTCGACTGCTTCCATGAGAGAGTGGAGTTTCCAGAAGTGGGGGTGAGGATCTGAAGTAGGAGGGCACTGGGGAAATGGGAGACAGGAGACCATGACCAGAGAGCTTGTTTTCAGAACCTGAAACCTTGCAAGTGGAATAGTTTTGCGTGGGAGTGTGAGACATGGTGGCAAGTGATCAAGATTAGGTAGATGGAGGAGATTAGATAATTAGGAGACATAGATGATGATGGCTCATCAAGAAGGTTAAAGACTAGGGAAACGATAGCAAGAGGAGCAGAAAGAATGACCCTTATCTAGATGATCCAGAGTGTTTTGAAAGTCCACAGACTACCATGGGGATGGAAATTGATAATATGAGAACACATGATTTGTACACGAGGAAAGGTGAACAGCCTTGAAGCATGGTAGGGAGGAGTGGGTGCCAAACACGCCGACTTCTTTTCCTCCCTCTACAAATGCAGTAAGGACCACATCGTCTAATGGGCGCCGTTTAAGACCTGCTACTACCAGGGAAAAGGAATCTGGTGAAAGCAATGTAAGAGAAAAGCGCATGGAGATAGGGTCGTTTGTTTGTAAGGAGACAAAAGGCAGATCTCTGGAAGGAGTTGGTCATGAAGATAATAATGGAAAGGAGGAGAGGCCTGCAGAGGGCTAATCTCATGGAGGTCGAGAGCGGGAGAGGGAGTTTGGATTTAAAAAATATGGGGAAAAAAAAAAGCACTTTTAGGACTACTTTGGGAATAACAACGACAAAAGCTGTGAGGGGTTTTCATGCCAGCAGTGACCCCACATCACGCAGGGATAGGTTTGTGGGAGGCGGGCTGGGCAGCAGGTTGGGTGAGCCCCTAGCATCAGGCAGGAGTGGTGCTTGCCAGGCAGCATGTGGTCACGCAGGCAGCCTGGAGACCAGCCACTCGACTTCCTGCTGGCAGTTAGGGCCGTTGTCTGTGTAATTCCCTGTTTCCCATGAGAGCTGCAGGAGCTGTAAAAGGGAGAAGGTGGCTCCCACTGAGTTGGTGCCAACGGAAAGAACCATGGGCCTAGGTTTCGAATGCTGGCTCTTTCAGACAAGGCCTGATGAAGGGGAGCTGGGCTTGCCCTGCACACCGCCCCGACCACCACCACGACCGTGGAGTTATTCATAGAAGGCAAGCACAGTGCTTTGCTTAGTGGTAACTCTTGGAGAAAAAACTAAAGACCTTATGTTTTTCTAGGACTCTGGGCTTATACCCGGGGGTTGCCAGATTTGGATATTTCTCTGCTGCTCTCTTGGCCCCCCATCTAATTGGTGAATTTCTAACTCTTGTGCTACTTGGCTTCATCCAAAACCCAAACATAGTGAACAGCGTGGTGGCTCTGCTGTGCATTGCCGGGGTGCTGGTTGGATCTGGATTTCTCAGGTAAGATATAATGCTCTGATTTATTACTAACGTCACGTGACAATGACCGTTTACGAGGAACTGCAGAGAGCGAAGTGGTAGTGGTTACAGATTTCACCTCAGCGTCTGGCATAAGTACACTGCTTGCTAATTATTATTGCCCCAGACTTTGAACTGTTTACCATTTGTTCAATAAACTGTCTTTTGATTGGGAATCTGAGAATGACAAGGTAAGCATATTATTGATAAGATTCATCTATTATAAGCCATTATAGCAAGAGGAGGAAAGGCATTCTGGGTGTTGCAGAAAAACTCACAGTCCATATTGCAGGTTAAATAGCATCCCTGTTTTTAGTTCCTCTCTGAACTGGCACTATTGAGTCTCTATTCCAGTTCCCAATTTTAAGTTATTTTTAGGAATTAAGACTAGTCAGATAAAAAAGAGCCTGCAAGATAAAAGACTCATCAAGAAAGTCACAGGGCTTAAAGGAAATACACTAAATATTGACAGTAATTCTCTTTGGGTGATATTTTAATTTTTTCTTTCTTTTCCCATACTTCATACATTTTCTATAATGGACAAACATCATTTTGTTAACTGAATACACACACACACACACACACACATACACACACCGAGCGCTTCCAATAGTTTGTGGAGGAGTGGGCATTTGGTGCAGCAGTTAAGACACTGCTTGGGATGCCTGCATCCCATGTTGGAGTGCCTGGGTTCAAGTCCTAGTTCCACTTTGGATTCCAGCTTCTTGCTAATGAACACTTTGGGAACCAGCAGGTGATGGCTCGAGTTCTGAGGTCCCTGCTACCCATATAAGAAAGTCCAGACGGGTTCCAGGCTCCTAGTTTTGGTCTGGCTCAGCCCTGGCTGTTGTGGGCATTTGGGGAGTGAAACAGCAGATGGAACATCTGTCTCCCTCTCTCTTTTTTCTTTCTGCCTTTCAAATAAATTAATTCATTAGAAACATAATCAGATGACAAACGAGAAAACTACTGAGCAGCTACCAAACATGATTATATGTTTAATTACTTAGCTCTAAGAGCAGTCCATTTTCAGGTAAGAAAACCAAGTTCAGACTTGATCTTGCTTAAGTCCCACCACCATGAGGACTCTCCCATGATATGTGTGTTCCCTAGAGAGGGCTGATTTAGGAGTCAGGAACTTCCTCTACCACTTAGCTGCCACATGAGCATCAGCAAGTCACTGTTCTATCTAAATTGCTTTCCTCATTCATAAAAGGAAGGTAGTCTTCTTGGGCTCACAGACCTCAAAAGATCACAGAGAACAAATGAGAAAACACCAAGACACAGTATAAACTCTATTGAGCGTTATAAAGGCGAGAGATTATAGAGCAAAGTGAACTACACTGTGGTCATTCAAGAAGGATATTCTTACAGCGACATCATTACACTGTATTTGTCTGTGTTACTTTAGTGAATTGTTAGCATCTATGAAAATCATATCACCCCCAAGGATATAGAAATCAAATCAAACCACTTTCAAGGACACAGAATCAAACTGGCACGGTATAGAACCAACCTTGGGTAGTATCTCCTGTTTTTTATTATTTGAATAATGTTCCTGTCAGTGTGGCACTATTTCATATATTTGGTTTGGAGTAAAAAGGGATTACTCTTAAAGGGGAGGCAGTGGTGAACATCATCAAATACTCTTGGGTTCTTTGCAAAATTTTAACAACTCAAAGTTTGACTTGGAGTCCACTCCTATCTCTGAATTGAAATGCCACCCTTGAAGGCCACTCCAATTTCCTAATCATTATGTTGATAGTTTCCCCTCAACTCATCATCTTTCCTAAGCTGAATTGCCGGCAGCATTTGTATTATGGAATCCTTCTTCTTTTAAACACAAATGGAAATAGCTTTGCTGTTCTTTCTGCTTGTGAAATGATGCAAATTGTTTGGGAAACAAATGCACATACTATAGAACTGTCTGTTATGAGGAATATGGCAAAAGTTATTTGAAGTATCACAACAGAGTTCAATTTTGTTGTATATCTTGCTAGACTTTTATAAATTTTTTAGTAAAATGAGATAATGCTATTGTATAAGATGTAAAGTGTACATCCTTTCTTCCCTTTTAACAACAGAATGTGGACAGTCCCATGTCAATGAATTTAGATCTACAGTTCCTCCTCTTGAAATTTCTCCAAGGGTTTCTATGACATAGCCTGGCTCTTGTGTGCTTTTTACTGAGGATTCGTCTCCCTCTGCCACCTGCACAAAGTTTGCCTATTGTTCCCGTGGCTACAGGGGCTCTCTCTGAAAGCCCCCTTTGCTTTCTCACATGCCACTTCCTACTTCTTTTAATAGGCTGTCAACCTCTTGGGGGCAGCAGCTGTCTCACTTATCATGATAGTCTTTCTCAGTGGCCAGCTCATGGCCTTGAGCCAATTAAGTTTGCAAAAATTACATGTTGAACTGAATAAATGAATGACTCTCCTCTTATACTGCCTACCACTAGATCAGACACCAAATTGTGTTGATATTTTCTGATACCCATAATATCCGAAAATGTCCATGGAGCATTTTGTGTTTAGCCTTGTGTGACACAGGGAGAAACGAAGGCACAGATCCTGCCTCAGGGAGCTAGCTCCAGCCAGCTGGGCAGCCATCCTCTGTGGCCATCATGTTAGTCCTGGTCTTCATCATCTCAGACTTGAATTTTTGCTGTTGTTTGCTTCCTTTGTTGGCTGTTCTTAATCTTATTCTGGTCCATCCTACTTGTTGGTGTCACATTAACTTTTTTTTTTTTTAAGACTTATTTGTTTATTTGAAAGGCAGAGTTACATAGAGAGGGAAGGAGAGGCAGAGAGAGAGAGAGAGAGAGAAAGGTCTTCCATCCGCTGGTTCACTCCCCAGTTGGCCACAATGGCTGGAGCTGTGCCGATCCGAAGCCAGGTGTCAGGAGCTTCTTCAGGGTCTCCCACGTGGGTGCAGGGGCCCAAGGACCTGGTCATCTTCTACTGCTTTCCCAGGCCATGGCAGAGAGATGGATCAGAAGTGGAGCAGCCAGGACTCGAACCAGCACCCATATGGGATGCTGGCACTGCAGGTGGCACTATGCCACAATGTGCCCCCCCGCCCCCATTAACTTTCTTAGTACAGTGGCTGCAACATAAATTTATTTGTGGTCATTCAATATCAACTCACTTCGAGGCCCTGTTTCCAAATGTTGTTCCAAACTCACTTCCCACTGCTCCCACTTCAAATCCTATGCTCCAGCTGTTCTGGTCCATTCAGCTCCATCAGCAACCAGTGCCATGCCTGTGTGCATGCCATTTCTGCATTCTTGGAATATCCTCCCTCTTCCTCTAATTCCTTCCCAACTCCCATTTACCCTTTTCAAACAGCAGCTTCTCAGTGTGGTTAATTCACTTGGTGCCTTAGAAAGTTTCCAGTAACTGAAAGTCGTGGAGTTTGGGAGTCACTTGGGAATAGGTGAAACCATAAATATGCGCTGAATGTAAGAATGTTATGGACACATGATACTGGTTTTAATATTTTCTTGGTATAAGTAGCTCACTACTATGTGTTTTTACAGTCTTAATAATGTATATTTTATGTCTCCAACTACACTGTGAGTTCTTTAGAGAAAGAATACTTTTCTTGGAATTCCTCAGTCACCTTTGCCATACAAACAGAAAGGATTTAATACAGGTTTTTGATTGCTAGAACCGTACAGCAGATCCAGAAGGCCACAGGGTCAGCATGCAGTTTCTCCTGCCATGGATGGAGAAGAGGGCGTTTCGTCTCACTGGGACTGTCCACTTGCTCTCTCCCTGCCTCCTCTTTTACTCTCACTGTCATTTAATGTTTTCACTTTGTACGCCTGCTCCTTCCAATCCGTTTCATCACAAACATCCTCGCCTCTAATGCAATATGTGGTAGGTGTGTGTTTATATCGCTAGTGCTTACCAAAATAATTACATACCAATAAATCATGAGGGGACTGTTACATTCAGGTCTCTGCTACAACGGACTACCAAGCAGTGGTGAAAAATGCTGAACTGCTCTGCTTACTGACTTGGCAGGTTGTTTGAAACATGTTTGAAAGGGGAACATAGCAGATTAGTGAAGGGCATGAATGAAGAGTTTAGTTCTGTAAAGGTTCCTAAGCATATACATATCCCAGAATTTTAATGACAGTTATTTCTAGGCAATGGTATTTCTTTATTTTTTGGTATTATTTGAAGTTTTTTGGGGTGACCATAACTTTTATAAGAAATGGAAAATTATATTCATATTAGAAAGTGTGATATAGGGATTGCCTTTCTTTTCATTTGGTAAAACTTACCAGAACCTACTGAATTTAATTTTTTTTCTTTTTCTTAAGAAACATAGAAGAAATGCCCATTCCCTTTAAAATCTTCAGTTATTTTACATTCCAAAAATATTGCTGTGAGATTCTTGTAGTCAATGAATTCTATGGATTGAATTTCACTTGTGGTGAGTATTTTGTTTTGGAATATTATTTTTATGAATTACTCTGAGGAATCAATTTCCTGAGGGAAATATATTTTTGAAATGCAAGCTGTATTTTATAATAAGTCAATGTAAAATTTTGTTTTGAAATAAAGTCCAACATTTGCTCTGATTTTTAAAATAAAATAAGCAGTGAACAAATTATTCTTCTGACAAAAGTCAATAGCTTATGACCACTTTGATATTATCAGAAAGTGACAGGACTTTTGTATGCTGAGGTAAACTCTAGTATATTCTGGAATATGGACAGGGTCCCTATAGCTACTGAATGCAGACAAGAGGCTTCTTGTCCCCTCAAATATGCATAGTATACAGCTAAGAAAATCATTTTTGGCAAAAGTCTATTCCCCAATCCCATAAAAGGGTACCTAATCCACATGACAAGGTCCTCATGGCCATCGGAGATCCCAGAGCCATTCTGGAAACAACTAAAAAACATGGTAGAATTTAATGATTTAAATATTTTTTGGTGATCATGTCAGTAACTTTAGGATATTTAATGCTAAGAAATAATGATTTTTTTTTGCAGTCAGGAATATGATAATAAATTTATACCCAAAATACAAACACACCCATCTCCATCTTCAAATTAAGCCAAGGCCCAGAATTCTCACTCTTCATCTAATTGTGAATTCTGGGTGCTCTAAACTGTCATGTGTCTTTCATGAACAAAGGTTCTTGTCACTGAGTTAGCATTTGGGAAATACTTCATCAAATTACCCATGATTCCCCATAACTGGCATTGTCAATATTTTCCTTGACAGGTGGCCCAAATGGTTCTATGATGGCTCATCCAATGTGTACCTTCACTCAAGGAATTCAATTCATTGAGAAAACCTGTCCTGGAGCAACAACCAGATTCACAAAAAACTTTTTGGTTTTGTATGCATTTATCCCAGTTCTCGTCATCCTAGGAATAGTTGTTTTTAAAATAAGGGATTACATCATTAGCAGATAGTATCGAATAATCCTGGGAAGATGGAACTGAAGCTGCTAGATGTGTGTGACTGCCTTGAATGTCTGGAATAAGACGCCAAGTATTTCCTTCCTGATGGGATATTTTAAGTCTTTTAACCATTAAGACTCCATTTGTGAAGCTGGCACTGTGCGTAGCAGGTAAAGCTGCTGCCTGCAGTGTTGGCATCCCATATGGGCACTGGTTTGAGTCCCAGCTGCTCCACTTCCAATCCAGCTCCCTGCTAATGTGCCTGGGAAAGCAGAGGAAGATGGCCCAAGTCTTTGGGCACCTGCATCCATGTGGGAGATCAAGAGGAGGTTCCAGGCTGCTGGCTTCGGATCAGCCCAGCTCTGGCCATTGCAGCCATTTGGGGAGTGAATCAATGGATGGGAGACCTCTGTCTCTCTCTCTCTCTCTCTCTCTCTCTCTCTACCTCTACCTCTACCTCTTCCTCTCTGTAACTCTGCCTTTCAAATAAGTAAATAAATCTTAAAAAAAAAAGACTCCATTTATGCCTCTTGGATCCACATAGGCCTTGAATGCAATGGAAATGGTTCATAGTCCCTTGCTGTCTCAACCTGCAAGGACATGTGCCATTTGGAAATTATGAGTGAGCTGGTCCAAGAATATAAGTAATAATAATTGATAAATCTACAGAAGACTAGTGTGCCTGTTTTCTTTCCTTGTTCTAGACATAGAAAAATAGGTCAGTTTAACAACTTAGGCTTATATTTGATAGACGATAAAAGCAGCAGCAGGTTTCAATGATTCTGACTAGAAGTAACAGATGAAGAGTTGTGAGTTTAACTGAAGCAAAGCATCATGCAGAAGTGGGTGAGAATGCTTTTGTTATTATTTAAAACCCATTTTTTCACATGCACACAGTCACAGGAGGGCCCCAAGTTACCTGATTGCATGGAGTTTTTGAACAGAGGTTTGATGAGGAACAGCCCTGATACTGAGCGCCCAGTGATTTTATGGAAGGTTGAAGTAAAAACTGTAGGAATGGGCTGAGTGGTGAACAAACCTCTGGTGATGCCTTTAAAGGTTAGTTTGTTATTCTTCACTTTCAATTAGTTTACTTATGAAATTAAAAACAAACATTACTAGACAAGATGTATGCATTGAGAAATGACTTCTTTAAGGTTTTAGAGCAGCTGTTATTTCAAGTCCATTTAGAAAAAATTCTCAACTGACACAACATTTACACTAGGAAGAGTAGGATTACCCACTAGGAATTCACATTCTTGAACTTGTGAAGAGAAGAATCCTGACAAATACAAGTACAGACACCTATATTACATATTTCCAGGGCTCAAATGATATATATATATGTTATTAAAAATGGGTTCTCCACCAAATGACTGATTATCTTTCTGATTAATCTTCGTGTAACTCAAGTTCAACTCTGAAATGAAACTGTCTCAAGGTTACCATGGTAACTTTGACGAGACTCTAGAAGCCAGCATATGAACTTGTTCAGTAACTGTGACCTATGTTGTAAAGAATAATAAATTATAGCACTTGAAATGTCTCACATGATAGTAGGAAAGATCATTTCATTAAGGAAGCCACAGTAAAATTCTATTTCATAGAACACTATTTAAGGATCTGGAGACATTGGTAAATTACCAGAATAGCACTGTCAATTTTTATAAAAGGTCTTTGACACTGATGATTATGGTATAATAGTTACATAATGCCTTACAGATTATATATGTCACATCAGTTATAGACAATCCTGGGGAGGATAATCTATTAAAGTAGTTCAAAGAGAGTCCCACAGGAACCTCTTTTGAAATCACTGATTTCAACTTACTAAAGATATGGGTGTACAATGTAAGTAGAAACGTTTTCTATTCATATGCAGATGAATTTCATTCTAGCTCAAACATTTGGAAAATTGACATTGCACGTGACTTCAAGCTATTAAATGTTAGTGATAGCACCTTAGGAAAACACTATAGCTTTCAACATGTGACAGTTGGTGTCTTAAATGAAAATGGACAGTGATGTGTAAGAAAATCAAATTATAAACTGAAAATTCCTGTTATATTGTGGAATAGGCTCGCTCTTCCCAGCAAATCAGTGATGCTTCTGAGATCGCGAAGTTCACTATGACTTTAAAGGAAGCTCTTTCTCCACAGTGCTCAGACAGGCATCTGTCTGTTCTGGAGTCCAAGGTTCCTTGGAAACATGCCAATTCTCTTCTCTGGAGTGTCCAAACCATATGCAAACAGTGTATGAAGTCCTATTTCACTGCAGCCATCAGAGAGCTCTCTAGTCTCTCAGACACTGCCCACCAGTTTTGGTATTCTTGAGGTTCGTAAATATGCTTTTTGGGAAGCTGGGTGTGTGGTATACTTGAGTAAACATTTGATACATGGAAATGGAGACCAGCGAATAAATGAATGGCCAGGTTAATGAGGTACTTAGAACGGAACTTGTCTAGCAGGTGCATAAATTTGCAGAACTGGAGGGCTTCTCATAGGTTATCCCACCTTGAAAATGCTCCCGCTTACCCCAACTCATCAAGTTCCAGCCTGCTTACTGATGGGCTACCTCCTTAAATGTGCCTGTGTTTCAAAAAGTGACATTTAAAATGCATGTATCATTCTCACTGTGTGTGGGAGTTCTTAACAAACAATTGGTTAAGAATCTTTGGGTGTGGGGTGCCAGGAATGTTCATTTAAATAACAACTTCAGGTGCTTCTTTTGTCTCACTGTTAACAGTAAAATCATGACACTGGTGAGCCCAGAGCTGGTTTCCTACCAGCTACAGCTGAGCACACCTTACACTTGCAGAAGAAATACATCCAACATGCATGCTCAACCCATATTTAAAGCTGAGACCAAATACTCTTGCATTCATATTTCTTACAACATAAATCATACATGCAAAGCTGAGTATATTCCTCTCAAACATGTTGCAGGTGGGCTGTGAAAGTTTTTTTTATGTTTTTTAAAAAACAGTATATATACTTATACATTTCCCCCCTTTTGAAAGACTTCAAATATCCAGGAAGATGCATTAATACAAGAAATTTGGCTTTTCCTTTAAAAAAATTAGGTATCACAGCTTTATTCACATTTTTGTCACAATAGGTAACAAAAGAATCTTACTTGTGTTTGGGAAAAGAGAAATAAGTAGATACACAACAGCTGAGTTAGATTCAGGACTCAAGATCAATTTGTTTCCAAGACTTGGAAGAACTCTTTTTGTACTGTTCCAGCTCCTAGAACGAAAATAGGTATTACTTTAAGAAAAATCAACTTTGCAAACTCAAGCAGGCATCTTAAAGTGGTCTTAGCACTTTTTGGATTGACAGTGTATTTTTTTTTTTTTTTTACAGGCAGAGTGGATAGTGAGAGAGAGAGACAGAGAGAAAGGTCTTCCTTTGCCTTTGGTTCACCCTCCAATGGCCGCCACGGCTGGAGTGCTGTGGCCGGCGCACCGCGCTGATCCGAAGGCAGGAGCCAGGTGCTTATCCTGGTCTCCCATGGGGTGCAGGGCCCAAGCACCTGGGCCATCCTCCACTGTACTCCCGGGCCACAGCAGAGAGCTGGCCTGGAAGAGGGGCAACCGGGAAAGAATCTGGTGCCCCAACCGGGACTAGAACCCAGTGTGCCGGCACCACTAGGTGGAGGATTAGCCTAGTGAGCCGCGGCGCCGGCCACAGTGTATTCTTCATATATTTTTACTCCCTAAATTTCTTGACCATTATACTAAAGATTTATTTTCTAGAATATAGTCTTAAGTTTCTGTGCAATTTACACAGCACTCAGAGGAATCTATTAAAATTTCAGACAAAACGATATTTGCATGGTACATACAAATTTTCTTCCAGTACAGCATTTGTCATACCTCAATGATTTAAAAATGATCTTATTTTTGTTTGCTTGTCAAGAAGTTGGTTGAAGTTAGCAGTATCAGTATTTAAAATGTACTGGGGCTGGCGTTGTGGTGCAGCTAAAGCTGCTGCCTGTGACTGGTTCAAGTCTTGGCTGCTCCACTTCTGCTAATGTCTGGGAAAAGCAGAAGATGGCCCAAGTGCTTGGGCCCCTGCATCCATGTGAGAGATCCAGATGAAGCTCCTAAACCTGGCTTTGGCCTGGTTCACCGCTGGTGGTTGTGGCCATTTGGGGAGTGAACCAGTGGATGGAAGACCTCTCCCTCCCCCTCAACTCTTTCAAATAAATAAATGAATCTTAGAAAATTTAAAATGTATATTTCCCTTTACTCTTAGAAACTTACAGAGAATAACAGAGAGGTGAGCAAGGAATAGATGGACACTCATTGCACTTGCAGCTCAGCACACAGTAGGAAACAGTCCTTACTGGGGAACACCTGAGTGCATTAACATTCCTTCACACAGGCTTCCTAGGCAGCAAGCAAAAATGATGGTGGTCTTATGTGCTACGTGGGAAAGCAAGTCACCAGGAAGAAAGCAGGGAACTTCCATTTTCTATACTTCCAAATCTTTTTAATTTTTCACAGTGAGTTATGTTAATTTTCATAAAATAAAGAAAAATTTTATTAGAAGTGGAAATCCTCCATGAGACAATTAAAATGCAAAAGGAATCATTTAAGGAGACTGCCTTCTGACCTCCTTTAAGATGTTTAATGTCTAAGTAGGTATACAAGTGTATTATGATTTCATATTTGCAAGAAGTGGCTACACTGCTCGATAAAGCAGTCGCTGCCCTTTGGCTAACATAATCGAAGTCTGTAGTTGCTAAGAAAATATGAAAGGAAAACTGATTTTCACTTTCAGAAAAATTTAGATTGTCTCTTAAATTTTAATGTTATAGAACTTTCAAAACTATATATCGACTTTGGAAGAATTTCTATAGTAATAACTAGTAGTCTTGACAACTTGGTTTGTTTTTTCTAATGAATTCAGCTCACCAGTTATCTACCACTTGTGATTTCAGAATGTTAACTGATAATGAATACACAAATCGGTATTGGAAAGTTTGTCTTTTATTGAAAGTGTTGTCTTTTTTTCCCAATGATAAAAGTGAGGACTTTGCTTTGAGATTTTTGCTAGTTGAGTTTCTCTTCTGTAGACAGAAAGTTGAGAGAGGAATGGGGCTGGTCACGCAGCCCATGGCGGAGGCAGAACAAGTTCTGGTGTGACACAGAGCTCACCAAGTCCACCTGATCTTCAATACTGCTATCATGTGAACTCAAAATAGTATGACGGTATTTTAAAGAGGCAGCAAGTAAGAATTTCTTTACACTGTGGCTCTTTAAGGCTGATTTACAGATCCATTTTAAAAGTGAAAGTAAAATCAAGAAATTTTCTACTTTGACTTAAAAACCTGTAACATTTTCAGATAGAAAAGGCCCTTGTTTTACAATGGACGACAGTCTACTAATGTTTAAACCAACATTTTCTTTCTTTCTTTTTTTTTTTTTTTTTTTGACAGGCAGAGTGGACAGTGAGAGAGAGAGACAGAGAGAAAGGTCTTCCTTTTGCCGTTGGTTCACCCTCCAATGGCCGCCGCGGTCGGCGCGCTGCGGCCGGCGCACCGCGCTGATCCGATGGCAGGAGCCAGGAGCCAGGTGCTTTTCCTGGTCTCCCATGGGGTGCAGGGCCCAAGCACCTGGGCCATCCTCCACTGCACTCCCTGGCCACAGCAGAGGGCTGGCCTGGAAGAGGGGCAACCGGGACAGAATCCGGCGCCCCAACCGGGACTAGAACCCGGTGTGCCGGCGCCGCTAGGCGGAGGATTAGCCTAGTGAGCCACGGCGCTGGCCTAAACCAACATTTTCAATAAAGGAGAGTAACAACATTTTTCTCTAAAAGTCCGAGTTAGTGTGTTTAATTGAATAATAGGCCTAGGAATTATAAGTAAATTGACCTTTAAAATCAGGGATTTGAAATAGATATTTGTGGTTGGCTAAGAAAACCTTACAAATAAATGTTTACTGAAACCTTTCCTTTTTTTTTTTTTACTTTAACAAAAATGTAGTAAAGAAGTAGAAAGTCTCAGCAAGTGCTTCCATATTAACATTTCCTTAAATGAGGAATGCTTTAAAACTAGAGGGAAGAAAGAAGGAAAGAAAGTGGAAATGGAAGGAAGGAAGGAAGGAAGGAAGAAAGGAAAGAAGGGAGGGAGGGCACGGATGAAGTATTTTCTGGTGCCCAGGTGAAGTCTGGCAAAAGAGCAAACTTAAGGAAAGAGTTCATCAGGAAAGATCCTTAGTCTGCAGGAAAGGTGAGAGGGATCTTTCTACCAATTCTTAGATCCACGAGGACTGGTTTCACAGGTCATAAGGATTGCCATGCATTTGTATTCAGAACAGCTATAATAAAATAAACATTTTTCTACAAAGACTTACAGAAAATTATGGAATATTGTGGCACCAGCAGGATATCTAATAGAAGTGTGGGTCAAATGCAGTTCTGCAGGGGCATGGGACACACACGTTTTCCTTTCCTGATGATTCAATGGGACTGGGGCTTTTCTGAAAGCTTGAGTTTGAGAGAACTAAACAGAACTCATGAGTTTACTCCTGAATTTGCCTCTCCATTCTAGAAGTGATGCGCTACGATTTCACTGCAAAAGCTTAAAGGCCCTAAATCTCATTTTCTGTTTGCTGTGGTCTGGGTACCCATCCCCTCCAAATCTCATGTTGGAAATCTCCAAAGACATAAAGTTACTTGAGATAGTTCATGGAAAAGGAATTAAGAGATACATTTCTTTTGGTGTGAAAAAAATTGAAATCTGTGCATCAATTTTCATTATGCACACTTTCCATGAACTTTTGGAAGACCCCTCGCATTAGTGGCTTTATAAATGAGGAAGAGAGACATGCGAGAGCAAGCGGACTCTCTCACCACAGGATGCCTTGTGCTGCCTCTGGGCCCTGTGGAGAGCCTCACCAGCAAGAAGGCCCTCACCAGGTGCGGGCACCTTGATCTTAACTTTGTTCTTTATAAAACACTCAGTCTGTGGAATTCAGTAATAGCAGCAGAGAATGGACTAGGACACTGCCTGTCCCTGATAATTATTTAGGCCTCTATTAATGGACCTTGGGGATGGGAAATGAGTTAAGATGAGGGTCACATCTGCCTCCTGTCATCTGTAATGTTTTATATTTTAAGGAAGCAAGATGCCATTTTTCCTCCCAAGAAGTACAAGAATCAGATGTAACTATTTGAGTTAGAGGCATGCAGACACACAGCACACAACCTCGACTTCTTTAAGCACTTACAGGTTGCTTTTATTTTATTTTATTGACAGGTAGAGTTAGTGAGAGAGAGAGACAGAGAGAAAGGTCTTCCTTCCGTTGGTTCACTCCCCAAATGGCCACTACGGCCAGCACTGCGCCGATCCAAAGCCAGGAGCCAGGTGCTTCTTCCTGGTCTCCCATGCGGGTGTAGGGCCCAAGCACTTGGGCCATCCTCCACTGCCTTCCCGGGCACAGCAGAGAGCTGGACCGGAAGAGAAGCAACCGGGACTAGAACCCGGTGCCCATATGGGATGCCGGTGCCGCAGGCGGAGGATCAACCAAGTACGCCACGGCAAGTGAGAATTTAAAATTTAGAAGTAGGTAGATCATTCTTTCCCTTTAATGAATATTATTATTGTTCTAAATGTCAAATAAATCTAATCGAAAGATTATTATGCTATTTTTCCTGGAAAATGTTACATAGCAATAATCACATTAAAAGATCAAAAAGATAGGCAATGTGAAGAAAGAGCTGCAGACAACTGGCTAGATTTTCACCTAATGCAGTTGAATTCTTCTATAGGCTGTCAAAAAAACTGGCAGTAACTATCTTGCCTGTATAAAAATGAAAATGGGGGCCAGCACTGTGGCTTAGTAGGTTAAGCCTCCACCTGCAGTGCCGGCATCCCATGTGGGCACCAGTTCAAGACCCAGCTGCTCCACTTCCAATCCAGCTCCCTGTTAATGGCCTGGGAAAGCAGTAGAAGATGGCCCAAGTCCTTGGGCCCCTGTACCCATGTGGGAGACCCAGAAGAAGGTTCTTACTCCTGGCTTTGGATCAGCCCAGCTCCGGCCATTGCGGATGGAAGATCTCTCAGTCTGTCTTTCCCTCTCTTTCTGTAACTCTGTCTTCTGAATAAAATAAATAAATCTTTAAAAAAACAGAAATCTGGCCGGTGCTGCGGCTCACTAGGCTAATCCTCCACCTGTGGTGCGCCGGATTCTGTCCCGGTTGCCCCTCTTCCAGTCCAACTCTCTGCTGTGGCCCAGGAAGGCAGTGGAGGATGGCCCAGGTCCTTGGGCCCTGCACCCGCATGGGAGACCAGGAAGAAGCACCTGGCTCCTGGCTTCGGAACAGCGCAGCACGCCAGCTGCAATGCTCTGGCTGTAGCGGCCACTTGGGGGCTGAACCAATGGAAAAAGGAAGACCTTTCTCTCTCTCTCTGTCTAACTCTGCCTGTAAAAAACAAAAAACAAAACAAAAAAAAACAAAAATCTTTCAAAATGAATGTATAGCGAACTTTCTTAACACCTAAGTCAGCTTCTGTGTATGCATGTACGTAAGTGGAAACAACTTAAGGCCTTTGAGAGTATTTTGAAAGAGCATGATATAATATTGGAATTTAAAATTTTGGATTTTACAATGTCAAATTGTGGGCTCAATTATCAACTAGACAATTGAGCATCACTTGGTAATCATTATAGTTTCTTTATAGCACAAGAATAAGTTTATGTTATGATATGATGTGTACACTCTGAAATCAGTGGAATTCATCTTCCAAAACAACATAGATGAAACTGGGTTAGAGGTAAAATTAGCATATTATAAGTTTTCAGGTAGGTTAAAAAAAAACATTCCTTAGCCAAGCAGGGGGTTTAAGAGGTTAATGAAGAATGAGGGAGGCACTGTTGGGTTGTCTTCCATTTCCACTCAGCATTCCTATGAGTCAGTTAGGGAAGACAGATTTTCAGATGAAAATTCATGATGCCTAGGACTATCCATCCTGTCCTTTAATAATACCTAAGCATGTGACCCAAACAAAAGTGGTCACTATGCAATAAAAACAGATAGTCTTATCAACAATGGCAGTTAATCATTGACACCCTAAATATCACTCCAGGGATGACTTCCAATCTCTATAGCCAAGATGCATATATAACAAGGGTTACTTGAAGTCACTTTACTGTTGTTGCAACATGCCTCTCACATTGCGACAGCTACAAAACTCTCTAAACGTTCTTGGAATATTTTTCAATAGTCTTCTGAACTCTTTAAATAAAATGTTTTGCTTACTTATTCTAGGGCTCCTCCTGATGGTGAAAGCTTAGTGCTGATAAACACGATCTTCAGGTCACCCTTAGAACAACATGACTGCTCAAGCACTGCCCCCACCCTAAGAGGTTGTCAGGGCTTTAAATTTATAGTGTTTCCTGTACTTGCTTATAAACTTAATTCCTGTAAGGGCAGATGCTGCACAGCGTCTCATTTTATCAAACTAAAAGGAGATCTGAGAGAAATCCAAGTATTCAAGTCATGGTGAATTTACCAACTCCTGCATTCTTTCTTTCTTTTTTTTTTTTTTTTTGACGGGCAGAGTGGACAATGAGAGAGACAGAGAGAAAGGTCTTCCTTTGCCGTTGGTTCACTCTCCAATGGCTGCCGCGGCCAGCGCGCTGTGGCCAGTGCACCGCGCTGATCCGATGGCAGGAGCCAGGTGCTTCTCCTGGTCTCCCATGGGGTGCAGGGCCCAAGGACTTTGGGCCATCCTCCACTGCACTCCCTGGCCACAGCAGAGAGCTGGCCTGGAAGAGGGGCAATCGGGACAGAATCCGGCGCCCCGACCGGGACTAGAACCCAGTGTGCCAGCGCCACATGGTGGAGGATTAGCCTAGTGAGACGCGCGCCAGGGTCCTGCATTTTTAAATTAGATACATGTGTTCAAATGGGGCCACTGAGGGGCTGGTGCTGTGGTGTAGTAGGCTATGTCTCCCGCTGCAGCACCGGCATCCTTCTAGTCTGGCTTCTTCTCTTCCAATCCAGCTCTTTGCTTATAGCCTGGGAAAGTAGTAGAAGACAGTCCAAGTGCTTGGGCCCCTGCACCCACATGCGAGACCGGGAAGAAGCTCCTGGCTTCTGGCTTTGGATAGGCTCAGCTCCAGCCATTACGGCCAATTGGGGAGTGAACCAGTGGACAGAGGGAAATGTCTCTCTGTCTCTTCTCTCTGTCTATAACTCTACCTCTCAAATAAATAAATACAATCTTTAAAAACAAAACAAAACAAATGGGGCTCCTGAGTAAACTATGGAATGGCAATCTCTATATGTAAGCACTTTCTAAGAAACCCTGGGATGTTTGAGTACTTTTTTTCTAAAAAGTCCCTAATTGGACAAGATAATTTCTCTGGAATAAGAACACTATAGGTATGTCTGAATGTCTTAATGGAAAGCCAAACCTTTCAGATAAATCCCACAAACCAAAGAATATTATGAAAGTGTCTCCCCATCAGCAAGGTAAGACCCACCATCCATCTCTAACATAAAGTGAACCAGAGAATTGAAAAAGGAACATTAATCTCTGAGCGGTAGAATAACAGGTGCTTTTATATTAAGTTTCTTCTTTATGCATATCAGAACTGTATTTTTTCTATTGTGTAGATATACTACTTAAATAATTCTTAAAATAAAAACTACCAAGTAAACATTGAGAAAAAACATATAGAATTCCCTAGATACTCCAGATTTTATAAGAAAACTTGAGATGACTTAAATAAATGCTTAGGATAATACCTGATCTTTCTGTATTCTCATCTCATCAACTTCACTTTCAGCATACTGAGGATCTCGTGCGGGGTCCTTGATATCTTTCAGCGTGTTGACACTCTGAAATTACAATTCATCAAATCATTTCATGCCCATAATCCAAAACCTTCAATGGCTACCACCTGCTTAACAAACCAAGCTCCCCGTTCCTCACACTGCTATTGAAGGCTAAGAATTTTTTGTTTGAAAATTTATTTTTTTGAAAGGCAGAGTTGCAGAGAGAGAGGGAAAGACAGAGAGAGATTGTCCATCCAGTGGTTCATTCCCTAAATGGCCACAAGGGCTGTGGCTGGGCCAAGCTGAAGCCAGGAGCCTGAACTCCATACAGGTCTCCCACATGGGTGCAGGGGCCCAAGCGCTCAGGCCACCATCCATTGCTTTCCCAAACACATTTGCAGGAAACTGGATCACAAGTGGAGCAGCTAAGACTTGAACCTGTACTCATGTGGAATGCTGGTGTCACAGACTATGGCTTAGCTTGCTGAGCCACAAACTTACTGTACCACAGTGCAGGCTGCTCTCTAAGATCTTTTATCATCACTGTTGTGGCCATTTCAAATTCCAATAGGACCTCTTCCCTTTTCAGATAGTGTCTCTCCCTTCTCTAAACAGTCAGAGAACTCTGCTTCAAAGTGGAGCAGGAACTATGCCGTACTCATTGTTCAATACCCACAGTGCCATATTTATAAAAATAGATTTTTAAGCAAATGTTTAATTGATTTTTGAGCATGGGGGATAAAAACAAGGTTATCATAACAGGCCTTTTGAAATATTTACCATACTGTTGAAAAGTGCTACAGAATCCTTTCTTCAAAGAATTAGAGAATCTAATATCAGAGCACTGGTTTGAACACCATTGCTTCACTTCTGATCCAGCTCCCTGCTAATGCACCTAGGCAAGCAGCGGAACATGGCCCAAGTGCTTGGGCCCCTGCCACCCACTGGGAGACCCAAATGGAGTTCTGAGCTCCTGGCTGGCTTTGGCCTGGACCATCTCTAGCTATTGTGGACATTAGGGGAGTGAACCAGCAGATGGAAGATCTCACTCTCTCTCTCTCTTGGCCTTTCAAATAAATAATAAAATTCTAAAAAAAAAAAAAATTGAAATACATACCTTTGGTGGAAAGAGCTTTTCATATACTTTTTTCCACAGTTCCATTGGTGAATGGGCATGAAACTGGCCAATGTCATTATCAGGAACAGGAGGAGACCCTAATAATTGGAAATTTTACTTCAAATGATGGAAATGATTAAATCATTACCAACTCTATCAATGTAACAGATAACACTTACAAAAGTATAAATCTAAGATCACTCATTTTCCCTCTCCCTAATACTAATCCCTATGCAGCTTAGCAAGACACTGGGGCAGATGCCAGTAGGGGAGAAGAGGGAGCAAGGGGTAATGAGTAAACTGCAATCGTCATTGTCCATGCTCTATTCCTACAGCCACAAGTATACCTAGGTCTACAGCCCATGAACAACAATCTCAGTTGCTGGTGTTCATCTTAGAAACACCCACACGTATATGTTAAAGATTTCATACTGCAGTATCACTTAAACTAGTGAAATTTATCACAATAATAATTTCAATAGACAGTGAACTAGATTACTATGCATAGCCATGCTTTGGACTCTACCCAACAATTAAAATAAAAAAATTTATATGTAGCATCAATAATACTGAATTAAAAAGGCAAATTTAAAATTGGTATAGACTGACAAAATTATGTTAAAGTAAACAACCTGATCTGTATCACTTACATCTGTATGTAAATGTACAGAAATTTGTCTGCTAAGAGACATACCAACCTGGCTCCTTACATGTGCTATTTTAACTTTTTACAGAGAGAAAGTATTTACATATTGCTTTATAACAATTCAACTTGAAAAATTTGGAAATGTGACACCATTTTTTGACAATTTTCAATTGATAATCTGAGATTTTTCATGGTTTCTATTTCTAAAATCTGTGTTCACCAAAACTGTTTTACTTTAAATCTTCCAGGGCCTCCTTACTACTTCAGTTGGAAGGCACTGGTACACTCCATTGATCTTATTCAGCTTTGCCAAGTTACTTTGTGTGTGTGTGTGTGTGTGTGTGTTTGTGTATAATATGTTCTACAAAATGTTTTCACTTTCACAGGTTCATGGACAAGGGTACTTCAAAGAGCTCACAGGAAGGGCCAGCGCTGTGGCACAGAGGGTAAAGCCGCCGCCTGCAGTGCCGGCATCCCATATGGGCGCCGGTTCGAGACCTGGCTGCTCCACTTCCGATCTAGCTCTCTGCTATGACCTGGGAAAGCAGTAGAAGATGGCCCAAGTCTTTGGGCCCCTGTACCCACGTGGGAGACCTGAAAGAGGCTCCTGGCTCCTGGCTTCGGATTGGCGCAGCTCCGGCCATTGTGGCCTTTTGGGGAGTGAGCCAGCGGATGGAAGACCTCTCTCTCTCTCTCTCTCTCTCTCTCTCTCTCTCTCTGCCTCTCCCTCTCTGTGTAACTGTGACTTTCAAGTAAAATAAATAAATCTTAAAAAAAAAAAAAAGCTCATAGGATAAATGGAACAAAAGGTAAGTTGAGGTGGTGTTGGCTCAGAGGTAAAAATGACTCTTGGGGCTGGCACCGTGGCTCACTTGGCTAATCCTCTGCCTGCGGTGCCAGCACCCCAGGTTCTAGTCCCAGTTGGGGCACCGGTTCTGTCCTGGCTGCCCCTCTTCCAGTCCAGCTCTCTGCTGTGGCCCGGGAAGGCAGTGGAGGATGGCCCAAGTGCTTGGGCCCTGCACCCCATGGGAGACCAGGAGGAAGCACCTGGCTCCTGGCTTCGGATTGGCGCAGCTATAGCGCCAAAAAAGCTGGCCGGCACAGCTATAGCGGCCACTTGGGGGCTGAACCAATGGAAAAAGGAAGACCTCTCTCTCTCTCTCTCTCTCTCTCTCTCCAGCTCTAGCTCTGCCTATCAAAAAAATAAAAAATGACTCTTGGGATGCTCTCATCCCATATCAGAGTGCCTCGTTTGGACTACTGGGTCTGCTTCTGAGTCCAGCCCCTGCTAATGTGCTCCCTGGGAGGCAGAAAGTGATGGGGAAAGTAGCTGGGTCTCTGTCTCAAGTGGGAGACCTGGGCTCCTGGCCATTGTAGACACTTGTAGAGAGAATCAGCAGATGAAGATTTCTCTCTCTCTCTCTTTCTCCCTGCCTTTCAAATAAGTAAAGATAAATAAAAAAGTTTAATAGACAAGTACATCTGGTTTTGAAAATCACGCATAGCTTTTTCATAATACACATTTTCCATGAACTCTTTGAAGACCCTGTGTATGTACCACCATGGTCACTGCAGACATGAACTAGGATCTCCTGTGCTGTTGGCCACTTTCCTGCCCCTTCCCCCGACTTCCCCATCCATTGTCCTTTCCGACCCACTGACAATTACTAATCGGCCTGCTGTTTCTAAAATTTCTAAAATTTTGTATGAGTAGCATCACATTGTATGTAAATTTTTCTGATTGGCTTTCCCTCCAGCTAGCATGATTTCCTGGAGATTAATCTAAGTGCGTGTATCAATAGTTTGTTCTTTTTTATTGCTAATTAGTATTCCATGGAGTGGATGTACAATAGTTTGGCCATTTTCCTGTGGAACAACTTCTGGGTTACTTCTAGTTTTGTACCATCACAAATAAGCCTGCTAGAGATAATTTTGTGTAAATATAAGTTTTTACTCTGGCATAAATACCTGGTAGTGAAAATTCCTAGGTTATATGATAGTTGCATTTTCAGTTTGAGAAGAAATAGTTAAACTTTTCTAGAGCAGGTGTACCATTTTACATTCCCAGTAGGACTGGAGGAGTGATCTGGTTTCCCTGCATCCTCACCAGTATCTGGTGGTGCCATTATCTTAACTATTTTTGTAAGAGTAGTAATATATCATTATAGTTTCAATTTGCATTTCACCAGTAGCTAATACTATCAAACACCTTATCATGTGCTTATCATTTTTATGTCATTTTAAGGGAAATATCTGTCCAGGTCTTGTGCCCATTTTGTAGTTGGGTTGCTTCTTTTACTGCTGATTTCTTTATATAGTCTAAATACTAGTTCTTTGTCAGATATGTAGTTTGAAAGTATTTTCTCCTAGACTGTAGCATCTCTTTTCATCCTCTTCAAAATGGGCTTTCAGAGGGCAAAGTTTTACACTTTGGTGAGGTTTAAGCTTCATGATTTTTAAATTTAGTGATTATTAACTCCTTTCTGACCTTCAACTGTTCACATAGGCAAAAAAATTCCATCATCTTTACTATCAGTACAGTGATTCTCACTTAAATTGTTAGCACTAATAAAAATAAGGCTCCATGCCATTCATGAAGCAAAACTACCTTTGCTCCTTTTATTTCAACTCAATTTATAATCTCATTACAAAGATTTCTACATTTGGAGTAAAGTCACCTTCAGCTTATAGTAGCAATGGAAGATGAGAAATACAAAGGAGAGCAACTGCCTATTCGATGTTAAAATAAGCCATGCTACTTCTAAAGTATGAAGATTTGCTAGGCCCAAAGATCTTCACAATGAGAATAGCTTCTGTGGGAAAATAAGGGGATTGATACATAAACTTTTAAAGTTCCTGGTGATTCAGAAGCCTATAGAAACTATGAGTTTAGAAAACATATTTCAATAGATGAAGTAAGCTGTTTTAATAATGAAAAATTAAGGCATACCTAACTGACATAATCCTATTCTTTTTGGTTTATTCTATTACTCCAATCTCCTATTTATCACTGCCTATAAAATGTGACTTTGAATTTCCTGACCACTCTATGCTCCTGGTTTCTTTTAATCTCAAGGAACAAAAATTTTAAAGCACTTGGAAATTAGTGAGAGAAAGAAAACACGCACAATTTTTTAGTGCAGTAAGTCTCTTCTGTCAATGTGAGGCATGTTGCATGAATATTGGGTATACACATAAATGCAAATGAAACAGCAATGGTAATGAAACCAGAAACGATAATATGTTGGAGATGAAGTGAACACAGAGTAGGATAAAATCAATAAGCAATTAAAAAAAGATTGAACAATCTTAATAAGTTCACCAACCTATTTGACTTAAAGAATCCAATCCTGCTGTGATAAACAGTGGTTTATTCTGATCCACACATATCGATTTGCTACATGGAGAAGAAAAAAGATTCTAATTTAGTTTAACAGTCGAATATGCTGCCACACTCTCTGGTAAACATCTAGCCACTGATAAAGCATTGCCCCAAAAGAATGAGTAAATATTAATTTAAGTGATTCCAAAAATTAAAGTATATTATAATAAAGGTTTCACAGGGAGAAAAAGTGACAGACCCATATTACTTTAAATCAAAACTGAGAGAGAGCAAAGCTAAGAAAGAAAAATATTAAAATTTCTAATTCTACTTCAAATCAATGTTAAGAAAGTAATAATAGGGAAAAGCTGCTCAAACTGGGGGGAAAAGAAATTAGAAAATGTATGTAATAATATCATTTTGTTCTAGTATTCAAACAATATCGGAAGCAGGAGATAATATAAAATTATTCCTTTTAAGAACAGTCATCTGATGGCATTTTCCTGGTGAGAACAAAAATCAGATTGAGTCAAACACTGCAAGAAAACAAAATGATAAACAAGTATTTTACCTTTTGTCAATGCCAAATGCCAACTGGTTGATAACTCCACGTATTTTTAGTAACAGAGCTTCTGATTTACTGGTGAACTTAAAAAAAATCAAAGAGAATAAATTATATGTTCTGTTTTCCAATCACAGAAACAGGTGAAATAAACATGGTTTCAAACGAGTAGACTGCAGAGAGAATTACGATTTATTTGCCCAACAAATACTTATGCCTGAAAAGGCAAAACAAAACCTGAATAAAGAAATCTTTATAACTTAAACTTCTTCTTCAAACTTCATGAGTACCTTATGGGAAAAGGGCTTGCATTTATGTACTAATCATTTCAGCTACTCAAAGGGGTCACAATCAAAGAATTTATCATTCTTGTCAAAGAATTTATATATGTGTATGTGTGTATGATGCATATGTATGTGTGTAAACATATTCTAATAATAGTCTAAAAGAAAAATTTCCAAAATGCAATTGGGTTGCTTAGAAAACAAGAGGCATATAGCAAAAATAACTTTTACATCCAAGGGCATAGTGCTGCCTTCAAAGCAATCAATGTGAGAGTTAGAGACATATCCAACAATACTGACACTCACTTAAAATGATTTTTTAAACTTCTTTTTTAAATTGCTTTTGGAGATCGAATGCTCTCAGTGGTAATATATAACTAGGACTACCATAATCAGAACATTTAAAGGAGGTGGGTACTATTAATAATTAAATTGTGACATCAGGACTTATCTTACAAATCAGGACTTACCCTACAAATATCCTAAGTCTAAATTTTATATTTAGAAATATCAAAAGTCATTCAGAGCCAAATCAGAATGACTAAAATACAGGAAAATTGTGGGAAAAAAATCCTTGAAGAGTAACGAAATGCAATTATGAAGCAAAGATATCAATTTTCTGGTTCCTGTGGTAATTCCACAAAACAAGATTTATTCTGGATTAAGAACAGACTCCCAGGCAAAGTATTCAAAGGAAAACACTGATGTGAATATATAAGATCTGACACATTTATTTAAAATAAAATATTGAAATAAATTTAATGCTTCTACTGGGGTGTTTAAAACTATACATAGGAAACTCTAATTCTTAAAATACAACTCCTCTGTTTAATTGTATCATATTTCCTTTATGGAGAGGAAAAGAGCTACCTGCAAATGAGTATACAATAATGTAGGGCTTGAGAACATAAGATGTTTTCTAACCCAACTCTTCTGTCAGCTACATCAATTGCCTCTGAAGCATCCTCACAAATAGCTATAGACCTTCTGCTTAAAGAAACTCAATGCCTGGAACTCATTATCTCCCAGAGTAACTCATTCCATTTTCAGATAATGGTAGTTCCAGGATCCCCTGCAGATAACCAAATCTGCTGATGTTCAAGTCCCTGTATAAAATGGTGTAGTATTTACATATAACCAATATACACACCCTCCAGTATACTTTACATCATCTCTAGAGTATTCATCATACCTAACATAAATGCTATGTAAACAGTTGTATACCAGATTATTTAGGGAATAATTACAAGAAAAAAAAAGTCTATGTGCTTAATACAGACACAATTATTTTTTCCAAGTATTTTTGATCCATGGTGATTGAATTATGGGTATAGAACCCACTGATACAGTGTGGATTATATTAAAAAGTTATCTTATTTTGAGTAAATACTCCCTATTGATTCTTTTTCTTTTTTAGAGATTTATTTTATTTATTTGAAAGGTAGAGTTACAGAAAGAGAGGGAAAGACAGAGAGACAGGTCTTCTATCTGCTGATTCACTCTCCAAATGGCTATAATGACTAGGTCTAGGCCAGGCCAAAGCTAGGAGTCAGGAGCTTCTTCCAAGGGTGCAGGGGTCCAAGAAACTGGGTCACCCTCTGTTGCTTTCCCAGGCACATTAGCAGGGAGCTGGATTGGAAGTGGAGCAGCTGGGTCTTGAACTGGTGCCCATACGGGATGCTGGCACCACAGGCGGCAGCTTAACCCAAAGCACCACAGTGCTGGCTGATTCTTTTATCTTGACTGAGGAAAACAAAAAATGGTACTGAAAAAAAAAATTGCTATCATGGAATCTTGCAGAGCAGTACCCAACTTTATTTGAATGTGTATAATAACAGAGGAAGTTAAACTGAAAGATAGAGTTTTGTTACCTTTGGCTATACTCTTCTTGGTATAAAGAAAGGCCTTATGGTGGTCCAAAACTGCCCCAGTAATTCAACCCCTGTTCCCTTGGGCTTACCGCAAGCTGAGAAGCTCTTAAATGCTTCCCACGATCTTCTAGGGTCTTCTGGGCTGTGGAGTAGGTTCATCTGATTTCATCTAAATGTGTACCTGTATATCGCCTGTATACGACACTGAACCATGACTAACCATCAAGTGTGATCTGCTCCTAAAGACAGGGAGACCGGCATTGTGGTGCAGCAGGTTAAGCTGCAGCTGGCAATACTGTCATGCCATACAGGAACCCCACTTCAGGGCCCAGCTGCTCTGCTTCTGATCCAGCGCCCTGCTAATGTGCCTGGGAAGGCAGCAGAAAATGGCTCACGTGCTTGGACCCCTGATGAGCACATGGGAGACCCTGATGGAGTTCCAGGCTTCTGGCTTTGATCTGGCCCAGCCCCAACCATAGCCCCAACCATAAGGAATCAGTGGGTGGAAGATTTCTTTCTCTGTTTCTCCCTCTCTTACTGTCATTCTGCCTTTCAAGTAAATAAAACAAATCTTGAAAAAAAGAAAGCTAGGGATTTCCTTTTGCTAACTTTAACCAGAATTAAATGTGAGGTTTTATCTAGTGGCAAAAATAAGCAACTGAGAGCTCTCTCTCTCGGCACTCTGGATGAGTCATTCACTTTAAATTCCGTATGTCTTTGCCAAATAGTAAAGAAGATTTTCCAAAGTACTCTGTCAACCTAATACGAAATTCAATACATTTCAAACACAAAAGGTCATGATTTTTTAAAAAATATTTATTTTATTTATTTGAGAGGTAGAGTTACAGACAGTGAGAGGAAGAAACAGAGAGAAAGGTCTTCCTTCCATTGGTTTACTCTCCAAATAGCTGCAACGGCGGGAGCTGCGCTGATCCGAAGCCAGGAGCCAAGAGTTTCCTCCAGGTCTCCCATGTGGACTTGGGCCACCTTCCCAGGCCACAGCAGAGAGCTGGACTGGAAGAGGAACAGCCGGGATTAGAACCGGCGCCCATATGGGATGCCAGAGCCACATGCCGGAGGATTAACCTACTGCACCACAATGCCTGACCCAAAAGGTCATTATTTTTAAGAAAATACATAATAAAATGCATTTGGAATGTTCTGAGAAGTCTAAAAATTAAATACATATTATATATATTGCTTTCCGTCATAATGTTCTAGCCATGAAGGCAAGGGGCTAGATGTGGTGTCTCTGAAAATAGTGATTTGGAGGAAAAGACAGACCATGAAATAATCACTCAAATGTGAAGGAGTATTTTTTAAATAAAAATGTTTCATATTTTAATGCATTAAAGGATATCCAGGAAAATTTCATCCTGCCATGGAAGATAATGATAACAAAATTTATAATAACTAATGTTTATTGAGTAATTATTTGTTCCAGGTCCTGTGCTAAGTATTTCACATGAACTCCTTTTTTCAATTTTCACAAAATTTCCATGGAGAAGATAGTAATTCTATTCATTGGTCTCTGGAGGGGAATGAGGCTTAAGTGAAATTAAGTGACCTACCTAAAATTGCATGTCTAACAGTCACCCTGAGATTTGAACCCAAGGCAGCACAACTTCACAGTTCATGTTTTTAACTCCAACAACAAGCAGCACTTTTTCAAGTAAAGAAAAAAGATATCTTTTTTTTCCTTTTTTCTTTTAACAGAATATAAATTCTAATCCTTAAGGGGGAAATCATAAATAAATAAAGAGCTAATTGAGGGGCCAGCACTGCAGTGTAGCAGGTAAAGCCACTGCCTGCAGTGCCAGCATCCCATCTAGGCACCAGTTCAAGTCCTGGTTGTTCCACTTCTGATCCAGCTCTCTGCTATGCCCTGGGAAAGCAGTGAAAGATGACCCCAGCGCTTGGGTCCTTGCATCCGTGTGGGAGACCTGGAAGAAGCTTCTGGCTCCTGGCTTCAGATCTGTGCAGCTCTGGCCGTTGCAGCCATCTGGAGGGTGAACCAGCAGATGGAAGACACCCCCCCCCCCACACACACACACCTCTCTGCCTCTCTGTATCTCTGCTTTTCAAATAAATAAACCTTTTTTCTTAAAGAGCTAATTTATCTCTTTAAGCTTGATTGAGGTTTATGGATATAAGCAATTTAAAGCTTTTGACCAAAGAAAGGGGAGGCCATCCAGCTAAGACATCTCTGGGAGTGGGAAAGGCCAGAAGGGGGCAGTGTTCACTAGTGAAGAATTCATCAATGTGCACCGAGTTGCCCATGTTGATACTCTTCACTCAAGTACAAGGAACAGGAAATACACAAACCATTAATGATGCTCCGTAATAATGTGCAACAAATCGAAGTGTCTTGCATATTACTTTTCTCTTCTCAGAGTCAAAATCCTGTAGAAAATGTTGTTAAAAAGAAAGAAAAACAATTTGAGAGAATAAGAAATCTATAGCAGGAAGATGCAAATTATTAAAAGTAGAAACTGTTTCTTATTTTTAAGGCCAGCTCTGAGGAGTGGGATTCTATTTCTTCCTATCTATTTCTATAGGGAGTTGAGCAACGGCTGCAGCCTCCTACAGCTATAGCTATCAGATCTTTTTTTCTTTAAGCACTTAGCTCAACAGAGTTTAGATATAAGCCCACACTTTATAGTATGGAATACCCTGAGGATTCTCTGACAAGCAAAGATAAGAAGAAACTAATTTTCTTCTTTCTTCAATTTACAAGTTGGGAAGTAAGTCCTATCCCTCAGTGACTAGGCTGAAGATTCATTTTCTAAATCTTCTACCTTATCTTCATTCTAACTACCGTATTTACTTTCTTTAGTTATTTTCTCTGTCCCAACTCTATCTTCTTTTCTAAAATCTTTAAGATGTGCGATTCTTTAATCTCTCTCTCAAGAATTATTTTCTTATTTCATCATTATTTTGGTACCTCTCTCATAAAATATATTCATGCATGTACAACTAACTCAGCTAGAAGCAGAAGAGCTTACCTGGAAAATATCATATTTACTTCCAATTATGACCAGAGGTATTGGAAATGGGTCAATTAATTCACGATCCTGTTAACAAATGTAATATTTTGTTTATTACTATTGCTTGGCAATTTCAACTTCCAAAATTACACCATTTTTAGTAGCTTCTTAAATGTTGACTTTTGTTTGATATGGAATTTGTTCCAGTATTAATTTCCACTTACTATCGTTAAGTCTAAGACTAGAAATGACAAATCTCAAATTAAATGTGATATTTATTTTTTTCCTTTTTTTGTTTTTTATTTCCTTACACAATATAATCTTCCTATTTTTTCAATGTGTTTGTTATTTTATTCTAACTGCTTATTGCAATAGCATTTAAACTACATAGATTTGTCTTGTTCTAACCTGACCTGTGTAAAACACATTCATATAAACTCAGGACAATCTAAAATGCTGCTCTTTGTTTTCTAGATGAAAATATTCATGATTGTATTTAAAGAACTTGTATTACTATCACAGCAACTTTGTAATTTAATTAGTCATCAGATGATCAAAAGATACTGAGTATGGGAGACACTAAATGAATGTGAAACACAGTTATGATGAAAGCTGTTAAAACTCTATTCCTGGGGTCAATGCTGTGGCATAGTGGGTAAAGTCGCTGCCTGCAGGGCCAGCATCCCATATGGGCACCGGTTTGAGTCCCAGCTGCTCAACTTTTGATCCAATTCTCTGACACAGCCTGGGAAAGCAGTAGAAGATGGTCCAAGTCACTGGGCCCCAGCACCTGTGTAGGACACCCAGAAGAAGCTCTTGGCTCCTGGTTTTGGGTCGGCACGGCTCCCGATCTGTGGCTATCTGGGGAGTGAAGCAGTGGATGGAAGACCTCTCTCTCTCTCTCTCTACCTCTGCCTTTCGAATAAATAAATAAATCTTTCTTTTTTAAAGCCTCTATTCCTTGCTTAAATGTGTGGCCTAATCTAGTCCTTGCCAGGTGACTTTCGTACAGTCTGTTTTTTTATGTTCGTTTTACAAAGACTGTAAAATCAATATCAAGCTACTATTTTAAAACTCTTTTGATGGGTGTGATGTGCCAAACAAGCACAGCAGATGTCTAACAAGAAGACAGAAGACATCCTTTTTCTTGTTTTGCTCTTACTGAGGTTTCAGTAAATTGCTATAATTTTCCAGTGAACAGGTTCATCTACATCAAATGAATTCCAAGTCATGCATAAAAATCTGCAAAAGTTGTTTGTGATGTTATCTGAAGTATGTACGGGGCTAAGGAGTCCAAGAATAGTCCCAACAGCCACTCACTGGATGGTCCTTCTGCATGTTGCTCCAAATCTTCTGTCTCATTTCAGAAGCTGCTTTAGAATTTACCTTTCCCAATTTCATTATCACTTTATCTACATGGCTTTTTGCGGCTTGCAACAGGTTTTCCATGGTGGGCCAAAGGTCATTTGGTTTTGAAAGATCCAAAACAAGAACAATAGAAAATGTCCTAAAGAAATAAAGACATCTTTCAAAAAACACCCAGGATAATTACCATTTTGAAATATGAGTCTACTGAAACTTATATAAGAATATCAATATTATACATTAAGAAAAAATAGCATTATTCTAAGATAACAACAACAAAAACACCAAAGTGATAACCTTGTTTATCCCAATGCTTTTCTCTAGTGATATTTAAGTGTTATAATCCATAGTGGTTTTGGCACTGAATATAATCCAGTTCAAACAGAAAAGGTGCAAGCAGTTGGTGCAACATCATATTTAGATCCAATTTAACTGTTTGCTCCAAAGAACCAAAGCAAAAATAGTAGGACTAGCAGTGACAACACAACAGACAGTGAAGGAGGAAGAAACAGATTTACTGGTGTACTTTGTAAGAGAAGCCCCACTTACTTTATTCAGTCTTCACAACAACACTGCTAGAAGATGTTAGGACGATGATCTTATGGCTTGGATCCAAGGCACAGATTTATATAAAGAGCAAAGTCTTACAGTCCCAAAGTGACATGTCTGTATGTTATACCATTTTGTCTCTTGGAAAATACACCCCCGAACACCAGACATACACTACTGCCATCACCACATGCATTTGTATATCTTCATGCATATCAAACATAAATATAAACTCAGCCACAAAAAACAACCTATTTAAAAAGTGGACAAAGCACCCAATAGACAGTTCACCAAAGAAGATACATAGATGGCTAATAAGCACATGACATCACTAATAGGGAAATGTAAAACAAAACCATAATGAAATATCACATCCATTTGGATAGCTACTGTTAAAAAAAAACCTAGAAAATGTAAAGTGTTAGAGAGAATACAGAGCAACTGGAACACTTGCACTTTGCTGGTGGGAATGTAAAATGGTACAGCTGGCAATGGAAAACTGTGGCAATTTCTCAGAAAATTAATCACAGAATTACCACATGGCCTAGCAATTCTTCTGGGTCTATACCCAAAAGAATGGAAAGCAGAAATTTGAACATATGTTTGTACACCAATACTTGCAGCAACATTATTCACAACAGTCAAAGGATCGAAACAATCCAAACATCCAGCAGTGAATAAACTGAGTGAATAAAATACGGCATGCGCATACAGTAGTATATACATACGTTCAGTCTTGTAAATAAAGAAAAATCTGAAAATGGTTAGTGCAATAGACCAATAACAAAAGGATAAATGCTGTATGATTTCATTTACAGGAGGTACTAGAGGCAAATTCATAGACAGAAAGCATTCTGATGCTTGGCAGGAGCTGGGAAAAGGGACCCAGGAGGTCACTGCTTTCTAGACAGAGTTTTGGTTTAGGAAGATGAAAAAGTTCTGTAGGTGGATGGTGACAATGGTACAAATAAGGGAGAATACTTCATGCCAGTGAACTGCACGCTTACAAAGGCAGAGAGAAAGGGAGAGACAAAGCCATCAGTTGGTTCACTCCCCAAGTGGTCACAACAGCCAGGTCTGGGCCAGGCTGAATGCAGGAGTCAGAAATTCCATCCTGGTCTCCCACATGGGCAAGAGGAGCCCAAGTACTTGACCTCCATCTGCTACCTGCCTAGGCTCATTAGCAGGAAGCTGGATCAGAAGCAGAGCAGCTGGGACCCAAACCAGCAGTCTGATATGGGTAGCCAGTGTTGCAAGCAGTGATTTATACTGTGCTATAATGCCTGTCTCCATGTATTCATTTTGAATAGTAAGGGAACAAATTTTATTCTGAGGATTTTAGTATGGTTATGTTCAGGGGAAAAGAAGGATGATTATGGTTTAACTTTTTTTATTGTGGCAAAATAAATATAAAATTATTTTATTTTTTCCAATGATAAATATTTGCATCTTAAGCAAAAGGGAATCAGATTATTCAAATGTTTTTCCAAGATGAAAATTTTTGTTTCCAGTGTATTGGAAATTCTTGTGTTACTTTTTTTTTTTTTTTTTTTGACAGGCAGAGTGGACAGTGAGAGAGAGAGAGAGAGAGAGAGAAAGGTCTTCCTTTGCCGTTGGTTCACCCTCCAATGGCCGCCGCGGCCGGCGCACCACGCTGATCCAATGGCAGGAGCCAGGTACTTATCCTGGTCTCCCATGGGGTGCAGGGCCCAAGCACTTGGGCCATCCTCCACTGCACTCCCTGGCCACAGCAGAGAGCTGGCCTGGAAGAGGGGCAACCGGGACAGAATCCGGCGCCCCGACTGGGACTAGATCCCGGTGTGCCGGCGCCGCAAGGCGGAGGATTAGCCTAGTGAGCCGTGGCGCCGGCCTATCGTGTTACTTTTTCATAGCAAGTGACACCTTAAAAACCTTATTTAAAAAAAATAAACTCTTAAAAACAGGGAAACAGACCACAGCAAGTGCTCTATTGCACTATTGTTCAATGCAACTCTGTGTCTTCAAAAAGTTCATGGAAATGCACATTACGAGAAAACTATACATGAATTTGAACATTTTTTGCCAAAATAAATTTATCCTTCAATTCCATATTCTGCAAAGTTTTTTAAGTATCTTTGTATAAGTCTATGAAGTTATTTCAAAGATAAACATATCTAACAGCATCTACCAATATTATTCTTTCAAGTTGCTGGGCTTTGTACAACACAAGGAAATTATGTGTCAAACTAATTCTGACTAAAAAATGCTCTGAGATTGGCAACTATACTAACAGTGCAATGTTTTCCATGAATTCTTTTACCACTCAGCAACCTATTTTGGACCTAGGCCTATGGCTCCCTTTCCAATGTTCAGCACAACCCTGACCCCCTCTCCTACAGCAGGCTGCAGCTGTCCTAGAGCTCCAGAGAAAGGAAGGCCAAGACCGCACAAGGCGAGGTATGAAGGAAGCCGGGGGAAGAGCTGGCTTTCTGCTGAACCCAGCTTTTCTACAAGCCTGTAAGGCCCAGCTGGTCCCAAGTCTCGAGAAGAGGAAAGGGAGATGGCAGCAAGTCAGGGCCACAGCGAGAGCCAACTCAAAACTCAGGTGAGAGTGGCCTCGGTGTTCCCCTGCTCTCTCTCACCTCTGCCCACACTAGACAGCAGCTCCGGTTCCTTCAGGTGTTGCCTGCCCGTGCTGTCTCTTCTCAGCCATGCCACCATGAACCACCCTAACTCCAACGCAACTCTGCTTGTCTCCATTAAGGAAATCAAATGGAAAACCAGACAGCTATAAAATGCCATGTTCCGAAAAATAATGGGAAAAGGTGGCAGTGGCTACATGTATGAAAGCAAGATATAAATGTGTACATAAAATATCCAAAATCCATACCAAGTATATTCACAAACCCTGAAAAGATGGAAACACTCTGACATATTAACAGTGGTTATTTCTTATGTGATTCTGGATGCTCTCACTTTCTTTGTACCTTCCAGCATTTCCCAAAATTTTCTAAATGAGTACACATTACTTTTCTAATCAGAGAAAGTAAATTATATTTTACTGAAAAGAAAAAGAATTATTGGATGAATAAAGTCAACATTATATGTATCCAGTCAGTTATAGAAAAATAATTGTCCTGTTAACAATAAATAATTCTATCCTCTATGCATCTTAATAACAAATAATGGCCAATGCTTGTATATTTGGGCCAGGCAGTAGCAACAGTTTGTGTTAAACTTTGACAAGAATAAGATATTTCAGATTTAACATTTTTGCTTTTTTCTTGGCTAAGACCAGTACCCAGCAGCATTGTGAAAACTGTCACAATTTTCCACATCTAATTTGGTCAATATGTGGGAATCTTCTCAGGAAAACACCACCAAAGGGTTATGAGGTTTCCCCAGGTTCTGTTTCTTTAAGGTCATCAAATAGAGACATTTTCTCTTCTCCAACAGATAGTCTTCCTTTGGAGGAAGCTTTGGCAGTATTATTAGTATAAAATTAAAAAATGTAATATGCAGCTGAAGAAAAAGCTCAGAGCTGAATTATCTCACACTGCGATGGATATTGGAAAGAACTAAGCTTCGCAAATTTATTGTTGCCAAATGAATTCACTGCCCAAGTGCTATTTGACATTTGTTTGTTTGCAGGCTTGCAAAATATGTTACTAGTGGGAATGCCAGCTATCTTATTTCAGCACAGGCTACAACTTAGTTTTTTTCAAAATCTCTTTGAAAGCATTATAGTTTTAACACTTAGGAAGGAAGTGAATAGAGGTCTTCAGCAACATAAAACTGTCCCCTGAAATTCTGACTCACAAAAGCCCACTCATATTCATCCTGTGGACACTACTGGGTACCTACTGCCCTTCTCAGAGCTGGCTTGCTTATCACTTACCGTAAGGTGTCACTTGTGATTGGTATGCTGATTAAATCCAATAAAGAGGTTCCTCCACCCAGTTCCCAAAAGTGAGCAATATCTTTAGGCTGAAAAACAGGTTTTTAAATATATAATAAATGTTCTGAATTCCAAGGACTTCTTTTTTAAAGTTATTTATTTGGGAGTCAGAGTGACTGAGATAGAGAGAGCTCCCATCAGCAAACTCCCCAAATGCCTGCAATGCCCAGAAATGGTATGGGCTGAAGCCAGGAACTGAGAATTCAATCCAAGTCTTCCATGCAGGTGGCAAGAACTAAACTATCTGCACCATCACCGCTGCCACCCAGGGTCTACATTGGTAGGAAGTTGGAGTCAGGAGCTGGAGCCAGGTATCAAACTCAGGTTCTCTGATGCAGGATGCAGGCACCCCAACCATTAGCTTAGCCACTAGGCCAAACACCCAGATTGAATTCCTGGCTCCTTGCTTTGGCCTGGCCCAGTTCCAGTTATTTCAGGCATTTGGGGAGTGAACCAGTGAATGGGAGATCTCTGTCTATTTCTCTCTCTTTCTTCAAGTAAATGAACAGATACATATTCTTAAAAAAGCTTTCTTTTCTCTAGCCCACTCTTCAAACTGCACCAATGCATCTATTCCAGAACAAAGAGGAAACATTAAGAATATATAGTCTAGGCCGGCGCCGCGGCTCACTAGGCTAATCCTCCGCCTTGTGGCGCCGGCACACTGGGTTCTAGTCCCGGTCGGGGCGCCGGATTCTGTCCCGGTTGCCCCTCTTCCAGACCAGCTCTCTGCTGTGGCCCGGGAGTGCAGTGGAGGATGGCCCAAGTACTTGGGCCCTGCACCCCATGGGAGACCAGGAGAAGCACCTGGCTCCTGCCATCGGATCAGCGCAGTGCGCTGGCCGCAGCGTGCTGGCTGCGGCGGCCATTGGAGGGTGAACCAACAGCAAAAGGAAGACCTTTCTCTCTGTCTCTCTCTCTCACTGTCCACTCTGCCTGTCAAAAAAAAAAAAAAAAAAAGAATATAGTCTATATATTTGCACAAACATCAATTCTACCAATACCTTAACAGAAGATATAAACAGTTCCCCTAATTTTATAAATATCACATTTAGCATACATTTAAACAAATTTTAAATAAAATTAACATGCTGAACAAATTTGGGGTTGAAAGCATTTATAGTACTAATTAGAGATAAAACAGCTGAATTTGCATTCTGACTTAAGATGAAAGAAACTCACAAAATGAATCAGACATACAGAAAAGGCATGAGGACAGGGATGAACCGGTGGCAGTCCCAGTGGTAGATGAAGATCACTTGAGGCAAAGTATGAGCAACATCCATGCCTAATTCCCATGGGGAACCTGACAGGCTACCAGACAGGCTGCCAGGCAGACTAAATGACTGCTTCTCTTTTTATAGGACTCTTAAAATGGATTGACGGGGCCAGGAAGCCAAGTAGTCTGCAAATAAGACTATTCCATGAGAACTTCCCAGACAGCTAGTTAAAGCATCCCTGCTCTCCCCTAGACACTGAGGAGCCAGCAAAGTGCTTTTATTTAGAACTCTTAGGGAACATCTGAGAAAGACATGATGTTTCCAGAAACAATATGGCAAAGTCTTACTTGATAATAAAAAGTCTAGAGGAAAAAAAAGGTGGAAAAGGATCACATGGATTTTTATAAATTTGCTACTATAAGCCTGAAAGTGACAGTCATTACAGTGAATTTTATTTTATTTTTTTTAAAATTTACTTGAAAGAGTTACAGAGAGAGAGAGAGAGAGAGACATAGAGAGAAAGAATCTTCCATCTACTGGTTCACTACCTAGATGGCCACCAACAGCCACTGCCGGGCCAGGCCAAAGCTAGGAGTCCGGAGCTTCATCCAGGTCTCCTACATGAGTGGCAGTGGCCCAAGCACTTGGGCCATCTTCCATTGCTTTTCCCATGCCATTAGCAAGGAGCTGGTTCGGATGTAGAGAAGCCAAGACATGAAATCTGCAGCCATGTGGGATGCCAGCGTTTTAGGTGGTAGCTTTACCTACTATGCCACATTACTACCTCCCCTCCACCCCTATTTATTTTTAAAATATTTACTTTCATTTACTTGAAGGGAAGCACAACAAATATAAGACAGAGGGGGAGAACTAGGTGGTAGGGTACACAGACAAGAGGGAGAGTGAGCTCTTATATCAGCTGGTTCACTCCCCAAATGCCTATAACAGCTAGGGCTGGGAGCTGGGTCAGGCCAATGCCAAGAGTCAGGTACTCTCCTCAGATTTTTAGAGAGACAGTAACAAAATTGTTCTCAGTTGAAAAAAAAAGTTACATTAACACTATTAGAATAAGTAGGCCAAAGAACAGTATGATGGGGCTGGTGCTGTGGCACAGCAGGTTAAAGCCCCGGCCTGTAGTGCCTGTATCCCATATGGGTGCCGGTTCGAGTCCTAGGTGCTCTACTTCTGATCCAGCTCTCTGTTATGGCCTGGGAAAGCAGTAGAAGATGGCCCAAGTGCTTGGGCCCCTGTACTCATGTGGGAGACCTGGAAGAAGTTCCTGACTCCGGATCAGCTTAGTTCTGGTTGTTGGGGTCATCTGGGGAGTGAACAAGCAAATGGAAGACCTCTCTCTCTCTCTCTGGCTCTACCTCTCTGTAACTCTGTCTTTCAAATAAATAAAATAAATTTTTAATAAAAAAGAACTCTATGATAAAGTTACAAAGGAATCTTATTCTTTTATTTTTAGACATAACAAATGAGAAGGCTGAGCTATTTTCAGTTGATTGGATTCACATCTGCTGAAATACATTTGAAGTTTAAGTGCATAGAACTATGAAGAATATAACTGGATATGTTCAGTGATGGCCAGTAAGATAGAAAATGTAAGACAAAGTCAGCATCATTACTTTCCCAGCTATGGGCAGAGCAATAACACTTAAAAAGACACTTACCGTGTTGTGCCCCTTTGCTCTTCGTCCATAGGTATATTCCAAAGCCAAGGTTGGTTTTGGTGGCTCATCCCTGTTCAATAAAGGCATAGTCTTACCATGGTGGATGGTATTAGTTTCTTATGTTACCTTACCCAAATTATTTTTGCTTCCTCTTAATAATTTTAACCTGTTAGCTGGGAAGTTACCAGTGTAATAGCATTGAAGTAAGCATGAAAAAGATTTTACATATTAAAAAACAAGCCTTCAAAAACACCATCATGGTGGCTTTTAGTGACAGCTGCAGAGGTGAATAATAGCATGATGCGGTAGCCCCTACAGGCCCTGTGGGGGCCAGTGGAGAAGGTGATGGGGCTAGCATTGTACTGCCCCTAGCAGCACAAGTTTGCCACAGGCAGACCGTATGGGAAGTGCAGAAATCAGGTTTATGTCCAGTCTTGATGGGGGATCTGGGAACTTTAAGACTGTCAATGGGAGGGAACATTAATGGACACTTCAATACAGTTCTCTATCTTAAATCATAGCTCAAACTTGGGCATCATTTAGCTTTGAGAGTTATAAACAAATTACATAAGCAAGTGCAAAAAGTCAACAAATGATTTGGAAAATATTAAAATGATTAGATGAATTACTTATACTATAGCTTATGCTATTTGGTAATCAGTTTTATGGTATATATTTTAATTTTTTATGGTAAAACACATAAACTATGTATTTTCAACAATTTTTAATGTACAAATATAGTACTACGCATATTCACACTGTTGTACAACTAATCTCCAGAACTCTTTCATTTGCAAAACTGAAACTCTATACCTATTAAGCAACTCCCTCTTTTCCTCTCCACTAGTCCCTGGTAACCATCATTGTATTTTCTCTACGAGTTTAATTCCTCCAGGACCTCGTGTAAGTGGAATCATACAGTATTTATCTTTTTGTGTCTAGCTTATTTCACTTGGCATAATGGCCTTAAGGTTCATCCATGTTGTAGCATCTATGTCAGGATTTTGTTCCTTTTTAAGGCTGAATAATAATAATGGTATATATCTCTTTTGAAACTGGAGAACACAAAGAAATTATTTTTTAAAAGATTTGTTTATTTTATTTGAAAGGCAAAGTTAGAGAGAGACAGAGACAGACACAGATCTTCCATCTGCTGGTTCACCCCCAAAATGGTCATAATGGCTAGAGCTTGGCCAGACTGAAGCCAGGAGCCAGGAGCGAAGAGCCAGGAGCTTCTTCCAGGTCTCTCATGTGGGTGCAGGGTCTCAAGCACTTGGGCCGTCTTCACTGCCTTCCCACATGCATTAGCAGGGAACTGAATCTGAAGTGGAGCAGCTGGGAGTAAAATCTGTGCCCACATAGGATACTGGTGTCACAGGCAGCAGCTTAACCTGCTATGCCACAGCACTGGCCCCAAAATGAAATGATTTTTAAATCTGTGATTCATATGTTTATTAAATCTTTTGACTTTCATTCTTGCATATGCCTTTTTTCATACATATATAATATTTGGTTAGATTTACCAAAAGATGGAAATTTTCTTTTATGACTCAAAATGTTGTTCTTTTGAGACAAAATTTAGAAACTCTGATATTTAACCCACAATTTGGAAAGTTTTTCTGAGTAGACTATCAGTGAATTAGATTAATATTTTTCGAATCAATGTAGTATTTTGTGTATTTATCCTAAGCTAACATTGTATTAGATAGTCTGTTTATAATAAGAAACGGCGTTGTGGTGCAGTGGGTTAAAGCCTTGGCCTGAAGCGCCGGCATCCCATATGGACGCCGGTTCTGGTCCCGGCTGCTCCTCTTCCAATCCAGATCTCTGCTGTGGCCTTGGAAAGCAGTGGAAGATGTCCCAAGTCCTTGGGACCCTGCACAAACTTGGAAGACCCGGAAGAAGCTCCTGGCTCCTGGCTTCAGATCGGTGCAGCTCCGGCCGTTTTGGCCAACTGGGGAATGGACCAGCGGATGGAAGACCTCTCTCTCTCTCTCTCTTTCTCTCTCTCTCTCTGCCTCTCCTCTCTATGTGTAGCTCTTTCAAATAAATAAAATCTTAAAAAAAAAAAAAAAAGACATTTAAGTGTGGCTATGAGAGACAGAGAGATAATATAGGTGTCACTATGGATAGTTAGGTCTCCTCAGAGACAATTTCACAGGTGAAAGGAATTACACAAATCCAAGATTCCATTATTTGTATTCTCTAATAATATTTTTCAAATGAGTAATGTTTCTTTGACCTTAAGACCAAATCCCACCTCTTTTGATGTTTTTGGAGAAGTTATAAGAAATGTCCATTAGGATGACGGGAACAGAGAATTATCTTCCAAAACTGATAAAAGACCTTCCTTGACAACTTCCTGCAACATGTATCAGTCATGATCCTAAATCTTAATCTGATGGTATGCTTCTATAGTCAAGAAGTATGCAGATATGAAAAATAAATGGCAAAATGTCCAGTTCGAGGACTAATCCTGCATACCTCTGCACAATTTAGAAATTATAATTGATGTTCAAATAATCATGAATTAGGTAGAATAAAAAGAATTTAAAATAGCAAAGTAGCACAGCCAATATGATGGGAAGTACTACTGTAGGCTGGAAAATCTAGCATTAATCTCATAATTTTTTGGTTTGTTAGTTTTACCTTTAAATGAAATCTTAAAGGTTACACTAAAGATTCACTAAGGAATATTTAATATTCATTAACTATTTTGTTTGAGTCTCAGAATCGTTCACCTGTTGTCTGTCTTTTAGAATCTAACTTGCCCTAAAACAACTAGGGTAAGCATAAATGCAGTCTAAAGGTTAACATAAGCCGGCGCCGTGGCTCACTAGGCTAATCCTCAGCCTGCGGTGCCGGCACACCGGGTTCTAGTCCCGGTGGTTCTAGTCCCGGTCGGAGCGCCGGATTCTGTCCCGGTTGCTCCTCTTCCAGGCCAGCTCTCTGCTGTGGCCCGGGAGTGCAGTGGAGGATGGCCCAAGTGCTTGGGCCCTGCACCCCATGGGAGATCAGGAAAAGCACCTGGCTCCTGCCATTGGATCAGCGCGGTGCACCAGCCGCAGCGTGCTGGCTGCGGCGGCCACTGGAGGGTGAACCAACGGCAAAAGAAGACCTTTCTCTCTGTCTCTCTCTCTCACTGTCCACTTTGCCTGTCAGAAAATTAAAAAAAAAAAATAAAGGTTAACATAATACTTACCTGTCAAGACACCTTAGAATAATAGTAGTCTTTCCCTGGAAATTCAGAAAGAAAGAATACTGTGTTAATGTCATCCATATGTAAAATTTTAGTATTGTTCATAATTATGGTTCAAAATTTATCACTTGAATGATAAATTACCTGGAAACTGAAAACTAGAAACTTTCAGAATTCTTCTAAAGTTTGATAAGTGGGAAAAGTTAACTGTCAACTTTCCATCACAGTGTAACTACACTGCTATTATTATAATTATAAAGTTCCACAGATGACAAATATTAGCAAATCCTACCTCACTGTAATGGTCAACTTGGCAGCTGTCTTAAAATTTCTCTACTCATTAATGCTAATTACTAGTTAAGCTGATGATGAGTGTCTTCTAAGATGTTTTCATTCCAATTGTTGAGGTGGAAATAAAGAAAAAAGATTACACACAAATAAAGGACATGTTGTAAATATGTTCAAAGTAGGCTTTTCAGATACTGGGTTGCAGTAATAGGCTTGTTTTATATATTTATATATTTTTTTTTGACAGGCAGAGTGGACAGTGAGAGAGAGAGAGAGAGAGAGAGAAAGGTCTTCCTTTTGCCGTTGGTTACCCTCCAATGGCCGCCGTGGCTAGTGCGCTGCGGCTGGCACACCGCGCTGATCTAATGGCAGGAGCCAGGTACTTTATCCTGGTCTCCCATGGGGTGCAGGGCCCAAGCACTTGGGCCATCCTCCACTGCACTCCCTGGCCACAGCAGAGAGCTGGCCTGGAAGAGGGGCAACCGGGACAGAATCCGGCGCTCCGACCGGGACTAGAACCACCGGGACTAGAACCCGGTGTGCCGGCGCCGCAGGCTGAGGATTAGCCTAGTGAGCCGCGGCGCCGGCCAGTAATAGGTTTGTTTTAATTCTGGAGGATGTACCTACTACAAGTTTCTTTTTAGGATTTGAGAAATACCAATTCTGGCACCATCTCTGCTAGTAACCATGAAACTCAACCTCACACTAGTAAAGACCAGCTCAGGGTTTAAATCATTATTTAAATAGTAAATCTCTTGAAAAAAAAAAATGATCCTTTGCAAACAGATAAAACAGGAACAGCAGGAAAAGCTCTACTGAGGAAATCTTTGGATTTTAAGGAAACTAATTTGGAAAACTCTGAATTGCCAAACACAGATCATTTTACTCTATTTTCTTCTCTAAAACACCCACAACTTTTGAGGCTGGTGTTGTGGCTTAGTGGGTTAGGCTGCTTGTGACAGCAACATTCCATATGGGTTCTGGTTTGAGAAATCCCAGCTCCTGGCTCCTGGCTTCAGCCTGGCCCAGCCATGGCTGTTGAAGCCATCCTAGGAGTGAACCAGCAGATGGAAGATCGATCTCTCTTTGTCCCTCTCTTTCTGTAACTCTGACTTTCAAAATGAATAAATAAATCTTTAAAAACCTATTATTTGTATAATACGAACACACTGAATGAATTTCTTTGTAATGAGATATATAAAGAAATCACCAAAATGATATAAATATTATATATTATGGAAGTATGTTTATTGGCTGGTGTGTTATCTAACTGAAAAATAAAAACCACCTAAATGTACCAAAACAGGAGTCTGGCTAAATTATGGTAACCCATTTAATCAAATATGCAGATATTAGAAATGACAATGTGGGGCTGGTGTTATGGCGTAGCTGGTTAAGCCACGTCCTGCAATGCTGGCATCCCATATGAGCACTGGTTGGAGTACTGGCTGCTTCACTTCCAATCCAGCTCCCTGCTAATGTGCCTGGGAAAGCAGTGGAAGATGGCCCGAGTACCTGGGTCCCTGCTACCCATGTGGTAGACCCAGAGGAAGCTCCCGGCTCCTAGCTTCAGGCTGGACCAGCCACTACTGTTGCAGCCACCTGGGGCATGAACCAGTGGATGGAAGAGCTCTCCCTCTGACACTCTCCTTTCAAGTAAATAAAAACAAGTCTTTTAAAAAAAGAAATAATAACATAGAAATATACTTTCATGGTAAGACATTTATAATAGATTTGCATGGCTATTTCTAAATAAAAATATATTTTCATACCTTCTTGAGGTATCTACACACACAAATCCGGAGGGACATAACTATGTTAACAGCAACTGCTCTGACTGGTGGATTTGCAGGTAATTTTTAAAGTAAATCAGGATTTTCTTTTTTTTTAAGATGAAAATATTCTCTTTACTAGTGATAAAGCTAATATCGGAGAATACTGCTATGCATAACTAGACTTGAACAACGTGGACACAGTGGCAGAGGAGGAGTGCTATATTAGTGGAAAGAAATATCCCATCTCCAAAACCAGGAGTATATGCATGGCTGTTTTGCTCACCTGAGCCACATCTTCTGTAGCCATTTCTTCCATTAATCCCTTAAGTGCTTATAACTTTCAAATTTATAAATTCTTGCCATTTTTTCAGTTCCTGCTGAATATTTCTTAACTCCACAGGCACTGTAACCACAAAGTGCCCAAAATGAGACATTTCATCCATATCTATACTTCTCCTTACTTTATACTCTTCTGTGCTCCCCACCTCTAAAATTATACTATGTACCAATTTCCAAAAGCTATTAATCTTAATGATCCTAGATTTTCCTGCATCCAATCTATCTCCTAATTTCTTCCAATAAGATTCCTCCTCCACTGTTGCTACTTGAAGCCCACTTCTTAAACATTTTTATACTGTTGACTAAATAGTCTGGTTAAAAAATTAGTTTATTCAGCTAGTCAAACTGAGGCTTTAACCTCAGAAACAACAAGGCATTTGTCTTGAATCAGGTGTTCCACAAGCCTAGTTTGGTTACAGGTTTTATACTCTGCTGAGTACATACATTGAATAAGGTTTAAAAAAGACAGATACACGTGTGGTTATAAATCACATTGAAAACTGAGGAAGGATACCTCATTGAAAATCAAAGAACAACTGCTAATATAAAATGAATGCACTAGGGATTACTGATTTTATTTTCCCAGAGAAGTCTTTTATTTAATGAGTAGAAACTTCATAAGTACAATTTTAGGAATATAGTGATTCTTTCCTCCATACTTGCCCTCCCACCCACGCCCCCATCCCATCTCTTCCTCCCTCTCCCATTCCCAGTCCCATTCTCCATTAAGATTCATTTTCAATTAACTTTATACACAGAGGACCAACTCTATACTAAGTAAAGATTTCAACAATTTGCACACACACATACACAAAATATAAAAAACTGAGAAGACATTTTACAGTTAATTCTCATAATACAACTCATTGAGGACAGAAGTTCTGCATGGAAAATAAGTGCATAGTGACTTCTGTTGTTAATTTAACAATTAACACTTTTATATATGATGTCAGTGACCACTCGAGGCTCTTGACATGAGCTGCCAAGGCTATGGAAAACTTTTGAATCCATAATCTCCATCAGTATTTTTTTTTTTTTTTTTTTGACAGGCAGAGTGGACAGTGAGAGAGACAGAGACAGAGAGAAAGAGAGAAAGAGAGAAAGGTCTTCCTTTGCCGTTGGTTCACCCTCCAATGGCTGCCGCGGCTGGCGCGCTGCGGCCAGCGCACCGCGCTGATCCATTGGCAGGAGCCAGGTACTTATCCTGGTCTCCCATGGGGTGCAGGGCCCAAGCACTTGGGCCATCCTCCACTGCACTCCCTGGCCACAGCAGAGAGCTGGCCTGGAAGAGGGGCAACCGGGACAGAATCTGGCGCCCCGACCGGGACTAGAACCTGGTGTGCCAGCGCTGCAAGGTGGAGGATTAGCCTAGTGAGCCGCGGTGCTGGCCTTTTTTTTTATTTTGACAGGTAGAGTTATAGACAGTGAGAGAGAGAGACAGAGGTCTTCCTTCCGTTGGTTCACTCCCCAAATGGCCGCTACGGCTAGCGCTGCGCCGATCCGAAGCCAGGAGCCAGGTGCTTCCTCCTGGTCTCCCATGCAGGTGCAGGGCCCAAGCACTTGGGCCATCCTCCACTGCCTTCCCGGGCCACAGCAGAGAGCTGGACCGGAAGAGGAGCAACTGGGACTAGAACCCGGCACCCATATGGGATGCTGGCGCCGCAGGCGGAGGATTAGCCAAGTGAGCCACGGTGTCAGCCCCTCCATCAGTATTTAGACAAGGCCATAAGCTAAGTAGAAGTTCTCTCCTCCCTTCAGAGAGAAGTACATCCTTCTTTGATGGCCACTTCTTTCCACTGGGGTCTCTCCCACAGGGTTCCTTCATGTAGGACATTTCTTTAGCCACAGTGTCTTGGCTTGCCATGCCTGACATGCTCTTGGGGCTTTTCAGACAGACCAGAATGCCTTTAGGGCTGATTCTCAGTAAGAGTGCTATTTAAAGCGAGCAAAATCAGGATTTTCTAACTTCCTTACATTGAACATATATCATATGTAGCATATTTTTTTAAATGTCTAAATAAATAAGGATTATATTATCTAAAAATTAATATCCACTTTGCATCAGAAAGAATAAAATAAGAATTAATATATTTTATAATTAGAAGGAATTTTAGACAATATCTTGGCAAATTCCTCAAATTCTTCAGGACCCTATTGTTAATTTAAATCATTTTCATTATAAATTTCATATAAATGGGTATGTGGTTACAACTCCAAATAAACATAAACCCAACTTGGAACTGAAATCAAATTTTAAATTATTATTAAAATGACAATCCAAAATTTTAAAATTTACTAGTAAGCTGTGGTCCCCAGAGAATGTGTCCACAGATTCCAGGGTTTCCTAATTCGAGAAACACTGATCTACTGCAAGTTCATTCAGGACCCTCAAAGTGAGTCCCATCTTCCCTCCAACACCTCAGTCATACCAGAAGTCCAGTGGCCCACTATCCTCAGAACTCTGCGTTCCATAACCCTCTATACATCCTTTAATGTGACCCAATAACTCCTCCTGTCCTCCCTTTCTCCAAAATCCTGCCCCTCTGAAACTCTAGTTCTGAGACGGGCCAACTCCTCAGTTTCTCAGTCTTTTCTTTACAACATTCTCTCCACCTGTAGTCCTTAACTAGAATAAGGCTGTCCCAGAATTACTTCCTCTGCACACACAAATCCAAGAAAACACTATACTAATAGTGATCACTTCTAGTCGATGAATTTGCAGATTAAGGAAGCTCTTTTAAAAAAAGCTAATTATTCTCACCACCCCATGACTTCAGGGCCCTCATTGTTCCCCAGTGCCACGCGCAGACAACTACTCTACTTCCTCCACCAGAGTCTCTGAGCCTCGGAGGCACATACCTGTCTATCAGCATGGGTGTCACCCCTTTTGGCTCACACTCCACCTTCCCCTCCCCGCTACAGTCATGAGTCTTGTTGATTTCACACCATGTGGGCATGCACAACCCACCCAATACCCTGACATCTCTGGCAACCTCACTCAACTTCTGCCACTTGTCATTTCCAAGGTTGTATCTTGGATCATTTCTCCAATGGAAATTGTACCACTTCCAAAATCATACTCACACATAACACATTCTCCAATCACTTCTTCAAGAATCCCCACAAAACTCTTAAGTCTTAGTGAAAAGTTTCAAAACCCATTGACCCCTTCCCACCAAAGTTTCTCCTCCATAAGCCCCCTTCTACTTTCACTGCTCTCCTTCCTATCTTAGAGATCGCAGTTTATCATTACAATCACCTCTTGCAAATATCTATTCTTAGGCTTCTTCACTTTGCATCCACACAGCAAAAACCAACCCCGAGAAACTCGATCACCTTCTACATGCTTGCATTCATGTGGAGAGAGGAGACAGCAAAGTATTGGTTTCTTCGGTAAATAAGCCTATGACCCGTGACTGAGTGCCTGGGTTCGATACCTGCCTCTGGCTCCTGACTCCAACTTCCTGCGAAGGCAGACCTTGGGAGGCAGGGGTAATGGCTCAAGCAGTTGGGTTCCTGTCACTCACGTATTCTATTAGTTGAACAACTGAAGCATTAGTTGCTTATTTCTCCTCATCTTTCAAAATAATGTTCTGCAAAAAGTATACCGTCAGTTGCTTTTTAAAGAACTATACCCTCAAAAGTTGTAGATATTTCAAGGGAGTCCCCAAGTCCTCAAAAACAAAATCCATTTTAATCTATGTTAGTGAAAATAATTAAAAACTGCTTTTATAAACTACATATTTCTCTGAGAAAAAGGATAAACAAGTAAAATATGAAATAATACAAAACAAATAGGTTGTTTCCAGTAGTAAATTCATGAAATGAAATGCTTATATACTGTACTTGGGTTAAAATTTTAAAATTCATATGGGCTGGGCTGGAGCTGGGAGCCTATAACTAATTCAGGTCTCCCATGTGGGTAACAGTAACCCAATTTACATGAGCCATCACCACTGCTTCCCAAGATCTGCATTAGCAGGAAGCTGGAGCCAAATGTGAGAAATTTTTTTTGTAAAGATTTATTTATTTGAAAGTCAGAGTTACACACAGAGAGAAGGAGAGGCAGAGAGAGAGAGAGAGAGAAAGAGAGAGGGAGAGAGAGAGAGGTCTTCCACCCACTGGTTCACTCCCCAATTGGCCTCAATGGCCAGAGCTGCGCTGATCCAAAGCCAGGAGCCAGGAGCTTCTTCTGGGTCTCCCATGCGGCTGCAGGGGCCCAAGGACTTGGACCATCTTCTACTGCTTTCCCAGGCCATAGCAGAGAGCGGGGTCAGAAGAGGAGCGTCTGGGACACGAATGGACGCCCATATGCATGTCGGGGCTGCAGGAGGAGGCTTAACCTACTTTCTGCTTCCGCAGCAGATGATGGCTCAAATACTCGGGTCCCCGCCACCCACGTGGAAGACTCAGATTGAGTTCTAGGTTCTTGATATGGCCTGTCCCCACCCTGGCAGCTACAAGGATTTGGGAAGGGAACCAGCAAAGGGATGATCTTTCTTTGTCTCTCTATCTGTCTTTCAAATAAATAAAGTAAATAAAATTTAAAAAATAAAGTCCTTGTAGGACAGCCTATTACTAACTGCTCAGAGATATAACCCATTCTTTAAAATTCTGTTTAAGAAAAGAGGAGGGAGAATACACTGTGAAATACTGATTGCACTGCTAATTGGAGCCAACTCAGGGAGAAGCTATGGTGGAGACACTGGGCCCCCTCCTCTTCCTAGCTTGTCCTCTCTTCAGGGACAGAAATTGCAAACCAAAAACCAAAACCAAAACACTTCAAACATGCCAATGCCCTTAAGCTAAAGCATGAAGCACAGAAATTGAATGGTAATAAGAACCCCTGATAGAAATGAGCTACAATCCTACATGACTTTGAGCATGTCAGACCTGGCGAGCCTCAATGTTTTATAGACTGTGTCACCAGCAGTTCTGCATCCCTGGCAGGAAACAGCCAAGCAAAGCTGTGTGAAAATGAGATGCATCTGTTCCTGCTCTGTGTGTCTACTTCCAAAACCTTCTGGCTGCTTGGTTAAATAAAACCTAAAATTACAGTGAGAGGGGAGGGATCTCTTCTACCAACCAGTGGCCCATTACTGCTGCTGTATTTCCCCTACATTTTTCAAAACAATTAATAATCCTATGACAACCATCATTAACATATTTCAACTATTCCTGTAATAAAATTCCTAAAAGTGAGACATCTGAGTCTAAAATATATTATATTAATTTATTGATTTAGATGCTGAGAAATATGTATATTTCAATGGATCACAGCTTTTATTGTCAATTGAGGTAGAAGACCTAAATATTCTCAAATAGCAAAATAAAAACACAATAGTTAAAATATTTTAAAAATTTTTGTCAAGCATTATAATTGTTCCTAGATCAATAATAAGTACTTTCTTTTTAAAATTTTTAGTTTATTTATTTGAGATGGAGGGAGGTAGCAGGACAAAGAGAGAGAAAGAGAGGGAGAAAGAGAGAGAGACAGCATTATCCTGAGGTTTTTTTTTTTAAAGATTTATTTATTTACTTGAAAGTCAGAGTTACACAGAGAGAGAAGGAGAGAGAGAGAGATAGAGGTCTCCCATTGCTGAGTCACTCCCAAAATGACCACAACAGCCAGAGCTGGGCCAATCCAAAGCCAGGAGCCAGGAGCTTCTTCCAGGTCTCCCACGCGGGCGCAGGGGCCCAAGGACCTGGGCCATCTTCTACTGCTTTCCCAGGACGTAGCAGAGAGTGAGATCAGAAGTGGAGCATCTGAGACTTCAACCAGCACCCATGTGGGATGCCGCCACTGCAGGCGGCTGCTTTACCACCGCACCAGCGGAGAGACAGCATTAAAGAAAGTCAGCTTCCATCCACTGGTTTACTCTCTAGACGTCTGCGGCTGGGTCAGGGTGAAGCTGGGAGCTGCAAACTCAATCCAGGTCTCCTACCTAGGTGGCAGGGACTCAATTACTTGAGCCATCACTACTGCCTCACAGGATCTGCATTAGCAGGAAGTTGAAGTCAGCAGCCACAGCCAGGAATTGAACCCAGGTACTCTGATGTGGGACAAGGGTATCCTAACCAGCATCTTAACCACCAGGCCAAATACTTGCCCCCTAAGTACTTTCTAATTCATTCTAAACTAGATTGACCAGGTAGTTAAAGAGTTAAAGTAACTAAATCTATATCAAAGTATCAAAGTGAATTTTGCCACAGGTTGTTAAAGCATCACAATTGAAGAATAATTTTTAAAGCATTACCCCATTTTTACTGCCGATGAAGAAAACAGATTTTTCTCCAATTTCAACTCCATTGTGTTCACTTCCACTAGTCCCTCTTTTTTCGACTTCAGCTTTTGCAATTTCCCATAGAGTTTCACTATATGAGAGGTAGAAAAACAAAATTCAGAGAAACAAGAAGAATCCTTTCAAATATTTGTTTCAAGTTCACAGAAACCTTCTTTAAGTGAAATTTAAAAACAAATTAGTAATTTTTTCCTGGGGGACAATAACTTGGCAAAACATCTAAGGACTAGTCATTTTACAGTTTTTTCTTTAAGCCAGTTCCTTTGAAGAATACTGAAATTGCCAGAGCATTTACCAACGGGATTTCGGGCTGTGTTATCCTGGAGTTTCTAAGCAAGGTTCATAGCTGTATGTAGTACCTTCTTGGCCACACAGGAAGATACAAGGACATTGGGAAAAACACAACTTGGAAAACTACCAATGCTCCAATCACCCAGGAAGATGGGAAACAGGCAAAGGCAGCATCCCAAATCATCTCTGCTCTCTGAAATATTTCTTTGTATTTTTGTTTTTAACATCATGTCTTTGGCTGAAATGTTTTCTTAAAAGATTTTTTTTATTTCTTATTTATTTGAAAGGAAGAGTTAGAGAGGGAGATGGCCCCAACTGGCCGGAGCTAGGCTGATCTGAAGCCAGGAGCCAGGAGCTTCTTCCAGGTCTCGCATGTGGGTGCAGGGGCCCAAGGACTTGGACCATCTTCCACTGCTTTCCCAGGCCATAGCAGAGAGCTGGATCGGAAGAGGAGCATCTGGGACACAAACCGATGCCCATATGGGATGTTGGGGCTGCAGGAGGAAGCTTAACCTACTTTAGCACAGCGCTGGCCCCTAGAAATCTTTTTTTTAAATATAAAAGTACAAAGCAAAGGGAAAACAGAGTACTGTATTGAACTAAACAAAATATGAGACCTGATGGTTCCTAGCCTGAATCTCTTTCTATGCATATGAACTTGAGCCAATGACTTAATCTGATTGTCATTTAATAATAAAACATTTATTAGCATCAAATACATGCAAGCCCCTGTACTAGTTCTCAGACTCAATGCTGTTTCTTCATTCCTCAAATACCAATAAAAAAGAATGTCAGTGTCACGTTATGATTGTTAAATGCCACAATTCATTTCCTGTAGGACCTGCCCCATTAAAATACAAAAATTACTTAGAGCTGGGGCAGGGCAGGCATGTGGTATAAGGAGTAACACTGCTGCCTGTGCATCTGGCATCCCAAAGGATGTCGGTGTGTCCCAGCTGCTCCAGTTCCGATCCAGCTCCCTGCTAATGGCCTGGGAAAGCAGCAGAGGATGGCCCAAGTGCTTGGGCCCCTGCACCCGCGCACATGGGAGACCCAGATGCCACCGTCTGGGGAGTCAATCAATAGATGAAAGATCTCTCTTTCTCTTTCAAATAAATAAATTCATTTTAAAAACTACTGAGCTTATAGTTATCTCTATTCAAGAACCAGGAATAATAAAAGGCCAACAGAGGAACAAAAAAACAAAAACATGTTTGTGCTGAAACGTATGCATCTGTTTCGCGGATGAGCCTCCAAGAACTCAGTTTGGGCCTGGGCTCTTCATTCACACGCATTCCTTCAAGAGATCTTCCTAAGCACCCAGCGGACGGAGGGAGGCCGCCATCGTGCATATCCGTATCCAGTGGGACCAAAGAAGAAAGCTTACAACTTTTCACACTGATGTTCTTAAACCTAACAGCAATCACACTGTGGTCCACGACGTGAGAAACAACTTTCTTCTGTTCCGAGGTTCAGCTGGTATCTCGAGAACAGGTCATGAAAATGAACATCTGGGCACGGAAGAGCTCTGGTGTAATTAGCAGGCCCTCAAGGCCTCCTCCCCTGGCCTCGGCTTTCCAAGTTTCCTCTCATTCGCAGCCCCTGCGAGCCCCGCACCTGCGAGCCCCGCACCAGGAGGGAAGGCCCTGGGGAGGTCGCTTTGGTCCGGTTCACCGCGCATCCCCTGCGCTTGGAACAGCCCCTGGCTCGCAAGAAACCTTCACGGAAATCTGGGAATGGGTGGGGCTGAGGATGTCTCAAAATCCCTCTTTCTTCTGCTTCGGGCACTTTTCTACCTGTTTGCAGCAGAGTCCTGATGTCAGAGGAGAGATCTCCCACCTCCCCGACCATCCCGACCCGGGCTGCTAGGACCCGACGCACAATCTTCTTCCACCACAGGTCCTCTCCTCAGGGGCACCCTCAGCGGCCTCTCCCTCCTCTGCCCCTTCCAGGTTCCGAGGGAGCGCGGGCCTGGCGCAGATGGCGCTCGGGGACTACCTGGGCATCGTGGCTGGGCTGCCTATACGTCGTGAGCCGGGCTTCGGGCCCAACCTAGAATCAGGCTGGCGGCGAGTCGCGGGACCAGCAGGGGAACGCAGACCTCCGGCGTTGCCATGGGAGCAACGTCGCGCCGCGGCTGCGTGCAGAAGATTGGCATCTTGGGAAATGTAGTTTTCAGTCTTCCTTTTCTCGTCTTCCTTCAGCATCCATCACCAGGACGTGAAAGAACCAGGGGACAGTGGTTACAACCCTGGGACCGAGGAGCAATCGTTTCTGAGTTGGGAGTTGTTGTTCTCTTATTAAAATAAGTACTTTACTGAGTGCCGATATGCCAGGAATCTCTGTTCTCACACATCTTTTATTTTTCTCTCCCCAGTAGCCAAGGTTTGGGAATAGAGCGTGAAACAATCCCTTGAGCTGTTATCCAGTAATTTACTGGAAGACATGAACATATCTTTAAACTGAAAATAAGACAGCGATTTTAACGTTTCCCAACTTTGTGAGTGTTTAGGTTTTATGCAGTAGCACATTATTTATTAGTAAGTCGATGGAGCTAGTGCATGTCTTACTTCACTTATCTTATGAGTATAGATTACTTTTGCTTGAACTTTGTGGTGTTTTTATAGATCCCAAAGCCTCCACAAACATTGAGTTGTTACTACAAGCAAGACACTGGGCCACACAGTAAGGAATCAAGAGATGAGTATGATGAAGTCCTTGTCCTCAAAAAAGACATACACAGCTAATTACAACCACTCAAAGAAGTAAATGAATAAGAAATTGCAGAGAGGCACAAAAAATTACATAAGAACAAATGACTAATTATGCCTGAGGAGATGGTGAAACATTCATGGTAAGTGATAGAAGGTTGTTTTTTTTTTTTTTAAGATTTTATTTATTTATTTGAGAGGCAGAGTTGCAGACAGAGAGGAAGACAGAGAGAAAGGTCTTCCATTCTCCCGTTCATTCCCCATATGGCTCCAATGGCTGGAGCAGGGCCAATCCAATGCCAAGGAGCCAGGAGCTTCTTCCAGGTTTCCTACATGGGTGCAGGGGCCCAAGCACTTGGGCCATCTTCTACTGCTTTCCCAGGCCACAGCAGAGAGCTGGATTGGAAGAGAAGTGGCTGGGACTTGAACGGCACCCATATGGGGTACCAGTGCTGCAGGCGTAGTTTGGTCTACTATGCCACAGCACCCACCCCACGCAGATTTGTTTTGAATGTCGAATAGACCCAGGCTTTCTAAGGGAGATTCTTTCTCTACAACCCTCTTCCAGTTTCTATGGTGTAATGTTCAAGAACAGGGGCTTTGAAATAAAATAGACATAGACTCAAATCCTGCCTCAATCACACAGGCTAAGTTGCCATCTTTCAAATTGAGTAAATGACTAAATTTTTCTGATCCTGTAAAGCATGGAGAGATTATGAGTTTTAAATTATATATATGCACACATATATAATACATGTATTTAACACATTGTAAGCACTGAATACTTGCGATTATCAAATTTTAATTTATTAAATTTTAATTTTCACTGGTACACAGCTTCAAAAAAAGAAACAGACAGAAGGAGCACATTCCTGGAAATGAAGCATATGTTGATTAGAGGAAAAGGCATTCACTTTGGATAAAGTCTTTGGTAACAAATCCCACAACACATAGGTGCATTGTGGAGAGTGAAGGCTGTAGTCCATAGGCAGGGGTGTAACAGGTATGTAATTCAATGGAGAAAGAACGATTTCAAAGGGAGTTGATGCATTCGTCATTGAATCAGCATGTATACCCTGGTGTTAGCCAGCCTATAGATTGATGTAAGACTAATGATTAGGGTTCTGGAGCTTCGGAATCCCTTTGCATGTGAGTTAGGAAGCCCCATTAATATTGGTGATAATCATAGGGAACATCTTTATAACTGTCTGGATAACTGGGATGGTAGCTAAAGGATGGAGCACACTAACAAGGAAGGTTGTCATCTGGCTGGGTCTTGATTGCCAGTATCGATTCAGGGTTGATTCAATTGATTGCACTGAGTGAGTGAGTTCTCTTTTCTTCCTGAGACTGCCCACTTGAGCAAAGAAAATGACCTTCCCTGGAAGATGAAAACTGTTCACAAGGTTAAAGATTTGAGCTTCCACACTGGATTACCCAGAAGACTCAATAGCTGGTGATGGAGGAGGTACTTTTATGCTTTTTGTTGAATGGGAGGAGCTACAGTGCAGAAGCGCAAAGATGCCTGCAAGATGTATTTGGGAAATATAATAGTTTGGGGTGGGAACACATGATGTACACAATGAAGCTAAGATGGGAGAGCAAACTGGACAGAAAGATTGGACTATCATGAAAGAAAGACCCTGCAGTTTGACTTCACTGGGTTAAATATGAAAGGCCAATTAAAATTAAAAAATAGGAGTATGCCATGGCCAGACCTGAATGTCAGTGAGGTAATTTTTTGCAGCTGTGTGGAGGATGTTTTGGCGTCTAGAAGACCACATGGGGTTTATTATTAACAGCTGTGAAAGTGATAGAGTTTTGACATTTTTTCCTCTTGCTTTTCCAAGTTACATAAGCTTATCACAGAAAAAAGATATGCAGAAAAAAAGAAGAGGGCAAAATCAGAATACCCCAGAAGTAGACTATTTACACATTTAGCTGTGTTTCGTTCTCATTGTTTGCCTTATAGAGTTGAGATTGCACTGTGAAGTTAATATCCTGATTTAACATTCATCTCCCCCATCAATTTTTAAAAATGCATTATGAGGCTGGCGCCGCGGCTCAATAGGCTAATCCTCAGCCTGCAGCACCAGCACATCGGGTTCTAGTCCCGGTTGGGGTGCTGGATTCTGTCCCGGTTGCTCCTCTTCCGGGCCAGCTCTCTGCTGTAGCCTGGGAGTGCAGTGGAGGGTGGCCCAAGTCCTTGGGCCCTGCACCCCATGGGAGACCAGGGGAAGCACCTGGCTCCTGGCTTCGGATCAGCGTGGTGCGCCGGCTGCAGCGCGCCAGCCACGGCAACCATTGGAGGGTGAACCAACGGCAAAGGAAGACCTTTCTCTCTGTCTCTCTCTCTCTCACTGTCCACTCTGTCGAAAAAAATGCATTATGAACATTCATGGAAGCACAACATTCCATTATAAAGACTTTCCGTAATTTATTGAGGCATTTTCCTAATGTTGAGTGAGTCTGGTGGTTGACTAAACACCTGACACGATCTGGCGAAATAAGAATCCTCTCCTGGAGGTAATTGAAAATGAAACTCTATGAAAGGAGGGATGGGAGAGGGAGTGGGAGAGGGGAGGGCCGAGGGAGGGAGGGAGGTGTCGGGGGGAAGCCACAAGAATACAAAAGTTGCACTCTGTAAATTCACAGTTATTAAATAATAATAATAATAAAAGAATCCTTTCCTGGAATTCTTCAAACTAGGATTCAGGAAAGCACGTCACCACCCCCCTGGAGGAAATTCGCATGTTTTCTGCTAACTGAAGCAGCTCTCCTGTAGTTGGAGAACATGAGGCAAACCCGCACTGATCTGAAGAGAAAGCCCTGGCACAGGTCTTACAGCTCAGCTGTCCCTGAGGCTCCTGTGTGTCTTCCTCTCCTGTGGCTTCACTGCCCAGCTCCTCCTTTGAGTAGAGGAGACATCTCAGTATCCTTGTAGTAAGCTTACTCATTTTCAGCCAGGTTAGTTTAAGTTGAAATTTGAAATTTACAACAGAAAGAGTTCTGTCTGATGCAGCTCTTAGACAGTGGAGAGGGAGGCCTTGGGGAAAGGGAGACAAGTCAATGTTTCTCTCTTGGCTGACTGGTGAATTGATAATCCTATGAACACATTGTCGGGGGCACAGAGTAGGAGATCCAGGCTCAGAAGTCATGGAGAGGCCAGCATTGTGGCACAGCGGCAGGGCTGCTGCCTGGGACGCCAGCATCCCACATGGGCACAGGGTGAGTCTCAGCTGCTCCTCTTCCATCCAGCTCCCTGCTAATGGCCTGGGAAAATCAGCAGAGGGTAGCCCAAGTGCTTGGGTCCCTGCTGCCCATGTGATAGACCCAGATGGAGTTCCAGGCTCCTGGTTTGGCCTGGCCCAGCCCCAGGGCTGTTGTGGCCACTTGGGGAACAAACCAGCAGATGGAAGATCTCTCTCTCTCTCCTGATGTTCTGTAAACTTTTGACAAACAGAAGTCATGATGACTTTGAGATATTATCCAGCAGAGAGTTAGACCATCTGGAGTCCTTGGAGTTGGCAGTTAGAGGTCAATGATAACCTTATGGAAAGATGTTTCACTAGAACAATGCAGGCATGGCATCATTATGGACAATACTCACTCATCCCCAGACAGGGATGGAGAGAAGCAAGGGAGGGCACATCCTATAATCTGCAGGTAATCCAAAAGCTAACTAGAAAGTTTTTCTAAGGATACACACCTTCTATAAACTTGACCTCTCAGGAACTCCAGACTAAGCCATCTCCTCTGGTGTTACCCAACCTTCAGTTGTTATGGACTTTTCCTGGGAATTCACTGGAGCCACATAGGGAGAGAGGGACTTGGCCTTCTTTTGTCATGGCAGCTGCTAAGGAAGCATCATCTGTTTTAGAAATTGATGAATTTGGCTGGCGCCGCGGCTCACTAGGCTAATCCTCTCTCACTGTCCACTCTGCCTGTCAAAAAATAAATACATAAAAATAAAAAAAAAATTGATGAATTTATTTGAAAGGGAGAGAGGGAGAGAGAGAGAGAGAATGTCTCATGCACTGGCTCACCCTCCAGGTGCTCACAGTGGCCAGGGCTGGCCAGGCCAGAGTCAGGAACCAAGAACTCAATCCAGGTTTCTCATGTGGCTCCCAGTGACCCAGCTGGTTTTAATAAGACCATACTATAACCCAGCAGCACTTTCAGAGATTCATCCCCACCCCTCAACACACATGCACACACACACACACACACACACACTGTTTATTAGATTATGTTAGCAAAATGCTAGAAGGTACCCTGTATTCAAGTGCTGCTGTGAAATTTGTGTCTTGGGACTGGCGCTGTGGTACTGTGTCCTGTAGCTTCTGCCTGCAGTGCCTCCATTCCATATGGGCGCGGGTTTGAGTCCCAGCTGTTCTACTTCTGATCCCGTTGCCCCTGCTAATGGCCTGGGAAGGCAGTGGAGGATGGCCCAAATGCTTGGGCCCCTGCACCTATATGGGAGATCCAGAGGAAGTTCCTGGCTCCTGATTGGTCCAGCTCCAGCTGTTTTGGCCATTTTAGACGTCTCTCTGTCTCTCCCTCTGACTGTAACTCTGCCTCTCAAATAAATAATCTTCGAATACAAAAATTTTAAAAAAGAAATTTGTGTCTTATGTTGGTTTTACTTCTTAATAGATGTTTCCTTAATGAAGTTTTGTTCTTTGTCCATTAGTGGACTGCAAAATAATTATAAAGCACACAAGGAAGGTTTGGGGTTGATGCTGATTGTAATTGTTATCTCCTGAATCATTGTGACCATGTTTAATTTAGGTAAAATTAAATTCAACAAATAAAATCACAGTATACAGCAAGTATCTGTCTCCTCTCCTCAGCCTCCTTCCCAGGCCATCAACTCCTCCTTACAGGTCCACTTTCCCACATCAATGTCCAGGAAAAGCCTGAGTCTTGGTCCCACTGATAGGTGGACAAATCTTACAGTGCCCTAAATAATTATGTATGGATTTATCTTAACTTGAAGTTTAAAAGGAAAAAAAAGGTCCTCTTGTGGCAGCGGCATCACTTTCTTCTCTGAGGGAAAGGGCATGGGGCGAATGTGGAGGGGATGTAATTTCTGCCTGAAGCTGGGGAGACCCCTGCCCGCCCACTTCCTCCAGCTGCTGCCTCCCCCCTCCGCCCCCAACACACACACTGCTGGAGCCTCTCCTGGGCAGAACAGCCCAAACCCCCTCAAGCCGTGAGGGCGCCAAGTTCCCCAGCAGCTGGGTGTGGGGGACGGGAGAAAGTGTTCCGGCATCACAGGGACACAAAGCTTTCTTCTAAAAACAGCCGTTTTACGGTGGTCATTCCTTCAGGATGCCAGCTGGGGCTAAATGTATTGTTCTAGGAAACTGGCTGCCATGCATTTTATTTCTATGGAAAAAATGCCAAACAACCAACTATTAGACATATTTTTAAAACAAAGACTCTTTTTACATTGTGACTAACTTCTTTAAATTCAGAGTTAAGTTCATTTCCAAGCTATGGACTTTGACTTTAAGGCTGCACACACATGCAACACACACACACACACACACACACACCATCCAGAACATTCAAAATAAATTTTTAGAACGTCATCCTTTCAATTCTCCTATATGAAACAAGTTCCCTTAAGGGACTTACGATGAAATAGTAAGAGAACCAGAATTTCTATCTATGTATTTACATATTATATATCTATATATACATAGATATGTATTAAAGTTACAATTTGTCAAAATAGCTTTCTTTTATGCAGATAAAACAAAGTAACACTGAAGACAAAGCATGAATGCCTTGAAGGAGGTAATAACCACCATTCTCCCTAGTCATACACCTCAGCTTTGACAATGAAGACATTACGTGTTTCTTGAAGATTATTCAAAAGAAAACGCTCAAAATGGGTTTTGTAAATCATTTATTATGATTGAAAGGAAAGAAAATGATAGGAGACAAATATGACAATTAAACATGTTAACATTATTCTCTTGTAACCAATCATAATAACATACTTTGAATATTTTAAAATAAAATTTTCACATCATCAGTTACAGAAAATTGATTTCTTTCCATCAAAATATTTTATCTCTGCTCTATCAAAAATAAATGCCAAGTCTATGGCACTACAGTTTAAGCCTCAGTACTTGTTTAAATTAGAAGGTTGGGGGTGGGGGTGGGGGCTTACCAAATAGTGAATGAACTATTGCTGGCGAAGGAAATCCTCACACATATGTCACAGCTCTGCCAAGCCTCTGGCTCACCAACCATGGGTGATTAAATGCTTTTCAGGGAATTTAGAAACTGTACTGTATGCTAGGCAAAAAGCTGCTGAGAGTTTTCCCAAATTGCTAAATGGTTTATTCTCAAAAACTAATTTGCTTACTCAGTGAGCGGTTATGGCTCAAAACATGTAGGGGAAATGGGCAATAGACGTGTATTTTATGGAGCTCTTTAAAATCCTCTTTTAATTATTACCAATAAAGCACAATATTACTTATGCAATGTATTTCTTGGCTCTGTCCCTTCTAAGGATACTCAAACAGGACGGAACGGTTAAAAAGGCTTCATGTGAGAACAGTACACTGCCGCAGGGAGAAGGCAGAGAGAGAAGCAGGAAGGCTCTGCCGACACAGTCACTCAGCAGCTAACACTTTTCTCAGGTTGGTTTTAAAAAAAAGACACACAAAGTGATAAATATATATTCAAAAATAAATACAAATATTCTACACATAAATAAAATTAAGTGTATTCATGATTGCTATTAAAATTAAACATTTTTATGATATAATTTTCATGTCTTATCACAGTTTCATGTTTAGTAGGAATACTAATGACGCGGTTTTGACACATCCTGGGATACACAGACCACTTATAAAACTCAGTAAGTAATACTTTTCAAGGTTCTCTCAACTAAAATTTTACCTCCTTGGCAGTAAAAAATTCTTTTTGGACAAAAGAATTATTTTAGCTTTAAAAATACTTTTGGAAATGTATCTTCAAGCTATAATTAGGAAGGATGGTATGAATGGCAAGGCTTTAGGGATTATCTTTGTTTTCAAAGATAGGATTTCACACAGCAAGGTCAAAATGACCCAGTGGCAAATGCAATGAAAGTGGGCAATATTCCAGAGCGCATGGGCTACGCTGACAGCCAAGAAACGTCAGGAATCGCTGCCTCATTTTAAAATTTACACCCCAGTGATCTGCAAAGGTGACAGGGGATACTTTTAATACCACATAGGAGGTTCTGGTTACCTAACTCCTGTTTTCTCACATAATAATTCACGGAGCCAAAATATTTATTGCACTTGCTCTAGAAATTTACCCCTGCACACCACCCTGCAGCTGTTTCTTACGCTGCGTATGCCACTTTTTCCAAACTCCATACTACTCAGTAAAAGCACATTTAATTACAGTACTTAATTTTTGGCAGTCAGCATTTCCAGTCAACTAGTTTATCAAGTTGGAGTTTTGTATCTTCCTTTCTGAAGATTTACCGAACATTCAAAAGAAAAGAAAGAACAACCGTAGTGCACAACACTTCTGATGGGAGGTCGAAGGGAGAAGGACAGATGTACTGTAACCCATTTGCTCTAAGAAAATTACCATGTTGGCAAATCTTACGTTTGTTTCATGCCTAGTACTCATTTGCATATTTAAGAATCAAATAAAAGTGAGTAACCCCCAATACTGTTATAGTCAGGAATACCAGGACGGGGCACCATGCTGTCCTAGTGTGCAGCCGACACAGCCACCACACAGTGCACGAGAGGAGAACATTCCGGATCTTCGCTTTCAGAGCAAGGTGGGGCCTTTGGTTGGTCTACTGCTTGTCAGAGGCGGCTGGCTTCCCATGGCCCTGGCTTGCGGTCCCCCAGTCCGGGCTGAGAGGAGAGCTGGAGCAGAGAGGTGGTGGAATGCTGCCTTTTGCTGATGAAAGTTGTTTATATAACTGGCAATCAAAAGAGTGATTTCAAGAATCTAAAACAAGAAAAACAATCGTTATGCTCCTGAGAAGTTCTCATCACTTCAGAAAGACAGTGAAGGGTTGGCCATGGGCGAGCCTGCCTTGCAAGTGCCCGGGGTTCCCAGCACTCATTTCTCTTTATCCCAGACAGCAAAGTGCTACACGTGCCACCCCATCACAGCACCAACACGTTCTCCATAAGCCCGTAGAGGGGAACTCAAAAATATAGAAATTTAGTGGCAACACTAGGAAATGTGACAGTCATTGGCAAAACTCTATCAATGATATCAAAGCCATGTGTAAGCAATTCAGCATATCATTTCCACTCTTTATTTAAGCTAAAGTACTAAATGTGCCATGATCTGCATTAGTGGCTGATGGTCTTTACTTAAGTCCAGACTTCATTAAGAAAGCTGTCTGCCATTTTTTCAAAAAAGCTTCAGATTCTGAAGAAGTATAGTCTCTTTTAGTTGACAATTTTAAAACAGTTTAAAGTTTTAGGAAAACTGATTTTCCATTCTTTATGCTAAACTTATAATCACATATTAGAATGTCACCTTTTTATTTATTGTCTTTACTTACAGACATTACAACTATATAGTTTATTAAAGATAGTAAAAGAACTGGTATGCTTTAATTATAAAATCCTGCTACTTCCTGTAGTGAGTCCATAAAGTGAATAACCCCAGATAAATAAGTTAATTTGTATAAAGTACCTGACAATCTAACTTACACCATGACCATTTGTTTTTAACCTTCTGTATGCCAGGCACCATGCTAAATACTTTACAAACGTCCTTCACTGAACTCTTAAGACAAAAAAAAATAGGTGGTATCACATTCTTAGTTGAAGAAATCAAGGCTTCGAAAGATGAGGTAAGCCAGTGTTCACGTTCATGGGTGTTTGATTATATATCAAATACTGTCTTTCTCCCACCTGGAGCATAGTCTTTGCTCCATAAATGTTTCAATGAGAAAAATTTAGCATAAAACATTTGGCACAAAGGCTTCCACTCACCTTGGGCTTTGCCATGGAAAAAAGTAACTTCTCTGTTGGTTTGTCCTTTGAATGCGTATTGTTGATGACTACCATGAAATCATCCTGATAGCCTCCAAAGGTCATTAGACTCTTGTACACATAGCTGACTATTAACCTCTTCAAAGAGAAGAAAAAGTAAATATGTTATATACCCTTTATTTTCAAAGAAAACAGGAAACTGTTAATAACATATATTCCATTAAAATGCTGATATTAATTGTGGTATAACACAAAAATTATTTTCTAAAATGAAATCTATGATTCAAATAGATAGTAGTGTTACAAATTTTATTTAGGCATTCTCTACCTTCACAATTAAAGTACATTTTGATTCTGAAGCAAATATAACTCACTGCCACAAAAATTAGAAAATAGAAGAAACTACAAAGTACTTATATTCCACTATCCAGGAGCAAATAACAGTTAATATTTTTTGATATGCCATTTTAGAAATCTCTCTTAAATGCATTAGGTTGAATCATATGAAAATGACACTTTTTATGGTCAAAATGGTTAACTATTAGCAAATCTGTTTTGTTTCACTCTGAGAGATTAATTATGATGTATATAATTACAGTATCATGCACACTGTTTCACCTTCTCCTTTTTTTTTTTTTTTAAACTTAACAGCATAATGTGGACATCTTTCCATGACAACTAAAGTACTTGGCCAAGGCTCACTAGGCTAATCCTCCACCTGCGGCGCCAGCACCCGGGTTCTAGTCCCGTTTGGGGCGCCGGATTCTGTCCTGCTTGCTCCTCTTCCAGTCCAGCTCTGCTGTGGCCCAGGAGTGCAGTGGAGGATGGCCCAGGTCCTTGGGCCCTGCACCCGCATGGGAGACCAGGAGGAAGCACCTGGCTCCTGGCTTCTGGCTTCGGATTGACGCAGTGCACTGGCCATAGCAGCCACTTTGGGGGTGAACCAACAGAAGGAAGACCTTTCTCTCTGTCTCTCTCTCTCACTGTCTAACTCTGCCTGTCAAAAAAATAAAATAAAATAAAGTACTTGTATATTCTCTGGTTTCTCTTCAGATCATATAAATCTTTCATCTTTTACTAAAGTACTTGTATAATATCATTTTAAATTATTTTATAGGCAATTCCTTATTTAGTCAATCTCCTATTACAGTATATTTAAATCATTTTTTATTTTTCACTAACTTTAGCAATACTCCAGTGATTGCTTCTAGAGATATTTCATAAGGCGTATACCTAATTATTGTTTTGGTTATAAAATCAAACAACAGGAATTGCTAGTTCAAAGAATAAGGACGATTATTAAGTACTTAAAATTAAAAAAAAATTACTTGAAAGGCAGGCAGATTGGGGCCAGCCCTGTGGTGCAGTGGGTGGAGTTGCTGCCTGCAGTGCGGCATCCCATATGGGCACCAGTTCGAGTCCCAGCTGCTCCACTTCTGATCCAGCTCTCTGCTATGGCCTGGGAAAGCAGTGGAAGATGGCCCAAGTCCCTGGGCCCCTGCACCCGCGCAGGAGACCTAGAAGAAGCTCCTGGCTTCTGGCTTCAGATCAGCACAGCTCTAGCCATTGCAGCCAAATGGGGAGTAAACCAGTGGATGGAAGACCTCTCACTCTCTCTCTCTGCCTCTCCTTTTATGTAACTCTTTCAAATAAATAAATAAATAAAAATCTTAAGGAAAAAAAAAAAAGAAAAAGAAAAAGGCTGGCAGAGAGCGAGGGAGGGAGACAAAGAGAGAGAGAGAGATCTCTCATCCACTGGTCTCCTTCCCCAATTCCTGCTTTAGCCAGGGCTGGGATAGGCTAAAGCCAAAAGCTGGGACTCCATCCTGGACTCCCACATGGGTGGTAGAGGAGAGACCTAAGCGCTTAAGCTATCAACTGCAGTCTCCCAGAGTGTGCATCAGCAGGAAGTCCACTCAGGAGTGGAGTGAGGACTACAATCCAAGCACTCCAGTATGGGATGTGGGCCTCCTAAGCAGTCTTAACCACTGCACCAAATGCCCACCCTAGGGCAATTTTTGAAAAAGTTTTCAAATTCTCCTCTGCAAGATTATACCTATCTACCTTCCCAGCACTGCAGCCTTGCTAACCTGGAATCACTTCATTCTTTTAAATCACCGCAGCCTGACTCGAGAAAAATCTAATCTTGCTGTTCTAAGTTTACTAATTAATTACTAGTGAGATTAACATTTTCAAATACATTTATTGACTATTTTATTTCTCCTGTGAATTGCCTTGGCTAATTTGTGTACTGATAGGCTCATAACTTTCTTGGTGCTGTATAAGAATCAGTGTATATTAAGAATACCAACGTTTTGTCATATATGCAACAAATATTTTTCCCACTGTGTCTATAAAACAATTTTTAAGATATGACTAAGAAACGTATAGCCTAAAAGGAAAGAAATCTGTACATCTAATGAAGACCGAGCAGATCATTCCAGCACCAAGTGCCTCAGCGTCTGCTTCCCAGCCTGCATGGTCGCCTCCTGGGGCCAGGGGGAAGAGTCTCTAACTAAGGCGACTCGAGGACTTGAAGTCATCGGTTTTATAATCTATCTACAAGTTACCTATTCAAGAAAGCTACTTAGAAAACATAAAGTCTTGGCCGGCGTCGCGGCTCACTAGGCTAATCCTCTGCCTGTGGTGCCAGCATTCCAGGTTCTAGTCCCGGTCGGGGCACCGGATTCTGTCCCGGTTGTCCCTCTTCCAGGCAAGCTCTCTGCTGTGGCCCGGGAGTGCAGTGGAGGATGGCCCAAGTGCTTGGGCCCTGCACCCGCATGGGAGACCAGGAGAAGCACCTGGCTCCTGGCTTCGGATCAGCGCGGTGCACCAGCTGCAGCACGCTGGCTGCGGTGGCCATTGGAGGGTGAACCAACGGCAAAGGAAGACCTTTCTCTCTGTCTCTCTCTCTCACTGTCCACTCTGTCTGTCAAAAAATAAAAATAATAAAAAAATAAAGTCTTTTGAAAAAGTATTTTTAGCAATTCTAAGAGGAAAGAATAACTACACACCAAAGGATAGCTTTGTTTCCAAAAAATTTTACTCATCTCTGTCTATAGCTACAGATAAGAGGAGCACATTATACATCTGAATTTAACAATTCCTGCCCAGCAGATTAATAATAATAATAATAATAATAAATTTTTACTATATAACCCATACATGAAATAAGTTGGAAAATACTGTTTCAGACAAATGAACACATAGAAACCATAGCTTGATTGTACTTTTAATTATGTGGTAAGATATTAAATATGTTAAAGTGAACTGGTGGCATTATGGGAAATTATAGAAATTATGTCACAGAAGTCTTAGTGAAACTAAAGTCTATTTTAATGATACATTAAATATTGTTACTTTAGGGGTCGGCGCCATGGCTCACTTGGTTAATCCTCTGCCTATGGCACTGGCATCCCATATGGGTGCCGGGTTCCAGTCCCAGTTGCTCCTCTTCCAGTCCAGCTCTCTGCTGTGGCCTGGGAGGGCAGTGGAGGATGGCCCAAGTGCTGGGGCCCCTGCACCCACATGGGAGACCAGGAAAAAGCACCTGGCTCCTGGCTTTGGATTGGCACAGCGCCAGCCATAGTGGCCATTTGGGGAGTGAACCAGCGGAAGGAAGACCTTTCTCTCTGTCTCTCTCTCTCTCACTGTCTATAACTCTACCTGTCAAATAAATAAATAAATAATTGTTACTTTATATTGGAAACAATCTTCCTAACACCTAAAAAATGGTTGTCTCAGCCATCTCAGGAAAAAAAAACTATAATTACAATTTTTTTAAAAAAAGATTTAGTTTTTTATGTGGAAGTTAGAGTTACAGAGAGATAAGGAGAGAGAGAGAGATCTTCCATCTGCTGGTTCACTCCCCAGATGGCTGTATGACTGGAGCTGGGCCAGTCAGAAGCCAGGAGCCAGGAACTTCATCTGGGTCTGCCATGTAGGTAGCAGAGGCCCAAGAACTTGGGCCATCTTCCACTGCTTTTCCCAGGCCATTAGCAGGGAGCTGGATCACAAAGTGGAGCAGCCAGGATGTGAACTGGCACCCACATGAGATGCTGGTATCACAGGCAGTGGCTTTACCTTCTACGCCACAGTGCCTACCCCAATATTTTTCTTATACACAATAGATGATCCACCTTTTCTTGTTTTAAAAGATTAAGCTATAATCACAGTTGTATTTGTAAAATGACTATTCATTTGGTAATGTTAGGAAAAATGTGTATGAGAAAATTAGATCGAGATATCATTACCGGGGCTGGTAATGATCAGCCCAGCTCTGGCCATTGCAGCCACTTGGGGAGTGAACCAGCCAGTGGAAGACCTCTCTCTCTCTGCTTCTCCCTCTCTCTGTGACTCTGCCTTTAAAATAAATAAATAAATCTTAAAAAAAAAGATATCATTACTTCCTGTTTACCATATAACGATCAATGGAAACAACTGACTCAACACAAAAGTTTAGGGTTGACTCTTACCATGGAGGTGTATTCCAAGATGCTTAAACCATCTTCATGTATAGCCAGCCAAAGGAAAGTACTTCCTAGTGATGACGGAGTTATGGGCTATGACAGGTAAAAAATACACTCGATTACAAATGTTAAGCAAAATTACAGAAATATTTTAGTCTACGTTCCAAGTAACATTTTCCATTATACAACAACAGTTTATCATTAAAAATCTCTCTCAAGGACAAGGTTGTGTGGTATAATGAAAATATAGTGAGTTTAATATTGGGAGAGCTGGGTTGGAGACCCAAATCTGCCATTCGGTTATGTGCGCATTGCACAAGCTACTAAGTCTCTCTTCAGGCTCAATTTCCTCCTCTACGATAATGTTAATATGTTATTTTGCTTTTGTTTCATGAGGTGAATAGTCGACAAAGCTTTCAGGGTTTCTATGATGACCACAATCCTAATGAAACAAAAATATATTGATAACCTTAAGATGTGTAAAGGATTATTGCAATTGTATACTTTGCCTGAAAGTTTATTAGAGCTGAAGTTCAATGTCTAGTATAAAGATAGAATAAAAAGAAAATATAAAACTATGTGATCAGTAGTAATGACAAATACTATAATTTCTACCAAATTTTTACTGCAAAAGCAATGAAATTATATTAAAGATCTCCCACTGCTAAAACCCAATGAAAACCCATGAATATCTTTGAGCATTCCATAATGATTGTTTTGTTGTTAACAACTAAAATTCTAACAAAAAATATTTCTCTTAATTAAATCTTATAAAACAATGTCAAGACTACAATGGAACTAGGATGGACCTTGTACTATCTTTATACAGTAAAACTTATCAGAATCCCCAAAATTACAAACTAGGTTACAATTTATCTACTGAGGGTTGTTTACAAAGAATAGGCAAATATTAAGCATTCAACTCAAGTGCCCATGAGCAGATAAATGGATGAACAAAATGTGACATAGATACAATGAAATATTCAGCCTTAAAAAGGAAAGTAATTTTGACACCTGCTACAACATGAATAAACTTTGAAGCCATTATACTAAGTGAAAGAATCCAGTAGCACAAGAACAAATATTGTATGATTCCTAGTCTATGTGGCACTGAGAGTAGTCAAATTTACAGAGGCGCAGAGGGTGGCATGATGATTGCAAGGAGCTAGAGCATAGGAAAGAATGGAGAGTTAGCATTTAATGCGTACAGAAGATGCTGGTGATGACAGTAGCACAACAATGTGAATGTACTTAATGCCACACAGCTGGCTACTTTAAGATGGCTAAAGTGGGGGCCGGCACCGTGGCTCAATAGGCTAATCCTCCGCCTTGCGGCGTCAGCACACCGGGTTCTAGTCCCGGCTGGGGCGCCGGATTCTGTCCCGGTTGCCCCTCTTCCAGGCCAGCTCTCTGCTGTGCCAGGGAGTGCAGTGGAGGATGGCCCAAGTGCTTGGGCCCTGCACCCCATGGGAGACCAGGAGAAGCACCTGGCTCCTGCCTTCGGATCAGTGCGGTGCGCTGGCCGCGGCGGCCATTGGAGGGTGAACTAACAGCAAAAGGAAGACCTTTCTCTCTGTCTCTCTCTCTCTCTCTCTCTCACTGTCCACTCTGCCTGTCAAAAAATAAACAACAACAACAACAACAACAAAAAAACCTTAAAAAAAAAAAAAGATGGCTAAAGTGGTAAATTTTATGTTGTGTCCATTTTAACACACACAGAGAGGGACACCTTAAGCAAACAAAGGAGTAACTCCTGACCTCCACGGGTTATAAAGGAAGAAAAATACCTGTTGTGAAACATGAAACCCAATAGTCATTATTTAATAATAGCATGTTATGTCAGCAAGCACAGAATATATTATCAGAGTGGAGAAAGACAGAAACTGACTATATAAGTTGAATTACATTCAATCTCTGCTATCATGAGAATTAAATTTTGACTGTTCTCAGAAAGTCACTACAAGCTTTTCAAGGCTTCTTCCCAGTATGCCAGTTGTATACTTCTGGACCAGTTCAAAGGAGCAGCCTTCTTGGCGTCAGTGGAGAAACAGTATCCTACAACCTTGCATACTACTTCTTATGATGGGAATAATTTACCTGGCAGTAATAATAGAAAATCTGTCAACCAGCAAAATTACACAAATACCACAAATGTCATCTGGCCCTAGTCAACAGACAACATTTTGCACTGGTTTTTGCCATGAGCAGAGTAAAATAGTCAGTTTTCTGCATCCAAGGACACCAGTTATATGAGAAAATCTTCTCCGTTTGTATCTATGAAATCTGTTCTCTTTAAATTAATGAAACCTTTAAAAAGGCTATTCCTTATCACCATTAACAAACTAGGTATCCACAGACCAATAAAAGGAAAAGGAATTGGAATTGGATTTTCTTGATTGGCTGGGACTTGTATTCAACTAGGGGTGTGTTCAGTTTCCTGCGAATACAGAGAGATATACAGGAAGGATAGATACCTGAAAAAAAAAAATGTACTTTGGTCAACTACAGTTAATGTCAGCTCCCTGAATATAACATTGATTTTACACATGTTTAAAAATACTAACTTTACCATCTTTCTGTTAACTTAGCATACAGCTTCCAGTTCTATAGCAGAAATAATTTCTTGCTTAATGAAAGGGTCACTCAGAATCAGAGTTAGAAGATATGTTAGATTTTATTTGGTCCATCTCTGTTCATAACAGATGAGGAATCCGAGATCCAGAGAGGTTCACCAACTTGTCCAAGGCTGCACAACTATCAGCAAACATTTAATGCAATAATAATTATGTGCAAAGCATTATAACGGGCACCAGAGGAGGATTTTAGGGTCAATGGGTCTATACTCTCAAGGAGTATACAACTTCATAGTGAGGATAAAACACAGAAAAATATAGCACAAGACAGGATGTGCACGAAGACTCTGACAGAGTAAAAAGTGACCTGGTGGAACAGACACAGAAGAATTAGAAAGTGTGGTTTCTCCCCTGGGGAGAGAGCTGGCCCTCCTTAGCAGGTGTGTCTGCAGCACTCTGTTTGTGTCACTCTTAACCATGTTTACCACACAGCGGCTCGTTTACAGATCTGCTGCAACTCTGGACTATAGTAAGTGAAGCAGTCCCACAAGTACCAGTACAACCTATCTGAAACTGTGGGTTTATGGATTCCCCAAGCTTAGCTCAACGGCAGACAGAACTCAGTCTTAAGAAAATGAGCAAATGAGTGAGTTAGTAAATGAATGAGTGCATGAAGAGAAGAAAGCAGGACTCGAGTGGTTACAGACCCGTGATCAGCCCAAGGAGTCTAAGCAATGGTTTAGGGTTTGGGGAAAGGTGAGCAGAGGGGAAAAGATGGAGATGCTTTCCTGCCCTTTCCCTAGTGTCCCTCTACTGTTTTCTTAGTCATAATACTGAGAAAAAATCACTTCTCCCTGGTTTTTTTTTTTAAGGTGTTTTTGTGGGTGTTGTGCGTTCATCTCTTATCGACAGGCAGAGTGGACAGTGAGAGAGAGAGACAGAGAGAAAGGTCTTCCTTTTGCCGTTGGTTCACCCTCCAATGGCCGCCGCTGCAGCCGGCGCACCGCGCTGATCCTGGCAGGAGCCAGGAGCCAGGTGCTTTTCCTGGTCTCCCATGGGGTGCAGGGCCCAAGCACCTGGGCCATCCTCCACTGCACTCCCTGGCCATAGCAGAGAGCTGGCCTGGAAGAGGGGCGACCGGGACAGAATCCGGCGCCCCAACCGGGACTAGAACCCGGTGTGCCGGCGCCGCAAGGTGGAGGATTAGCCTATTGAGCCACGGCGCCGGCCAATTTCTCTTTGTTTTTAAAAAAGCAAAATACACTAAATCTTGGGGCAAATCTGGTCAATTATGTAAACCAAAGTTCTTATTTTGCATCTCCCTCCCATTCATTCTTACTTTTGCAAGAAACAACTTGGCACCAAAGAACGGCCATTTCCTGGCTACGGTCAAATAAATGCGCACACAGTCAGCCGCACTGTGTCCCCGGAGGGCCACCCATCTAGTGGACAGTCGCTGGCAAAGTTGCCTAAAAACAAAAGAAAGAAAGGAACAAAAGCAAAAACATACACAGTACATTATCCTCCCAAGATGGAATTCTCCTTGAGCCAGTTCTGACACAACTGTTGAAGGGCAGGCGTAGCCCAGATGTGACTCTCATCTCAACCTTGACTACTGTTTGTCCTTTCTGGAGCCTTCCTTCCACCAGATTCTCAGACCATCAGTGCTCTCAGCATGACCTAGGGACTATTCATTACACCTCCATCTCCCACCTCCTGGTAAATTTAAACAATCTGAATAGCTGACATCAAGCCTTAGTGTAAATTATTTAGAAGGTAATTTCTCAAGGTATTATTTTCATTTTTGAAGAAAAGTACAATAGTAGAGCCCTTGATGAATCCTTAATGGCAGAATTCTAAGTACCACCACTCCTGGCTTGAAGAGATGTCGGATGCAGGGAGAAACTTCAAATCACAAAGGCAACCAATTATTCTACATGGCAAAAGGCTGTTGTTTAGTGTTTCTGTTTTGAAAAGCTCATGGTAGATTGGAGTTGCCTCTATTTTTTTAAACTAACCAGCTTTTCTTTATAGCACTTTAGAATTGAAACTCCAAAGAACAGAGTTAACTGGGGCTGGTGTTGTGGCACAGCAGGTTAAGCTGCTGCTTGTGACAACAGCATCCCATGTTGGGGTGGTGGCCACTCTCCTTCAGATTCAGCTTCCTGGAAGGCAGCACAAAATGGTTCAAGTACTCAGGCCTCTGCTACCCATGGAGAGACCAGGATGGAGTTCCTGGGTGCTGGCTTCAGCTTGGCTGGACCTGGCTGTTGCAGCCATTGGGAAGTGAACCAGCAGATGGAAGGTGGGTCTCTCTCTCTCTCTCTCTCTCTCTTGTTCTGCATTTCAAATAAACAAATAAATAAATATTAATAAAAATTGAATTAATTAATTACTCTGAGACACAGAGAGCAGGCTTCCATCCACTGGTGCACTCCCCAGCTGCCTGAACTAGTCAGGGCTGGGTCGCGGCTGAAGCTGGGAGCCTACCTAGACCACAATCCCAGTTTCCCACATGAGTGACAGGAACTTGAAACACCATTGTTGGTGGAGTAAAAGTAGAGCCAGGAATTGAACCTAGGCACTACGGAACAGTGGCATCCGAACCAGTAGCTTAACCACTAGACCAAATGCCCACTCCAGCTGAGTTTTATTAAAACTACATTAAAAGTCTAGAGTAAGAGGAGAGGTTTTTTTTTTTCAATTTGTGGACAATGGAATATCATGAGATAAAAAAATTTTGGTAAATACTTTATAATAAACATTACTGTCCAATTCTACCCCCTCATTTATTATTTGGATTAATTTGGACAAGAATAAAATAAAAGTAGATTAAAATGAAAAGTAGACCTAAATTAAGGTAGACTATTTTCATTAAAATTTCAAAAGATAGATTCTAAAGCTTTTGGATATGTCTTAAATAAGAATATTTATAACTTCTTGGTGCTCAATAGTATTTAAAAATCTTGAGAAAATAATTGCAATTTTTGCACCTTAGAAATTTGAAAAGAAAAATATTACTAAAAACATTAATGTGACACCACACTCTACAGAGTTACAAATATTCCCTTACCTTAACTGTTCTTCAGAGCAGCCGTCCCTATATCTTTTAGGATAAAATTTCTCTATGACTTGTTTTAGGGTTTGATTTGTTTTGCACTGGTTAGTAACATGTCCTGCTGGAGTTGAGAAAGGCCTTTCAAAATCTCCAATCTCTACCTAATTGGAAATCCAAAAAAGAGAAAATATTAACGCCAATGAGAGTTTTTAAAAAGCAAATCAGTTTTATTTTTTCTAAACATTCTTTATAATCATCTAATACCTAAACCTGCGTGATTATGGAGTTTAAACTCACACACAAGGACTAATATGCAATCTAAATTTCATTTAAATTGTAATTCTTTTTTTAAGATTTATTTATTTACATGAAAGGCAGAGTTTCAGTGAGGCAGAGACAGAGATAGAGAGAGAGAGAGGAGAGAGAGAGAGAGAGAAAGAAGAATTCCAATTCTTAAAAAGTCTAGAAATATTTCTGTTCCATTTCTACTCTAACCTTCCTAAGTCACTGATGCTATCTAGCAGCATTAATTGAAAGCGCTACTCTACTATTGTCTATAACATAAGACAATTTTTCATTTTAAGGTACCGTTTTAATTGCTAATAATAAAGTGAATTTGAAGTTTCAAATAAAAGGCAGAAAAATTGTACTTTTTAATGGTTTCTATGGAATGTAACAGATGCAATAACTATATTCTCATTACTTTTTTCCTAGATTTTCTCCATAAATGCTATTGTATTGACTCTTTCAGTTCCTTCAATCCTCTCTCTCTTTTGATACAAGAATGTTCAACTCTTTTTTTTAAGATTTATTTTATTTACTTGAGAGACAGAGTTACACAGAGAGAGGAAGAGACAGAGAGAGAGCTTCCATCAGCTGGTTCACTCCCCAAATGGCCACAACAGTCTGGCCCTGGCTGAAGCCAAGAGCCAGGAGCTTCTTCTGGGTCTCCCATGTGGGTGGCAGGGCCATCTTCCACTGCTTTTCCTAGGCCTTCATCAGGGAGCTGGATCAAAGTGGAGCAGCAGGAACGCAAACCGGCACTCATATGGGATGCCAGTGCTACAGGCGACAGCTTACCTCGCTACGCCACAACGCAGGCCCCAAGAATGTTCAACTGTTATTTCTACAAACAAACCACACAGAGACCATCCTCTACCAGAACATTCAATTACCTACCCACCAACTATCAACTCACCTGTCCATCTATTCATTCAAAATAATACTGAGTCCACATTATAAGTCAGGCATTGTGTGAGAAAGGAAATAGTTGAAGAATAGTCCCTACTTTCACGGAGTTTGCCGTCAAGTAAGGGAGACTGAGACACAGACAAATATTTGTGATAAACTGAGCTAAGTATCTTGTACAGGGTACCATAAAGGGTTTAAGGAAGAGGAAACTTTGGGGGACACTCAGGTGAATGTCTTTCTGAACATTCACGTCATTCCTATTGTACTCTCCAACAAACAGAAGGAAGATTCTACCAAGTCTGGAATGGTCTCACAGAGGGCCCCGGTATCTCCAGCCTCTGCCTCCAGGTAAGCTATTAGCCAGCTGGCAACTGTGATGCTGATCCGCAGAGTTCCTCTTTTCCAGTTCATAACCTGATCAGTTACTATGTAAGTCTTCAGCCAGCTTTGCGCTTACAGTCTATTCTTAGGACTGCTTGGGTTCTTTGATCCAGTTTCTTGGCTGCTTTTCTTGGCTTTGCTATTTAGTTCCCATGCTTCATTTTCCCTTGTATCTGTCAGTACCCATCCCCTACCTAGTCAACTACCCTTTTTAATTTCCTCGCACCAAATAAAGCCCATCCACTGTCTCTTCAAATATACTGAAATCCTTCCCCTCAGAGGTAGCACTCCCACAGCTGTCTGTGAAATCTGAGATCAAGACTTAACCTCCAGGGATGTGGCAGTTGGCCAAATAATGGTTAAAAAAGCTGTAGACTACTCATGGCAAACTTGTTTCATAGGGAAGTCTTTAATGGTATGTCCAAGTTCAGTATCTCCCTTCTCAGTGTCCGACAAACCACATGGCATAGAATGAACACAATCAATGTGCACAGACTAACTGAAAATCAACTCAGATAATTCCCAACATATTTTATGAAACATGCCACAATAGAAATTATAATTCTTCAAAGCTTAGGTTCCTTTAGTATATTTCATTTACCTTCACAAAAGCTATTCTAAGGAAAAGACATCAAAGAAGTTACTTAATTTCCCTTTTATTGATAGAAAAATTGAAAACACTATTTACTGGTTCACTCTCCAAATGCCTGCAGCAGCTAGGACTGGACTGCGGCCAACGCCAAGAGCCTAGAACCCAATCCAGGTCTCCCACATGGTTAGCAGGGACCCAAACACCTGAGCCATCACTTGACCCTTGAGTGGGGATTCAAACTCAGGTGCTCTGAGAAGGGATGCAGGCATCTTAACTGGTTTCTGAACCATCAGGCCAAACGTCTGCCCCAGCTTCCTGCACTCAGAGTTTCCTTAGGTGACATAAAATTATTGTAAAAGTGAACTAAACTACAATTCCTCCAAGAACACTAATGGGAAATGAACTATTTATAAGGCTGTCCTATAAATAAAGAACAAGTCTTTACCTTCCAAAAGGCCACAGTCAGCAGGGCAAAGGGGGAACAGGAATAGATAATTATGAACCATTGAGGTGAGGCCAGCAATAGATACATGTAGGTCATTACAGAAACCCTAAGAGGCAGGATTCAGGAAGCCTTCCTGGAATCAGCAAACTCATGAGTAAAATTAAAGGATAAAATGAAGCTAACAGTTGAAGGGATGGGGTTAGAGATGTTTCTTTTTTGTTGTTGTTGTTTGTTTGTTTGACAGGCAGAGTGGACAGTGAGAGAGAAAGACAGAGAGAAAGGTCTTCCTTTGCCGTTGGTTCACCCTCCAATGGCTGCTGTGACCGCTGTGCTGCGGCCAGCACATTGCACTGATCCGAAGCCAGGAGCCAGGTGCTTCTCCTGGTCTCCCATGGGGTGCAGGGCCCAAGCACTTGGGCCATCCTCCACTGTACTCCCTGGCCATAGCAGAGAGCTGGCCTGGAAGAGGGGCAACCGGGACAGAATCCGGCGCCCTGACTGGGACTAGAACCCGGTGTGCCAGCGCCGCAAGGTGGAGGATTAGCCTATTGAGCTGCGGCGCCAGCCGAGATGTTTCAAGCAATGGAGATATACTAGCGCACAGTTGTGGCACAGCGGGTTAAGCCACCCCAGCTTCCTGCTAATGTTCTTGGGAAAGCAGTGGAAGACGGCTCAAGTACTTCGGCCCTGCCACCCACGAGGAGCCCCAGATGAAGTTCTGGGCTGCTGCCTCCAGCCTGGACTAGCCCTGGCCATTGTGGCCATCTGGAGAGGGAACCAGTGAACAGAAATTCGCCACCCCTCTCTTCACCTCTGTCATTCTGCCTTCCAAATAAATAAATAAATAAATACTTTTTTGTTTGTTTGTTTTAAAGAATAGAAATAAACTAGTAGAGTATAAGAGGCAAGACAAAGTGAACCATACGCGAGTCAAGGAATTGTGCACACAGCCATACTTGAGACTTTATTGAAGCACAACTTCAGGGTAGGGAGTGTTGAGGCAGGAAAAGCAGGTGGAGTTCAATTCATAAAGTGCTCTGACATAGCCTCATTCACAATTTTGCTACATGTCACTTACTGGTACTGTAACAAATCTCCATGCAAAAATGATACTTCTTTTTAAAAAAATTTTACTTATTTATCTATTAGAGAGAGAGAGAGAGAGAGAGAGAGAGAGTGCTCCCCCATCATCTAGTTCACTCTCTAAATTGCCACAAGGAAGCCAGGAGCTGGGAACTCAATCAGGTTTCCCACATGGGTGGCAGCTTGAGCCAGTTGCTTGAACCATCACAGCAGCCTCCCACAGTCTGCATTAGCAAGAGCTGAAATCAAGAGCCAGGACTCCAATCCAGGCACTCAGATAAAGTCTTTTTTTTTTTTTAAAGATTTATTTATTTATGTAAAAGGCAGAGCTACAGAGAGGCAAAGGCAAAGAGAGAGAAAGAGAGAGAAAGAGAGAGAGAGAGAGAGAGAGAGAGAGAAAGAGAATTAGTCTTTCATCTTTCCATCTGCTGGTTTACTCCTGAGGTGGCTGCAACAACTGGAGCTGCGACGATCCAAAGCCAGGATCCAGGAGCTTCATCTGGGTCTCCCTCGTGGGTGCAGAGACCCAAGTACTTGGGCCATCTTCTACTGCTTTCCCAGGCCATTGCAGAGAGCTGGATCAGAAATGGAGCAGCCAGGACTGGAACCGGCGCCCATATGGGACGCCAGCACTACAGGTGGTGGCTTTACCCACTGTGCCACAGCGCTGGCCCCTCAGATAAAGTCATAAGCAGTGTCTTAACTGCTAGGTCAAATGCCAGCAGTTCAAGCGCACTTCTTGTCTCGCCCTTGAGATGTTGCTCTTGCCCCCATTCTGGGAGAAAGCACAAGCAGTGATATAAAGAGAGCATGTGTAGGTGTTCCAACTGAGAGTCCCAGCAGAATTTCCAACTAACAGTCAACATCACCCAGCAGACATGTGAGAGACAGCCTTCAAATGATTCCAGCCCTCAAGCTATGCCAGCTGATGCCATGGGAGGCAGAGACGAGCTGTCCTTTCACATTCAGGCCTCAGTCACTGTTTTAAGAGACTGAGATGTGGGGTCATTTGTTATGCAGTAGCAAATAACTAGAAAAACTGCACTAGTGTCTTTGTGAAGAATAAATTTGTGGGAGATCAGACCAGAGAAGGGCATGCTGGTTAGAAGCCAACTAAAGGAGACCTGGAAGGATGTGACATTGGTCTGACCATGGCAATGATAGTCAGTTTGGAGGGCAGTGAACAGAGTAAAGAATATGGAGTTAACAACTGGTAGGACGTGGTGACTGGTGGGAAAGGGTGAAAGAGAGAAGTATACTTCTATTTTGATTAAGTCATTATTTACTGTATATGTATATGTTTATAGAAGGCTGAACTTAACCCTAGTGGATACGATAGATAAATCAAAGAAAGTACTCTAATCTTCCCAAAGATCGAGCCCTGTTAGATTACTGAGCACTTTCAGCACGCATCCTCAGGCCACAGCTGGGATTCCTTTACCAGCTGTAACACCTAGTGGTACATGTTCAGCGAGGTTCTCTTCCGGGACTTCTATCTCATCCCGCCCCACTGCAATGGTCAGCAACTCACAGCCACACTGTAACCACAGTATCTCAGTTTTAAGGTGCTGGTCATAGCAAAGTGAATTTAAAGAATTACTGGCAGTATATTGTTTTTGCTACATTTAATTCAGTGTGGAATTAGCATCTTATCAATTCATTATACTCTTCTACAGAACATGGAAGTTACCTGAGCTAAAAGAGCTGCCATTTCCAACGCAAGATCCTTGTTCAGAGGAAAAAGTCCATTTACTATTTGATCATTTGTCTGATACATTAACAGCAGCTTTTCTCTGTCAGTCTCTCCACGAGCTTGCATTGAGAAATATAGTCTGTAAAAAATGAAATTTTTTGTTATATGGGAAATTTTTTTTTTTTTTTGATAGGCAGAGTGGACAGTGAGAGAGAGAGACAGAGAGAGAAAGGTCTTCCTTTGCCGTTGGTTCACCCTCCAATGGCCGCCGCTGCAGCAGGCGCACCGTGCTGATCCGATGGCAGGAGCCAGGATCCAGGTGCTTTTCCTGGTCTCCCATGGGGTGCAGGGCCCAAGCACCTGGGCCATCCTCCACTGCACTCCCTGGCCATAGCAGAGAGCTGGCCTGGAAGAGGGGCAACCGGGACAGAATCCGGCGCCCCGACCGGGACTAGAACCCGGTGTGCTGGCGCCGCAAGGTGGAGGATTAGCCTATTGAGCCACGGCGCCGGCTGTTATATGGGAAATTTTTATGAAGGAAGAAAGTAAAGATAAACCCAGAGAACTGTTCTCTGTCATCTGCTCAGCAAAATGAGGAAGAACTGGTTTTGAGTTGAGGCTGAAGATCTCTTTTAGTTATTTTATGGTTTTTAAATTATTTTATCATTATTTTTAAAGATTTATTCATTTATTTGAATTTGAAAGACAGAGTTGAGCCGGCGCCGTGGCTCAATAGGCTAATCCTCCACCATGCGGCGCCGGCACACCGGGTTCTAGTCCCGGTCAGGGCGCCGGATTCTGTCCCGGTTGCCCCTCTTCCAGGCCAGCTCTCTGCTATGGACAGGGAGTGCAGTGGAGGATGGCCCAGGTGCTTGGGCCCTGCACCCCATGGGAGACCAGGAAAAGCACCTGGATCCTGGCTCCTGCCATCGGATCAGCACGGTGCGCCTGCTGCAGCGGCGGCCATTGGAGGGTGAACCAACGGCAAAGGAAGACCTTTCTCTCTGTCTCTCTCTCTCACTGTCCACTCTGCCTGTCAAAATACAGGTCAAAAAAAAATAAAAAAACGAAAGACAGAGTTACAGAAAGAGCAGGAGAGACAGAGACAGAGAGATCTACCATCCACTGGTTGGTTCACTCCCCAAATGAGGCATTGGCCAGGGCTGGGCCAGGCTGAAGTCAGGAGTCAGGAACTTCTTCTGGGGCTACCACATGGATGCAGGGGCCCAAGCACTTGGGCTGTCTTCCACTGCTTTCCCTGGCACATTAGCAGGGAGCTAGATCAGAAGTGGAGAGCCAGGCCATGAACTGATGCCCAGATAGGATTCCAGTGTAGCAAATGGCATCTTAACCCGCTTAGGCCACAACATCAGCCCCCTCCAAATTTACTTTTTATATCCCTCTTGACAGGAAATACCTCCATTCCTGGCTTGGGCCTCAGCCCAGCCCTGACTGTGGGAGGCATTGGGGAATGAACTAGTGGATGGGAGCTCTCTTTCTGTCTCTCAAATAAATACATACATAAATATTTTTAAAAAGAATTATCTGGGGGCTAGCACTATGATGTAGCAGGTAAAGCTGTCACCCCAGTGCCGGCATCCCATATGGGCACCAGTTTGAGTCCTGGCTGCTCCACTTTCAATCCAGCTCTCTGCTATGACCTGGGAAAGCAGTAGAAGATGGCCCAAGTGCTTGGGCCCCTGCACCCATATGGGAGACCCAGAAGAAGCTCCTTGCTCTTGGCTTCGGATCAACAACCATTTGAAAGATTCAAGGCTTTAGCCTCCTGTTCTTGCAGTCACTAATGGCCCCAGGGGAAGACTGCCAACAATGGAAACAGTTATTCCAGGAGTACTCTACTAGATGTCCATGCATGGATGTCTATACAATCTTGCTGATCTTTAGAAATTTGTAATTTAAAATGTGTTGTTTATTTATTTCACAGGCAGAGAGAGGAGGAGGGAGAAAGAAGATAGACAGAGCTCTCATCTGCTGGTTCACTCCCCAAATGCTTTCAATTGCTGGGACTGGGCCAGGTGGGTGGCAGTGAGCCAACTTCTTGAGCCATCACCTGCTGCCTCTCAGGGTGTGCATTAGCAGGAAGCTGGAATCAGGAGTGGAGGTGGGATTTGAACCCAGGCACTCTGATTTGGGATTTTGACATCTCAACCCGGCATCTTTACTATGTCACATGTCTGTCTTGGAAATGTATGATTTTTAAAATCCTAGCAACCAAAGGTTCATGGTCACCTTCTTATTACTTAGAACTCTGGCAAATCATCACAACTCATGAACCCTTGAACAAAGAAACTCCAATTTTTCACAACCACCATTGATTCAGAACAAAGGATTTAGTAGGTGACCCTTTAATTGCTGACTATATGAGAGGAAGAAGAATGTACCATAATTATTTACCCATTCCCTTTTATTTTTTTAAAAGATTATTTATTTGAAAGGCAGAGTTAGAGAGAGAGAGAGAGAGAGAGAGAGACAGAATTGTCCATCCACTTGTTCCCTCCTCAAATGGCTGCAACAGCCAAGGCTAGGCCAGGGCAAAGCCAGGAGCTGGGAGCCAGGAGCCAGAAGCCAGGGATCCCACCTGAGTACAGGGGCCCAGGGACTTGGACTTTCTTCTGCTGCTTTCCCAGGCACATTAGCCAGGAGCTGGATCTGAAGTGGAGCAGCCAGGACTTGAACTGGCACCCACAAGGAATGTCAGCATTGCAGGCAGCAGCTTTATCCACTATGCCACAATGCCGACCCTCCTCCATTCTCTTTAAATAAACATGTAAATTTCCTCCCACCTTTTCACTATTATTAAAAATGTGGTAAAGAAGATATTAAAACATATTGAGACAGTCTGCCCACTTTTGTGGGTTTTTCTGTGAATAGATGATCAGGAAAATAACTGAACTGGATCAAAGTCTGTAACATTCTGTAGGTACTAGAGCAGTTTCACTTCTTTATTTTTTATTTTTTTTATTTTTTTATTTTTTTGACAGGCAGAGTGGACAGTGAGAGAGAGAGACAGAGAGAAAGGTCTTCTTTTGTTGTTGGTTCACCCTCCAATGGCCGCCGTGGCTGGCGCGCTGCAGCCGGCGCACTGCACTGATCCGATGGCAGGAGCCAGGAGCCAGGTGCTTCCCTGGTCTCCCATGGGGTGCAGGGCCCAAGCACCTGGGCCATCCTCCACTGCACTCCCTGGCCACAGCAGAGGGCTGGCCTGGAAGAGGGGCAACCAAGACAGAATCCGGCGCCCCGACCGGGACTAGAACCCGGTGTGCCGGCGCCGCAAGGCGGAGGATTAGCCTAGTGAGCCGCGGCGCCGGCCCAGTTTCACTTCTTACATTCCAATTTTAAGTCCATGAACATCTTACAAAAGTAGGCCTCTGAAATTCCACTAGGTTCTGATGCTGACATTTTATTTATTTATTTATTTTTAAAATTTATTTACTTATTATTTGAGCGGTAAAGTTATGGACAGAGAGAGAGAGAGACAGAGAGAAATGTCCTCCATCCAATGGTTCATTTCCCATATGGCCTCAATGGCCAGAGCTGGGCTGATCTGAAGCCAGGAGCCAGGAGCTTCTTCCAGGTTTCCCACACAGGTACAGGGGTCCAAGCATTTGGACCATCCTCTACTGCTTTTGCAGGCCATGGCAGAGAGCTGGACCTGAAGAGGAGCAGCCTGGATATGGTGCCCATATGGAAACTTAGCCCACTATGCTGTAGCGCCATCCCCTGATTCTCACATTTTATAGATTTCTTAATTTATAAGGTATAAAACTCAAATCAAATCCACAAAATACCATCATTTTGGTATAGTGACTGTGAACTGGTCAGTTACCAGTGTTTACTAAGTACCGTCACCTACCAACAAATGAACAAAAAAAAGTAAGTTTAAAAAGAAGGAAAGAAAATCTGGTTTCTGACCATAAGCCAATGTGCATTGACATTTTATCTGCCAAGCACAGGAATGGTCTCCAGTTCTCCTGGCACCTTCTCACTTCCTAAAAAGCTGTGCGGCCTCCCTCTGCAGGCCTCTGAACACCAGGCCCGCCTTGACCTTGGGGAAGCATCAATTCCTCATAGAAGCCTCTGAAGTCTGCAGGGTAGGTGAGCTCACACCCTTCCTCTGGCGAAGTTAATGTGTAAGCGCATGTTCATTAGAGCAAGCACATGATTAACAACTGCCTTCCTCACGAACTGTAAATCTGAAACGTCATGCATTGGCTCTACCTGTATGTTTATTGCCATTTTTCCCAGAACATCTAGCAAAGAGGCTGCCTAAAACTGAGAGAAAACAAAAAAGAAAGAGGGGCCGATGTTGTGACGTAGCAGGTAAGGCGGCCTGATATGCGACCATCCCTTATGGGCACTGGGACGTGTACCTGCTGCTCTGCTTCTGATGCAGCTCCCTGCTAATGGCCTGGGAAAGCAACAGAAGGTGGCTCAAGTGCTTGGGTCCCTGACACATGGGAGACCTGAAAGAAGTTCCAGCCTCCTGGCTTTTGGCCTGGCCCAGTCCTGGTCATTGTGGCCATCTGGGGAGTGGACCAGCAGATGGAAGATCTCTCTCTCTCCACCTCTTCCTCTCTCATTGTTAACTCTTTCAAATAAATAAATAAAACTTAAAAAAAAAAAGGAAAAGAGAATGTGAAGGAATAAGAATGAATGCATACGAATACATCATGTCTAAAAGACTTGGGCAAACGGTTATTTCTTCTTACTACAGATCTACAGTACAGTATTTGCATATTCAGTCCTTATAAAAATGTAATAATAGTGTTAAATGGACTTTTGAAAGTGAAAAATTCATCCTTGTATCAACCAACTTAAGAGAGCAGCTATTTTTTCTAATCTTTGTGCAGATACATTTTTTTTTTTTTTTTTTTTTTTTTTTTGACAGGCAGAGTGGACAGTGAGAGAGAGAGACAGAGAGAGAAAGGTCTTCCTTTTGCCGTTGGTTCACCCTCCAATGGCCGCCGCTGCAGCCGGCGCACCGCGCTGATCCTGGCAGGAGCCAGGAGCCAGGTGCTTTTCCTGGTCTCCCATGGGGTGCAGGGCCCAAGCACCTGGGCCATCCTCCACTGCACTCCCTGGCCATAGCAGAGAGCTGGCCTGGAAGAGGGGCAACCGGGACAGAATCCGGCGCCCCAACCGGGACTAGAACCCGGTGTGCCGGCGCCGCAAGGTGGAGGATTAGCCTATTGAGCCACGGCGCCGGCTCTGTGCAGATACATTTTTATAAAATATAATTTTTCATGACATTCAGAGACTAGAGTTGGGAACAAAATTTTATGTGATAGTTTCTCCCTAGAGAAAGAGTTATCATTTATATAAATACGAAGTATAAGTGAGTATTATAATTTCCAAGGTTATTCAGTAGGAAACCAAATTGTAGTTACATGATTTGAACCTGGCTATGGCCTCCCACTCTGCCACTGGATCTTACACACCTGTTTTTGTAAGTCAGCCGCACAGTTCTTGTACCTTCACATTTCCCAGGGTGCTGTTCTTTGGAAGCTTGTTCCCATTTAGAGATAATGTCACAAATCTAGAAGGGAAATGGAAAACTGAGATTTATGGGACATTTCAGATCAAGATTTTCTGAAAAGTGTATTTGTAGACTGGACGTTTTCAATTACTGTGATCAGGTCAAATCTGCTCAAGCTCTTTGCTTCCAGCCTCTGTGCAATTCTGAGTTTAGGATTTAATTATGCATTGCTCTTTGGCCAACTTACCCTTTTGAATACACATTAACTTTGGACTGTGGCCTTGAATTTTTTAGTCAAAAAGGAATCTTAATGAAGGACTGGATGAAACTGGAAACTAGAAGATTCCAAGGATTTTTTCATGATTTGATCACTGAAGAACTAACTTTTCCACCTTCTAAGTTTACAAAGATTGGAATAACAAGTTATACCAAAGAAATCTGAAATACAAAGAAAGGGCCTAGGGCCAGAAATAGTTGTCTGATTTTGGGCAATCTCCTCATTTGCAAGAAAAGTCGACTGTTGTCTGAGGTGCCTAGTGTTTCTATAATTCTGTATTTCTAAACTTTAAAAAAACCTTGTTCCACAGGTCTTTTTACTCATCCTTCAAATTCCAGCTCAGGTCTTCCCAAACTTACAGTGTGGAACTTAATCTCTCCCTCTGTACAAAGTTCACAACACTATTAAAATATTTATCACCCTAGTTTAAGATTATCATTGTGTAAATCTGCTCTTTCCTAGGCAAATTATAAGTTCTCCATGGACAGAAACCTATTTTTCACCCTTCTTGTATTCCCCATGGGGTTCAGCCCAGACCCTGGGACACAACAGTTGAATAAATGAAAGAAATGGAAAATCATTTTATCAGTGGTTTTACACTTTTACTCTTATTACTCTAGCATTCAGAGGTTATCAATCTTTTTCCTCTCTTTCACATGGAGATGTGTGTGTGTAGACTATGCACTGAGTATTTTCTTGTTGGGGCCAGTGCTGTGATGAAGTAGGTTAAGCCTCTGACTGTGGTGCTGGCATCCCATATGGGCACAGGTTTGAGTCCCGGTTGTTCCACTTCTAATCCAGAACCCTACTAATGGCCTGGGAAAGCAGCAGAAGATGGCCCCAGTGCTTGGGCCCCTGTACCTACATGGGAGATCCAGATGAAGCTCCTGGCTTCAGCCTGGCCCAGCTCTAGCCATTGTGGCCTTCTGGGGAGTGAACCAACAGATAGAAGACCTCTCTCTCTCCTTTTCTCTGTAACTCTGCCTCTCAAATAAACAAACAAATCTTAAAACAAAACAAAACAAACAAACAAAAACTCTGAATTTTACTGTTTGGCCAAAGTCTGAAAATTTTTTAAACAATTTTAAAGGTTAGGTTCAAAATAACATTCTGTTTTGTTCTGTTTTGAAAAATTCCTAAACTAAGCTTCTTGCAAAGAGTAAAGAGCAGGTTTTTTGCTGGTGGCTGGCTTTGGTTCCTTCTAGGTCTTGCTTGTACCTTGATGTTTCCTTGAAGACAGTGCTCTAAATCTCGGCCAGAAGGGTCATCTGTGAACAAAGCAAACCCAGACTGGGCTGGCTTCCTCATTCCTGTGTCCTGGTTCAATGTATTCAGAAATTCTTCCACTGTGGTAGATGCATCAAACCCAACTACCTAGACAGAAATAACAAAGCAGTTCTCTTAATATAAAGTGTACAAATTTCAAACTGAGTTTGCAGTAAGGAGACAGGGCACATTTGAAGCATAATTAATGATAACATTTATTTTTCTAGGTGCTTTAGCTTTTTTCCCTAAAGCTTCACTGGAGAACATTGACAAGGTTACTTACAGCTTGCTGTAAAAATTCAAAAATCTCAGCTTCAGCCAACAGACAAGAATTTAAAATAGACCATTTGACAGCTACAGACAACTTGCAGAAACATTATCTTACCCATTAGAAACAAGCCAAGAACTATCATTCAGTATGCAATGTTTAAGCAAATGAAAGGAAACAAACAGGAAATGCATTTAAAATAAAGGAATATGTATTTAACGCCTGTGTCCTTACTTAGCTGAATTCTGTGATAAAAGGCTGCTGGCTCCAAAGACTAATTACTAGCTTTGGAACAGTTAAGAAGTAAGCACCTGGATCTGAGAGTTGGGAGGGTCCAGGAAAGTTTTTCCAAATAATTTCTGCACTTTGGAGATTTAAAAAGGTAGTAAGGGGTCGGAGTTTGGCATAGCAGTTAGGATGTGGCTAGGGACGCCCGCATCCCACAAAGGAGCCTGGGTTCCGGCTCTGGCTGTTCTTCCAATTCTAGCTTCCTGCTAATGTACACCATGGGAGGTAGCAAGTGATTGCTCAAGTACTTGGGTGCCTGGCACCTACAAAGAAGACATGGATGGTTTCTGAGCTGCTGGCTAAAGCCTGGCCAAACCTTGCTTGTTACAGGCATTTCAGAAGTGAACTCGTGGACAGAAGATCTCTCTCTGCCTTCCAAATAAAACAAAGATAAATAAAAATTTATAAATGATCATAAAATTGTACACACAGATGTTAGTAACTATTTTACTCACTTAGTAGTTGCATTGATGGTGAAAACCTTGACCAAAGTGTTTTTTGTTTATTCCATCAGAATCATAATGGCAGTGAAATCTATCCCTTAATTGGTTCAATATGAATTTGTTTTTAGTGTGAATTTTTTTTTTTTTTTTTTTTTTTTTTTTTTTAGCAAAACTGCTTCAAACTCAGCTGTTCTAATAGATGATCTGATAGATCTGGTGCAGGTTTATCACTGCTAGCTGCTGCCAAAGGGAGGCGGACAGTCTCACCGGCCTGTTCCATGGAGCCTACACGTACGGTTCTTGGCTGAGCAAGTTTTTATTTCAGTACAAATGGTAGCCTACCTGATATATCCCATTCATGAAGTGCACTGGTATACTGAAGGGCAAAGAATGATGATAAGGGTTTCGAAGAAGGGTTGAAAGAATTTCCATTCTTGAGGGTCGTGCTTCCCGATCACCATTTTGCTGGGTTCTTTCCACACATCGCTGGCAGTAAATGGCATATTTTCCAAATTCAGTCCTGTAATACAAAACTTAAAATAAAACTTGAAGAATAAATTTAATTGAGACAATCTAAAATATGCAACCATTAATAAAGGGCCCCTTGAGGTACACTGTTACAATGAATGATGCTAATGTTGGCAGTAATTTTCCTTTCTGAATGATTCCAAACTGCTGTAACTTTTCTCAAATTTAATGTCTGCTTTAGCAACTGAGTGACTGAAACATCCCTATGAAGTGTTCTTCATCTTTATTGTATTAGAGTCGCATTACCAGTCATTATACAGTCAATACATAGTGATGCCATTAAGAAACAGAAAATACTTGTATGGAGACTGGTAAAGGATGTCTTTAAAACAGGATGCAGGCCGGCGCCGTGGCTCACTAGGCTAATCCTCCGCCTAGCGGCGCCGGCACACCGGGTTCTAGTCCCGGTCGGGGCACCGGATTCTGTCCCAGTTGCCCCTCTTTCAGGCCAGCTCTCTGCTGTGGCCAGGGAGTGCAGTGGAGGATGGCCCAAGTACTTGGGCCCTGCACCCCATGGGAGACCAGGAGAAGCACCTGGCCCCTGCCATCGGATCAGTGTGGTGCGCCAGCCACAGCATGCTGGCCGCAGCGGCCATTGGAGGGTGAACCAACGGCAAAGGAAGACCTTTCTCTCTCTCTCTCTCTCACTGTCCACTCTGCCTGTCAAAAATAAATAAATAAATAAATAAAAGCACAGGATGCAACAGAGTTCTCTTTTAAAGAACATGCAGGTTAATTCCCGACTGCCTAACAAGCTGAGAAAATGTTTTAAAACAAAAATGAAAATGTATTTTCCTTCTTTAACCCATATACACACACTTGTTAAAAAATATTGAATGTTAAAACCACCAGATAAAGAAATGTAAAAGTTGGATAAAGGTCTTATTTGACCTCATTTATTCTATATAATTTTTCTTCTGTTTATAAAGTCAAATTGATAATATGCTAAATATATTTGTATTCAAGTGCCTTCAAGGCAGACCTAAAGGGTCACCCTCAGTGACAGCAACTGAAAGCACATGACCTTGATCACAGTGCCCCAAAATGTAGAATGAGCTGCAGGCTGTTTTCCTATTGCTTCCAAGTTGTTTTTGTTTTACTGTGTGTGTGTGTGTGTGTGTTTGAGTCACAGGATCTATTTAAGCAGCCCAACACTAGCCTCGGGTAGGACAAAATGATTCTGGATAAGCCTTGGCTGAATGCTCCTGAGTCCCATTGCAAGAAAGCCATTCAGAAAGGTGGATTTTTCAAGGGAATACAAATGCTGAATGTAATTCAAATACATCCAATTATAGAAGAAGGGAAGACCATTTGGGAAAGTTTTCCACATCAAAGAATTCAAGGGGAGGAAAATAGTAAACGGGAAAACTAAGGAAACAAAATAGTTGCTTTGACTGAATGAACACCAACTAATGTTAAGTCATTCATACCGGAAACACACACAGACTTTTCACTTAAAAATATTCTTTGTCAGTTTTTCTAGCTTTTATTATAATCGTCCAAAAGATTAACAACACAAGGGAAACCTATTCCAAGCTCTACCTAAAATGATAACCAAAGGCTTCCTGTATCCATATTTGTGTCACACATTCTTCTGAAAGTGTACCTGGCAGGATATTAAATACTTATGATTTATTGTAGATTTTCAGAGGCCACAGAAACGGTTCAGCGGGCTAGTTTTCTGCACACCTGGAATCTGCATTCCTCTTTAGATGGAGCCTGAGGAGCCACAGGAAAGGATGATGGGGGAGGAAGAGCCCAACACAGAGCGCCAAGAGCTGCCAGCCCTGGGCAAAGAGAGGGACCACAAGTTAGATCTCCCATGATGGTCAGAGGTGTGGCTGGAGGAGGCTGGGAGAGCACCGGTGGATGATGGTCTCCCTTCACCAAAAATGTCTTGCTCCTTCCATATATATATGTGTGTGTGTGTGTGTATGTATATAAATATATATACACATACACACATATATATATATGGAAGGAGCAAGACATTTATATAAATATATATTTGTTGAGAATACTCATCACATATTAAAAACATAAACAACTATTAGATCCGATCCATGGATCCATCTAGTAGTGGATATAGTTGTCTGCAACTGAGACACAAAAGCTAAGTGGACATGTAGATCTCTTGACATCACACTCAAAGACTAAGACAGCATTCCTTTTTTTGTTCATTTACATACTTATTCATGGAAATTTAAAAGCTTTGAGAAAGGCAGGTTGGTTGCAAAATAATAGAAAACCATATACCCTAACCAAGACTCACCTACCCACACATGCGTACATATAGACAGATAGACACACATGAAGGGCAAGTATAAAAAATACTAACAGAAGTTATATTTAAGTAACAGGATTACATGTGATTTTTATTTTTTCATTGCTCGGTTCTATGTTCTCTTTTCTATATTTTTTTCAGTAAGTGAGTACAACTATATAGAAATGGAGAGGTGAATGGGCACAGTCCCTGACCTTGAGGAGCCTCCAGTATAGTAGAAGACAGTTATGCATTTAAACAGTAAATTAGGGGGCTGGCTCTGTGGCATAGCAGGTTGAAGTCCTGGCCTGAAGCACCAGCATCCCATATGGATGCCGGTTCAAGTCTCAGCTGCTCCTCTTCCGATCCAGCTCTCTGCCATGACCTGGGAAAGCAGTGGAAGATGGCCCAAATCCTTGAGCCCTTGTACCCAGGTGGGAGACTCGGAAGAAGCTCCTGGCTCCTGGCTTTGGATCGGTGCAGCTCTGGCCGTTGCAGCCATCTGGGGATTGAACCAGTGGATGGAAGACCTCTCTCTCTGTCTCTACCTCTCTCTGTAACTCTTTCAAATAAATAAAATAAATCTTTAAAAAACAAATAAACAGTAAATTAGAATACAGTATAGTGATATCATGTGTTAATTTTTCAAAAGTATAACCAACGGAGGGAATGCTGGAGAAGTCAGGAAAGGAGCCACACAGAAGATGTTGCTTGGACTGGATGGTAAATTCTACAGGTGGGAAGGAAGAAGAGCCATCCAGGTAACAGAAATACTGACAGGTACAAGGTAGACAAATTGCAAAGGCAGGATGTGACTGAACAGGGAGAGGTTATTCATTCACTGTGCGCTGGAGGCAGGAAGTAGAGAAAGGGGAGCCCAGTAGAGTCAGAGTAGGAAGGGCTCTTGACACAAAGCAAGGGTTTCAGAACCCCTCTTATGCACAGGCCCCCATCAGGCCCTGGGAAGGAAGGGCCCTATTGACTGTATTCATATTATAAACATGGCAAAAGTGTGCAAAAGCAATATAACTTGAACTTTCTTTCTTAAAAGAGTTTCCAAGTCCCTCAAAAGTTGGATTCAATCCCAATTCCTGTGTGCTAGGGTAAGAGATTTATGTTTTATTCGGAGGTTAACAGGGATCAATTTGCAAAGATGAAAACAGGCATTCATAAGAGAGGGAACACAAATGACTACAGAACACCTGAAAAATATACTCAGTTTTATAAATAATTGAAGAAATGTATCCCAAATCAATAACAAACTACCACCTTTCCCCTAGAGAGAATTTAGAACTGAATATTGTTGAAGAAATACAGAAAAATTCTAGAAGTGTATTCAAAGGGATTTACTGTACGTGAGATTTTGTATCTGTACATGAGATTTTGATTGAAAGATATCTATTATAGAGGTAATATTATAGGAAAGATAACTGTAAGAAATAAATGTATAATAATTGATATTCATAAGATCATTAATGCTTAGAAGAATGTTTAAGGATATAGGGGAAATGAATATTTATATAATTTATAAAGAGTGATATGCACTGCAGTGATATAAAAAACTGAGAGTGTGCATACAGCTATACACACATCTTCATTTATATATAATCGTATAAGCAAAAGGATATAGATCAAAATATTAATAGCTGTTTTTCCTTTCATACTTTTGTATTTTCTAAATGTCTGTTTTGAATGTATGAATGTTATATCATCCTTATAATCAGGAAAACAACATCATTTAAAAGTGCACGGCTATGCATCAATATATACCTGCAGTGGTCCTGGCTGATTCTGCGGCTGTCTTCGTCTTGTCTGTTTGATAAGCTGACAGCAAATTTCATTCTGCAACTCAGGATGTGTCAGGCAGATTTGTAAAGCACTCTGGGCTAGAGATATGTGGTAATCAATGGCAGGAGAGTCAACCGCTGCATTGATAAAAAGCTGGCAGGTCTGAATTAAACACACATAAAGACATACTCAAGGTAAGAAACCATTGCATTTATCCTGCATGAATTCTACTGACTCTCGCTTAGTAAGTTTCTGTTTACAATGGAAAAAGATATAATATTAATCAAAAGAAATCCGGAGTGGCTACAATAATAGTCAACTAAGTATGTTTCAAAGCAAGAAATTCTTCCAGAGATAAATACGCTCATTTTATAATGAAAATGGGACTAGGTCACGTTCAGACATATCAATTCTCAACATTTAAGTAGTTCATAATAGAGCTTCAAAATGCACATTAGTTACATCCAATTTAAAAAGTCATCGTACTTTTCATCTCTAAAAGTTCAGTGTGGGTCTTCTCGGTACTTCCCATTACTCTCCTTACAATGCTCATGCTTCTGGAACGTATGAAGTGTGGTAGCCAGTCTCCAGGATGGCTCCCTGGGATCTCCACCTCCTGATAACACATATGCTTTCTCTAGAAATACGATGTTTGCTTTTAGCTTAGATACACACATTTTACCATTTTAAGGAAGTATCTGTTCACTGCTATTTCATGAACATTGAATTTATCAAATGCTTTTTCAATATCAACAGATGATTATCTATTAATAAACAATATTAATAAGTCTCCTAATATTTAATCATCCTTTATTTTCTAAAATAAATTCATCCTTGTCATGATTTAGTACCCTTTTAATATGATGCTGGATTATGATTGCTAATATTTTGTTTTTGCATATGTACTCTGTTTTATATAATATTTGTTGGGATTTGATATCAAAGTAATATTTACTTCACAAAGAAAATATGATGGTAGGAAGACTGAGATTTTCATCAACATAATCCAACACCAAAGAGAGGCGGGGATGGGAAAATAAAACAAAATAAGTGATGTGCTAATGGCTGTGGACATGAGTAATGACTATCTGAGACCTCATTAATACAAGTGTTTGCTCCACCCTTACTCATGTACATATTTACAATTTCCCAAAATCAAACAAAATATGGACAATTTACTTCTATTTTGATGCATTACAACAACTTACACAACACTGAAACTATCTACACATAAAATTTGGTCAGTTCCTCTCAAGATTTTTCTTTTCTTATGGAATCAATTTTGGTAATTTGTTTTCTTATAAAATTGATCAACTGAAGGGCAGCCATTTGGCACCTGGGACACCTGCATCCCATAATGGAGAGCCTGATTCAAGATGCAGCTCCACTTTCAATTCAGCTCCCTGCTGATGCACACCCAGGAAGACAGCAGATGATGGCTCAAGTACTTGAGTCTCTGCAACCCCATGGGAGACCCAGATGAAGTTCCTGGCTCCTGGTTTCAGCCTGGCCCAGTCCCAGCTATTGATGACATTTGGAGAATGAACCAGTGGATGGAAGATATCTCCCTCTCTGTTTTTCAAATAAAATGATAAAAAATAAATATTTAAAGTTGATTAACTCATCCAGATTTTTGTCTTTGGGTACTGTGTATTCCACATGATTTTTTAATAGAAAATTTTAAATATGTACAAAAGTAGAGACTAGGGGCTAGTGTCACGGCGTAGCAGGTAAAGCAGCCGCCTGTGACACTGGCATCCCATATCAGTGCTGGTTTGAGTTTCAGCTGCTCCACTTCCAATCCTGGAAAATGGAAGTGGAAGTCCTTGGGCTCCTGCCACCCACATGGGAGAAGTGGAAGAAGCTCCTGGCTCCTGGCTTTAGACTAGCCTAGCTCTGGCTGTTGTGGCCATTTGGGGAGTGAACCAGAGGATGGAAGATCTCTTTCTGTCTCTCCCTCTCTCTCTCTGTAACTCTGACCTTCAAACAAACAAATAAATCTTAAAAAAAAAAAAGTAGAGAGTCTAGTATAATGATCATGTATATACAGATGCATTTCCCAATCAATAATTATTAGCATTTTGTCAAATTTGTTTCTTTCACTACCACCCACTTGCCCTACTTTTGTCTCTTGGAGTATTTTAATGTATATCAAGTACTTTATCAATAAACACTTCAGCATGGATAACTAATTGATAAAACGTTTTTTATATAAACATCATGTCATTATTTCATCTCCCTAAATGAATAATTCCATATTAACAGATATCTAAAAAATAAATGATTTTTTTGAGATGGGAAGAATGTAGATAAGAAGCAACCTAAAGAAACTGAGGCTCTTAGAGACCAGGGGGAACTATAAGTTCTTGTAGACTACAACCCAGACAACAAGGTGCACGACATTCTGAGATTGGAGGAATGCAGGAGAAAACAAAGGAAAGAATGTTGGAGAAGGGATTTGGGGTCATAGTGTCTAACATGCTCTGAGGGTCTCTGTTGTGAGGGGTGCTACTGAGTAGGGAGCGAGGAGGATGTAGAGGGATCAGGTCCACGGATATACATTGGTTCCAGGCTATACGGGCTGTTTGATGCTGTCTGGCAATGGCCCCCTAGATTAGTGTGGAGCAGACAACACAGCATTGATCTAGGGCTTGGCATAAGAGTGCATGGCTCTGTGGCGCAGCAGGTTAAGGCCCCGGCTGGTGGTGCTGGCATCCCATATGGGCGCCGGTTCAAGTTCTGGCTGCTCCACTTTCGATCCAGCTCTCTATTGTGGCCTGGGAAAGCAGTGTAAAATGGCCCAAGTCCTTGGGCCCCTGTACCCACATGGGAGACCTGGAAGAAGCTCCTGGCTCCTGGCTCCTGGCTTCAGAGCAGCTCAGCTCTGGCTGTTGCGGTTATTTGGGAAGTAAACCTACAGATGGAAGACCTCTCTCTCTCTGGCTCTACCTATCTCTGTAACTCTTTCAAATAAATAAAATAAATCTTAAAAAAAAAAAAAAAAAAGAGTGCATGGAGAGGGAAGAGGAAGATGGGTGGGAGGGCCAGTACAGTGGGAAGAATTACTATGTTCCTAAAGTTATATTTATGAAATGCATGCAAATAAACAAATAATTAATTAATTAAAATAAAAAAAAGTGCATGGAAGTATGGTCCCAAGGAACAATGAGGATTAATGAGTACAGGAATCCAGACTGGATAAGGAAGAAGAAAAGCAAAAGGAAATTATTATGATCTCAGAAAAAGTAAGTGGTACAAAACAAAGGTCTTAGAATTGGCAAAAAATGAAAGAGTAAGAAAATAAGAGAGCTTGTAGGCTGAGATTATGCTTAAAGAAAGAGATATTAGGACTTAAGCTTTCAGAGGTATTGTCCTCGAAAGAATGGTGAGGTCAAGGTATGTACACAGAGAACAGGAAAATGAAATGGACCAGAGGTGAAGCTCACTAGAGTTAAGAAGATCAGGAATCTTAAAGCCATGTTATTGGTGAGTTACATGATAATAAAAGTCATTTGCAAGATTTCAGGTAGAGAGAAAGAGTGTGAATGGGAACCAAAATCCTTAATGGAATTTAAGGTGTCATCACAAGGTGACGGATGACGGAGTTGGGAGAATGAAGAGTGGTATAGCTGAATGGTAACTTCAAGTGGTGAGGAATTTCTAATGGTGATTGAGGTAGTAAGTATGAGAGTGGCACTGGAGAGACAGGAGAGAGCTGAAGCTGGTGTGATGTGAAACATCTTCCCATCTGAGAGCTAAAGGGGAAAGCATTCTTCAGCTACCCAGGGTTTCAGATTGCCCAAACCACACATGGCTTATTTCAGTACATCGCAAATCCTCACTCAGAAAACATACCGGATTTATCGAATTTTATTTCAATACATTTCTTAATCAATATCATCATCATCACATATTCAGTTATCTTGGAGTGAAACTTTATAGGCCAAAGTATTATTTTTTCTTGTTTTTCAATTGACTATCTAACAACACATAACTACCTCACCTTAAATAATTTAATAGCTTCTGTTTGCAGAGCTTCAGAAGGCAGTGTTGTCAGAGGGGAAATGATTCCTTCTTTGCTGTGACACAAAGTGGGGTGTCTCCATATCTGAGAGGCTAAGCACAAAAGAAGATATGAACAGAAAACTGAACAAATCACTTATTTTGGCATTCCATTAATCCTGTAGAAATGAGCTCCTAACAGCCTGGCTCTCAACGTTTGCGTCACAAAGGTCAGGAGACAACTTTCACAACATCACTTTATTCCAGGTGCCGAGCCACTGGGATTCTCATGTTCTGCTGTGGATCACGTTCACTAAAATGCTGGTACCTAACACACTCGGCTGCAACAAGTCCACAGGACACTGTTGTAGTGTTTAACGTGCTAAAGAGTTGGGTAGGGAGATGAGTGGACATGAGATAAGCTAAAGGAAGGTATACAAGAGAGATCAAAAAAGGAGATCCGAAGTAAAAGAAGAACTTGAAATCATTCCTAAAATTAACAGTTACTAAGTGCTTATGTGGACACTGCAAATGAAATGACATCTCTGTTAGTATGCAATGTATATTATAGGACTCAGACTCTCAGTAGGGAACCCTTAAAAATTAACTCACATGCAAAGCTACAAATGCCCTAAAAGAGTTAAAGGAGCAGCGGGAGGGGACAGGTGTTCTGTCCAGAGTAGATGACCGCATTCCCACACTGGAATGCCTGGGTTCGATACCTGGCTCCAGCTCCTGACTCCAGCTTCCTAGTAATGCAGACCCTGGGAGGTAGTGGTGATGGCTCAGGCAATCAGGTTCCTGCTTCCCATATAGGAGATCTGGATTGAGTACCTAGATTGAGTTCCTGACTCCTGGCTTTGGCCCAGCTGAGTCCTGGCCATTGCAGGCATCTGCAGACTGAACCAGCAAATAGGAGATATCTCTCTCTCTTTCTACCTTTCAAATAAAATAAAATAAAACAAATAGGAATACTATCTTGACTTATATCATTTCTGGGGACAAAGAAAATTTTTTTTTTTTTTTTTTTTTTTTTTTTTTTTTTTTTCTTCCGTCGACAGGCAGAGGGGACAGTGAGAGAAAGAGACAGAGAGAGAAAGGTCTTCCTTTTGCCGCTGGTTCACCCTCCAATGGCCGCCGCTGCAGCCGGCGCACCGCGCTGATCCTGGCAGGAGCCAGGAGCCAGGTGCTTTTTCCTGGTCTCCCATGGGGTGCAGGGCCCAAGCACCTGGGCCATCCTCCACTGCACTCCCTGGCCATAGCAGAGAGCTGGCCTGGAAGAGGGGCAACTGGGACAGAATCCGGCGCCCCAACCGGGACTAGAACCCGGTGTGCCGGCGCCGCAAGGTGGAGGATTAGCCTATTGAGCCACGGCGCCGGCTGGGACAAAGAAAATTTTAAAAAATCAAATGGCAAAGTATGTTGGGATATAATTTTAATATTGATCAAGCACCTTTAATCAAGGCAGATGCTGAGCTGAAGTGGGCTGGCTGGGGAATCTCCCGTGCCTAGGTAGGATTTCGTCCTGTTGGTGCGGACCGTGAAGGAAGGGAGGCATTCTGAACAGAGGGAGCAAGGTGAACAAAGGCAGGAGGGTGTGCCAGGGCACAGCTCACTGGGGGATAACGGTGGTGGCCCTGCAGTGAGAATTCTGGTCACTGCAGGTAAAGCCAGTGACCAGGAGGTACACTATAGGGAAACAGGAACCCACAAAGTGAAAACTCTGTTGGGCTAAGGGGGTTGGGATCCATTTCACAAACCATAAATCCTTCCAGGTGTATGAACTTACAAGGTTCCCCTTCTATATTCAGCAATTTGCAAACAAGTTGTTCAAATTCTGATCCAACGTTCACATTATTCCTTCCAGCTGCTACAGTCAGATGATAAAGCCAAGTATCCTTAAAATCAGAACAAAGGAATAGAAAAGTTACTCAAGATACGGATTTGATTAATTAAGGAAAAACTGTATAAGTAATAGAAAATATGTGAGTCTGAGAGAAAACTACTTATTTTAATTTTTAAATAATAACTAAAAGCCATTCAGTCAAAGGTTTCTAAGGCAGGTTCTCTCAAATGGCATTCATATTACTTTTCCCATTGTTCACAATTTTATGATTTACTATACATGTTTCTTAGAAAAGCATGACAAAATAAGCAGAGTAATATGATAAGGGACTGGAATAAATTTAACCAGTCAATGTTCTTTTAAGAAATTCTATCAACTTTAAAATCTCACTCCCAAAGTATAACATACAGAATATTTAGAAAATGTGGAAAATTTAAAGAAGATAATAATACCCAAATTTCCCTGCTTCCCAAAAGTAATTCCTGGCTTTTTATTTTCTATATGAAAATATATATGTAATTAAAATTTCATATATTTGGCATTATTCTAAAAATAGATGAAAATTTCTGGATTTTACTAATACAGAGTAAGTACTACTTTGTTGGTAGAAATTCCTTATAAACAAGTTTTAATGGCTATACGATATTCTACTATATGGACATACCACATTTATTTAATCAATTTCCTATTGTTGAACAAGTAATGGTTACTAATTTCTCACTGACAAAAATAACATTATCACGGGGTGGACACTTAGGAAGATGAGATTGAGATGCTTGTGTCCCACATCAGAGTCTGAAACACACCTGCAGCTCCTGACCCCAGCTCCCTGCTAATGCAGACCTCAGGAAGCAGCAGTGGTGGCTGAAGTAAGTGGGTTCTTGCCACCCACATGGGAGACCTGGGTTGAGTTCCCAGCTCCTGGCTTTGGCTCATCATGTCCTAGCTGTCATAGGCATTTGAGGAGTAAACCAATGATTGTGAACCGTCTTTCTCTCTGAGTGTCTCTCAAATAAATAAAAATACTGTCACAACTAATATGGGATTAATTAGAGGATACTCACTGTATTTTATGTTTGAAATAGTTCAGAAATGAAATTACTTTCTTAAAAATATTTATTTATTTATCTGAAAGTCAGAGTTACACAGAGAGAGGAAGAGACAGAGAGAGAGAGAGAGTGATCTTTCATCTGCTGGTATACTCCACAGATGGCCACAATGGCTGGGGTTGGGCCCAAGCCGAAGCCAACAGCCAGGAGCTTCTTCCAGGTCTCCCACATGGGTAGTGGGGCCCAAACACTTGGGTCATCTTTCACTGCTTTTCCCAGGCCATTAGCAGGGAGCTGGATCATAAGCAGAGTAGCTGGGATTTGAACCAGAGCCCATATGAGATGCTGGTGTTGCAGGTGGAGGCTTAACCCTCTACACCATGATGCCAGCCCTGAAATCAGTTTTAAAAGAATATTATGTTCAACAAATTTATACATAAATCTTTGGCTGCATTTATGATCGTTTACTTGGGATATATATATTCTTTGGAATAGAATTATGAGTCATTACTGGGAAATGAACACTTTTAGGACTCTTGAAACATACATTCAAAGTGTTTTCCAGAGCACTTATACCACCTTATATTTCTACCAAGGATGAGCGAATTTCCTTTATCAAGTCTTACTAACATTTTTTAATTTAATCTTTGATGAGTTGAGAGACAATACAAGTTTTACCAATGAGACTTAGCATTTCTTTGTTACAAATGAGTCTAATTAAGCATTAATTAACCATTAGTTAGACTATCTGTAATCAAATCTCCTCAGTAAGTTGTTCCCTGGGTACAACTCCCATTTTCCCAGTGAAGACTCAGTTCTTTTCACATCAGGAGGAGGCAGCAGAGGAAGTGCTTGGGAACATGGGTTCAGAATAAAAGCTATGAATCTACACACCAGCTCTGCCTCTTGCGAGATGTGTGAACACAGGAATGTGCTTCTGTTTTTCCGTCTGTAAATGGGAGTAAAACCATTTCCCCCAGGGAGTATTCATGAGGAAGAAGAATAAATAGACTGAGCACTTTGCGCCTGATATACATGATTAAACACAAGGATCATTACTAACTGTAATAATTTATAAGTTGTTTGTCTGTTAAAGATATAATATCTATCCAATGAAATTTTGTATTTTGTAGTTTCTAATTATGTTTAGGATTTAATTTTCTATAAAGGAGTATTTCAATATGTTATACTCAAATATACCAATCATTTCCATGTGATTTCTTTCTTTTAAAACATCTTCTATTCTTTTTTTTTTAGATTTATTTATTTATTTGAAAGTCAGAGTTACACACAGAGAGAGACAGAGAGAGAGAGAGAGAGAGAGAGTTATCTTCCATCCACTGGATCGCTTCCCAGATGGCTGCAAAGGCCAGGGCTAGACCAAGACAAAGCCAGAAGCCAGGAGCTTTTTCTGGGTCTCCTACATGCAGATAGGGGTCCAAGTACTCAGGCCATACTACACTACTTGCCCAGGTACATTAGCAGAGAGCTGGATTGGAAGTGGGCAGATGGGACTCGAACCAGAGCCCATATGCTGGTGTCACAGGCAGTGGCTTTACTCACTATGCCACAATACCAGCCCCTATTTATTTATTTTTGTCTTATTTGGAAAACAGAGTGACAGAGAGAGATATACAGTTTTTTTGTAAAGATTTATTTATTTGAAAGTCAGAGTTACACAGAATGAGGAGAGGCAGAGAGAGAGAAAGAGAGAGAGAGAGAGAGAGAGAGGTCTTCCATCTGCTGGCTCACTCCCCAACCAGCCACAATGGCCAGAGCTGCACCGATCTGAAGTCAGGAGCCAGGAGCTTCCTCTGGGTCTCCCACTCAGGTGCAGGAGCCCAAGGACCTGGGCCATCTTCCACTGCCCTCCCAGGCCATAGCAGAGAGCTGGATCGGAAGTGGAGCAGCCAGGTCTTGAACCAGTGCCCATATGGGATGCCGGCGCTTTTGGCCAGGGTGTTAACTCCCTGCGCCACAATGTCAGCTCCAAGATATACAGTTTACCCCAAATGCCTGCAACAGCCAGGGCTGGGCCAAGCCAAAGCTGGGAGCTGCAAACTCCATGTGAGTCTCCCATGCAGGCAGCAGGGATCCAAGTACTTGAACCATGACCTGCTGCCTCCCAGAGTGCACATAACAGGATGTTAGAATCAAGAGCAGAGCTGTGACTCAAACCCATACACTCCAATATGAGATGTGGGCCTCGCAAGTGGCATTTCTTACAATGCCTTCTCTTCCTCAGAAAATACTTCCTACTTATATATCACATAAAGATCTTCTTAAAAAATAATTTCATTGAACTTTTTAGCTCTTTAAAGTCACTTGGAAATTATTTTTCTATGTGTGTGAGATGAAAAATTAATGTCTTCCTAAGTAGCTAATATTCAATACATAATAAACACACAATACTATGTTTGAATAATCTGCTACTCCCCATCAATTTGTGATGCCTCCTTTATCATTTATTACTATACATACTAATTCCAGCCTTGAGACCACTTTCCCAACAGGATTGAAAAGTGACAAGACCCTTTCCCAGGGAGGTGAAGAATCACTGGATGCCAATGCTATGACGCAGCTGGTAAAGCCACTGCCTATGACGCCGAAATTCCATATGGGCTCTAGTTCAAGACCAGGCTGCTTCATTTCCATTCCAGCTCCTTGCTAATGTGCCTGGGAAAGCAGTGTGGAAGACGGCCAAGTTCTAGGACCCCTGCACCCAGCTGGGAGACCTGGAAGAAGCTCCTAACTCCTGGCTTTGGTCTGGCCCAGCCCCAGCTGTTGTGACCATTTGGGGGAGTGAACCAGTGAATGCAACATCTTTCTCTCACTCTGTCTCTTTATCTCTGTGTAACTCTGATTTTCAAATAAATAAATCTTAAAAAAAAAAAAAAGAATCTCTGAAAACAGAGATGAAAGTCTTTAGCAAAATGTTCATCTTCATTTTTATAAAATCAATTCAAAAATGTTCTAGCAATATCTGAGTAATATTAGTCTAAAAAGTCATTCTGAATCAACCAAGAAGTCTGGAAATACCTTTTCATGCTTGGATCCAATTAGGAGGTAAGTGGGACCTTGATCTTTGGGGTGGATTACAATGGTGTGATGTGTGGATAACAGACTGCGCCCACTGGCCTCGTAATCTTCATCAGAATCGCAGGATCTGTCAACCTCTTCCACTTTAGCCTCCCAGAGTTTGATCTGACCTAAAGGAAACTGAAGCAAATGTTAGTAATTATAAGATAGACACTTTATAAATCTTTTCCTATGAACATTTGTAAAGAATTCATTTATTTTACTTATTTAAAAGGCAGAGAGAAAGAGAGAGAGAGATCTCTCATCTGCTGGTTCACTTTCCAAATGCCTACAACTAGGAAGAAGCAAGACTACAGCCAGGGGCCAGGAATCCAATCTGGGTATCCCAAGTGAGTGGCAGGGACCCAGCTACTTAAGGCATCACCTGCTGCCCACAGCGTGCACACTGACAGGAGGCTGGTACGGAGGACAGAGCCTGGACTCTAACCACAGCACTCCAACAGGTCATACAGGCATCCCAAGCAGCAGTTTAACCATTGTGCCAGCTCCTCCCCCTACCAACATTTTTCATGTTCATTTTTATAAAGTATACTTTATTTTAAAAAAATCAATGTTTGGAGGCAATTTGGTTATCCACATTGTTGCAAAAGCAGAAATAACAACTGAAAAAGCCTGATTGTAATGTTAAAGAATAATAGGAACACTGGATTTAACTTCTGAAAAAAAAAAAAAAGCAAGAAGCTACTTCTGTACACTAGGTCAGATTATTCAGCTGAACTAAAATGACCTATTACCCAGTCAAGTATTAGCAGTAATGCAATCAAAATAATCAAATCACTGATCAATTCCATAGGGAAAAAAAGTCAAATGTGGACAAGGGTAGACATAGTCTCAACTTTGTTCAGAGGGAGAAATAACATAATTAGATGGTACAAAGATAAACTATCACTTCAAATTCCAGTAAATGGGTGTTCTGAGGCTATTAACAAGTGTAATGTATCACAAAACAATGTCATGATTTCCTCTATCTTAATTTAAAGGTAGAAAAAACTTCCTAAAGTTAATTTACATCAAATTTTACCTAATCTATTATTGACAATAACAACTGTATCTGCTGTATTGAATATTTAACATATCTCCTCCAAAACTTCTGTTTTAACGAAGCACATTTATTCCAGGAAAATACAGTGTGCCTCAGATTTTTGGCCAGGTTGGCAACTACAGTTCTGAGAAAGTGTTCTATCTCCAAAGACATTTACCCACATACACTTTCTTTTTTTCAAAGATTAATTTATTTATCTAAAAGTCAGAACTAGAGGGGGGGGCTTCCATCTTCTGGTTCACTCCCCAAATGACCACAACACCTGGGGCTGGGCCAGGCCAATACCAGGAATGTGGGTCTCCCACATGGGTGCAGAGGTCCAAACACTGAGGCATCCTCCATTGCTTTCCCAGGCACATTAGCAGGGAGCTGGATTGGAAGTGGAGCAGCTGGGACTTGAACCGGCACCCAGAGGGGATGCCAGTGGTGTAGGTGGTGGCTTAACCCCCGTGCCACAGCACCAGCCCCACCCTCCTATACTGTCAAGCTCAGTTCCAGGGACCAGGGCTTGGACTCCTTTTCCATCTGTATTCACTTCCTGGGTGATCTCATCTAAGCGCCTGGCTTTCATGCAGCAGGTGTTAGCTATTCTCAGAGTTACAGTTCCAGACTCACTACCTCTACTGAGAGGTCTACTAGGAACTCAAACTTGGCAAGTCTCCTTGACCACCCGCTCCTCCCAGTCTTTCCCATCTCAGTTTGTTGGTGACTTCAGCTTTCCAGCTGTTTAGGTTAAAAACTTTGGCATCATCATGGGTCCTTTTCCTTCTCTCATATCTCACACTTTCTCAGTCAACAAATCTTGTCAGCAACACTTACAGAATATGTCTACAATATTCTCCTTCCCATAAGTCACTGCCACTACTAAACTACACAATCATCTCTTGCCTGGATTGTTCTAAGAGCCTCATAACCAGTCTCTGCCTTATTCTCATCTGTCTATTCATTTTAAAAATTATTTATTATTTATTTTATTGGAGAAGCACAGAGACAGAGACAGAGAGAGATCTTTGATCTGTTAACTCACTTCCTAAATGTCCACAACAGCCAGGGCTAGGTCAGGCCAAAGCCAGGAGCCAAGAACTCCATCCTATGCTCCCTTGTGACAGGGTCCCAAGTACTTGAGCCCTCACCCGCCTCCCAGGGTGTGCATTAGCAGGAAGCCGGGACTCTGGAGAAGAGCTGGGACTTGAACCCAGGCACTCAGATATGGGAAATGGATATCCCAAGTGTCAGCTGCTAAATCAAATGCTCACTTCATCTTCAGTCTATTCTTAAATAGAAACCAGAACATTCTTATTAGACATAGGTAAGATCATGTCCCTGCTCAGCTCTAAACCTACCAATGGCTTTCTCATCTCATTCAGAATAAAACCTAGGGGCAGGGGAGTATTTGGCTTAGCAGTTAAGACACCTGAATTCCATATCAGAGTACCTGGGTCCCATACCCAGTTCCATTCCTGACCAATGCAGACCCTGGGAGGCAGTGGTGATGGCTCAACTAATTGGATTTTTGCCATCTATGTGACAGACTTGGATTGAATTCCTAGTCCAGGCATTTGAGGAATGCACCAGCAGCTGGGAGCTATCTGTTTCTCTTTCTGCCTCTCAAATAAATACAAACCATTTAAAAAAAAAAAAAAAAAGCTGTCACTGTTAAGGGAAAAAAGCCTGAAGAGTAGCTGAACATGCCGCCATGTCCCATCCCCCCAAAGACATCATTTTAGCATAAGGATTATTTTGAGCTAAAGGCACTGGAAAAACTTTTTAAAAACCAGGTACAAAAAGGTTATTCTGACCCTCCCCTTTTTCTTTCTAAAGCCAGAGATAAAACCCTACAGGCAAGATGTTCTCCTGTGCCAGAAAGAAAATAAGCTTCCTATCAACAAGGACAGGAAGTTGAGGCCAAGGGAAACTTGTACAAACAAGCCTTGCTAAACTAATCCCTATCTACCTGGTCACTTCACTGCCCAATTAACTACCCTAGCTTAAGTCCCTTTGCCTGGTCACATTTTCACCATTTACTTCTCTTTGCCCAGTCTAGGGTGTAAGTGTTCAACTATGTCTGTCTTCATTTCCTTATGAAGGCTCCTATAGCATGTCAAACATACTAGAGAAGTCTGTATGCTTCTGTCCTGTGACCTCTTTTCCTCAGAACTGAATTACCATGTCAGCTTCTTGGTGAGGTCTTTATAAAATGCAGAATTATCTGTCTGATAGCTGGTTAATACTGAAAATTAATTCACTTAAATGTATTGCCTTTCATGGGAAACATGGATTTTCCCCATTACATTAATAACAATTTCTTAATAAGTGTTACTATGTGCAGAGCAATATGCTGGCACTAAAGGTAGAATATTTACTTCTCAGGGAAAATGCAGAATTAACTGATCTACACTTTTGTAAAAAAAAAAAAGGTGATAAAACAAAAGCAAATGAATAGCAGAAAGGGCACACAAATAAAAAACAAGCTTTTAAAAACATGAGGATGAAGAAAACCAATTCTACTTATGATAATTCATGACAATACTATCCTAAATGTATGCTTTAGGCACAGAACTTAGGGAACCTAGCAAAATCTAAGTTTCATCCCAATATTTAATGATGGTAGTTATTCATTTGACCTAAAGATTCACCATGGCTCTAGAAACAGCAAATATATATAGTCTTTTAATATTTTGATTTAATAAAAAAGATATTGATCCAGTTTAAGAACAAGTTGTTTTGGAAACAAGTATAGCACAAGTAAGTAGGTCTATCCTGATTCACATAGTTTCTCAGTACTTTCTAGTCATTATCTGATTTGTTTTTTCGTGGCCAATGCTATTCATTTTTACTAAATTATGTTTCAATATTAGTAAATACAGAAAGATATTAAAAAGAAGGAAAAATTCATCAATAATCCTACTGGTTGAGCACCCAATCTGAAAACCTGAAACCCAAAATGCTTTGAAACCTGAAATATTTTCAGTGTTGTATTGACACTCGAAAGTTTTGGATTTTGCAGCATCTCAGATTTCAGATTTTTAATTAGGGATGCTCAACCCGTAAAGGCTATGCAAATATTCCAAAATCTGAATAACTCTAAAATCTGAAACACTTCTGATCCCAAGTATTTCGGATAAGGGATACTGAACTTGTATCACCATAGATAACCATGGAAAATTTGTATGGTTCTTTTCAATCTTCTGTGCGTACCTTCACATCCATGTGTCAGCCTAAGAGTTATAAACGCATCTCCCAACCACTCTCTTCTAAAGCCTTCTGCAGTTGCAGAAGAGAAGCTGGGAACTATGTTTGCCAGAACTTCCTTCCGTGTACACGGCTCAATTTAGAGTTTGCCTATGGGAAGATCTGCATGAGATCTGGAAGTTATGGGTGAAAGAAAAGTCATGGTCCTCCTCAGACAGTTGCAAAGAGAAGCCTGGGCTGATGCCAGATCCACCGAGGCTTCCCAGGGTCTCTTGAGGACCACCTGCCGTCAGTGTTGATCTTGCTCTCAACTTCCCTAAAAGTTACGTAACTTACAGAACTTTTCCAAAAGCTATCTACGGTCCTAATTCTATAGTAAAACTTTTACACCTGGGTCACGTAGAGTTGCTTCTGTTCTCCCAACTGGTAAATCAGGATTAGACTGAACATACAGTTGTCTACTGTGCTTATTCAGGTTGCATTTGTACATGGATGTTCCCTCACATTTCCTTCCGATGGAGTGTTTGTAATGGCTGCACTATGTTCACTCCCATCCCATCAGCCAATACCGGGAACACTGACATACATTTTAAAATACAGTTGGTCAGACCAGAGAGTGAGAAGGGTCTGTGAAGAGGGAACGGAGAGATACTAACTGACCCACAAGGTGACAGGACCAAGTTCAATCTCATTCACACAGTCATCAGTTACGGGGCTGCCATTCCACTCGGCAGACATCATTGTTTTATGAAAGTACTCACGGCCTGTGCTGGCTCAACTTTTGTAGCTTCAGTAATATGAAAGTAACACAGAGTGCCCATCATGACGGCTGGGCAGACATTTCACTTTGAAAGATATTTCACCTTTTTACTCTGAAAGTGATAATAATTCAAGTTCTTTGGGCTAGGAGATTAGTTTAAAAACAAAAAAGCAGGATCTAAACAGGCAACTGGTTAGAGAGGCTTATGAACTCCTTGGGACAGGACGGGGTTCTTGTTCCTTCCCAGGTTTTCCTTCCTAGCTTGCTATTCCCTTCTCCCAACCTTATCAAGTTTGTCAAAATGTAGGAAATAAGAGAAGAGGATGGGGGGCCAGTGCTGTGGCTCACTTGGTTAATCCTCGCCTGCGGCGCTGGCATCCCATATGGGTGCCGGGTTCTAGTCCCGGTTGCTCCTCTTCCAGGCCAGCTCTCTGCTGTGGCCCGGGGAGGGCAGTGGAGGATGGCCCAAGTCCTTGGGCCCCCGCACCCGCATGGGAGACCAGGAAAAAGCACCTGGCTCATGGTTTCCGTCAGCGCAGCACGTCAGCCGTAGTGGCCATTTGGGGGGGTGGTGTGTGAACCAACAGAAGGAAGAACTTTCTCTCTGTCTCTCTCTCTCTCTGTCTCTCTCTCACTGTCTATAAGTCTACCTGTCAAAAAATTAAAAAAAAAAAAAGAGAAGAGGATGGTGGAATTGGCGATAGAAGAACCTTTTCTTTTCTAGGTCTGAGGAGATGCATTAATTAAAAGTTGTTAAGGATTGTAATTAACGATCAAGACCTCTGTAGGTGATAGGAATGTTATTACCATAGTAATAATTTTTAATATCAAATCCAGCCTTATTCAAGATTCTAAAGTTTTTATCTTGCAACAGAGGAATGAAAGAAAAAACTTTAAACCACAGCAAACAAAAATTACTCTAATTAGCTTATTAAGAATATATACAGTAAGTGTCGAAGAGATTTCACAAATAAGACCAGTGTAAGCAAACAATGAAGGATAGAATTAAAAGGGAGAGTATGATCCTGCAGGAGAAGCAGGACACACAGCAGACTCATAGAATGGCAAATGCCCAAAACAGCACTCCTGCCTCAGAATCAACCCTTGGGACATTCGGATCTGGCTAAAAGGTCCATGAGAGTCTCACAGGCATGGGAAGCCATGACACGGTGGCAAAAAACAATCTAAATGAAAGATCCTGGTGAACAAGACCCCAGCAGAAGGAACAGGCCATCAAGGAGAGAGGCACCTTTCTTTGAAGGGAGGAAGGAACCTCCACTGTGATACGGCCTTAACTAAACAAGTTCAGAGTTGGTGAACTCAAGGGGCTTCCATAGCCTAGACTGTGGGGAGCAACTCGGACTAGACTGTTACTCGAATTAAGACTTATTCTATGCATCTGCTCTCCCACAATATGGCGCCGAGAAGGGAGTAACAACTTCTACGCAGCTGCCTCTCGCCAACTTGAGTGATGACCTGCAGGAGCTGATCCTGCTCCTGATTGGAGGAGAGCAGCGTACTCGGCGTGTGGGTAGCAGAGTTGGGATTGGTGGAAGAGGACTATAAAGGAGGAGAGAGACAACATGCACCAGGAACATCTATATCTAAAGGGAACACCTGAAGGAACACCTGAGCAGCCCCCGAGAGAGCCGGCTGGCGGTGTGCCGCTCCCCCGCGGAAGTGGGGAAAGTGGCAGGGGGAGCCGCCCTTCCACGGAGGTGGAAGGGTCGGTAGCCAACCCGGGAAGGGCCGAGCAGACAAAAGAACAGCACAGGGTCCTGTGTCGTTCCTCTGCGAAGAGGGGGAGCGACACTAGACAGCTCATAGCAAGAGTCTCGGGTGATTGCTGATGTCATAAATAAGCGTGCCAATTGTTAAATCAACAACGGGAGTCACTGAGTACAGGCTCCCCATGTAGGATCTCTGTCCTTAATGTGTTTTACTATGAAACTTAAAAACAACACTACTAGTCGAACAATGCCCTATACCTTGTGCGGTTGTGTGAGTGCAGCCTGTTGAAATCCTTGCTTAGTGTGTACTAAGCTGATCTTCTGTATATGAAGGTGATTGAAAATGAAACTAGATGAAGGGCGGGATGGGAGAGGGAGTGGGAGAGGGGAGGGCCGCGGAAGGGAGGGAGGTTGGGGGGGGGAGCCACAACAATACAAAAGTTGCACTTTGTAAATTCACATTTATTAAATAAAAAAAAAAAGAACTTATGGGGGGGGAGAATATATACATACCTTATCTTCTTGGTTACGAAAATAATACAGTGTCTTTCCTATAAGAGTACACCACACTCTTTTGGAGTAGCCATGTTTTACCTGGAATCACATTTCAACGAGATAAATGTAGCTCAGAACTTTGACCCTTTAAGTAATAGCTTATATACTCTATTTGAATCTCTAAGTATACAGTTTGCCCAGGACATAAGTGATATTCCAACTAGACGTCCAAATGCTGTGTAAGACTTACCTGTTACAGTAGTAGCACAGCATGCTTTGCTTTGTTGCTCACCAATGAATATTCAATGAGTGATGACTAGGTGTCAAATACAATGCTTAGGACTGAGGAGTCAAAGAAAAAGGTGCTAATTTCACAAGTGTATTTCATAGTCTTCTAACAGCCCAATGGCTCTCTAACAACCTAACGTCAGAAGTCAGGAGATTAAATCCCGAAGAAGTCTAGCAACTTCCCAAATGGAAATGATTCATTCACTCAAAAGTGTTTGATGCCACCTCCAGAAGTAATCATACAAAATAACAAAATAGTGATTAAAATCTAGTACTATATATCAAGTACCTCTATGTCAGGCCCTATGTTAAGTGACTGGGAGAGAATTTGAATCTAGCTCTTGACTTTGAACAGTTAGAGACTGGCCAAGGTCCTGGGGCAACAGATTTGAACCAGATACAGTTTCCTTCTGCAAGGAGTTCACAGCCTTGTAGACAGACGACCAAATTAGTAGTGTGCTACATAACTACATCAAGAACACAAGAGCTTACATTGGTATGCATTCTTGTGGAAGACATTTTACCAAAATATTTATTGGGTATTGTAGATTTATTATCAATTGGTGCTTCATGAGATTCTCCCTGTGCCAGTCTTGCCCAGGTAGAGGCTCTGAAGATCTTCACCAGACAACCCCTCAACATCCTCAAGCCTTGGGAAACACAAAGAAAAGCATCCCTACCAGTGGGTGAGGTTGAAAACAAGTCCTATGACCCCAAACTTAGAACGTGGTATGCCAAGATGAGCTTGCCCTATTTGTTCCCATTCACCTGGCAGCCACCCTGCCATCTTTAGCCTTGAGGCTCTACCGCCTGGCAACCAAGTCTAGCCACAGCCCCAAATTCAGTTGCTATGAAGAGAAAAATGAAGGAGGAGTAGAAAAGAAGTGCTTGGAGAAGGGGGAGCTGGTCAGGAAGGCCTTGCTGACATCAAGTGAGGCCCTGAAGGAGGTGCAGAAGCTGTGTGGTCATCTGGGGGAAGAGCAGGTGCATCTACTGAGCCACGGGCAGACAGAGTCTGAGGAACAGCAGGAAGCCTGAGTTTCTGAGGCTCAGCAAGCGAGGGGAGAGGAGATGGGGGAAAGGATAGGGAGAGGGTGGTTAGGGAGAGGGTGGAGAGGGAGAGGGTAGATAGGGAGAGGGTGGAGAGGGATGCAGATTGGACAGAGGATATTCCAGGCCCTTGTAATAACTCATATTTATTTATGTTTCAAAAAGGTTTACTTATTTTTTTGAAGAGCAGAATGACAAAAAAAGATGAGCACACACACACACACACAGAGGTGGACCTTCTGTCTGCTGGTTCACTCCCCAAATGCCCACTACAGCCAGAGCTGAGCCAGGAGCCAGAAATTCCATCTGAGTTTCCCACATGGGTGGCTGGCAAGAAGCCAAGTACTCAGGTCATCCTCAGCGGCCTCCTAGAGTGTGCACTAGCAGGGCCTTGGGTTTGATGCAGAGAGTTGCCAGGAATCAAACCAGACTCTTATGGGATATAGGCACCCTAAGTGGTAGCTTAATCCACTACACCACAATGCCCGCCCTATGACTTACATTTAAATGGACTATTCTGACAGTAACACATTGAGAAGACTACAAATTATTGTCACAATGGACTTTACAGTAGGCAAGTCACTAAAGAAGAAACGGTCTGGACTTTGAGGTCTCATGGACGAAGGCTTGAATTCCATAGAAGATGTCCCGAGGCAACTGACTGAGCCTTTGTCCCCTCATCAGTAACATTGCTGTACACCCCACGGGGCTGTTGTGATGGCCAATTGTGAAAGTGTAAGTAAAGGACAATAGTAGTTACACAATAAATGCTGCCTTCCTCACTATGAATAATAAGAAGTAAAACACATGTTTTCTTTTAAACCCACAAACCCAGCCAGACTTTGGGCTTTCAAGCTGTAGTTTAAGCAAACAAGTAACTCCACCATCAGCAGTTTGATGGATTTAGAATGCTGCTGGAGAAAACAAAAAAACAAAAAATGTTTCATTTGGCAAGACATGTTTCAGTTTAATTAAATTTGGAAACTTATATTTATAGGCAAATATCCTGGCAGTTTTAAATAGAGTTATGCAGGATTTTTTTTTTTAATTCTTCTTCTTTGAACAAACTCCAAAAACAAGTCTCATCAAAACTGCATTATAATGCATCTGGCTACAGACCGTGTACTTTTGAAACTATTTATCTGTGAGAAACAACCATGGTTACCTTTGAAGAACTGCAAATTAATGAAGAATTTTGCCAACTCACTGTGAAAGCTGTGTTTTAAAAATAGTCTATCTTTGTATGTAAATCTTATTATATTAGGATTTCTTAAAATGCCGACTTACTCTAAAAACATTGTAACAACACGAATTATGCTAGAAGAATTCTTATGAGGATTTAAAGGCAATCACAAGTTTTTGGCAAACTAAATAGTTGAAAGAGTTTTTTTTAACCTTACACCCACAGCAAAGGTGTATCACATCAGCCTGCTGGAAACCTTGGAAACAAATAGTGTGTGATACCCCAGTCAGCCTTTGAGGCCACATGAAACATCAGCTCCCACAATTTCCCCACCTTGCCTGCATTCTCATCCCTGTAGCATTCTCTACAAGTCCTGCCACCAACCTTGCTGACTTGAGTATCTAAGGAAAACTCTCATGATACTAGTAGCTGCTGGTTTTGAGTATTTATTATGTGTTGGGCACTGTTCTAATGTACTTTACATGCTTAAATAATTTGTTCAATCCTGCCAACGCTCTGTGAGATTGGCACTGTTATTATCTCCCTTTGACCAAGGCACAGAGCCTGTGGTGAGGGGTAGTGACAGGACTTGTGCCCAGGCATTCTGGCTCCCAAGCCCCTGTCCTAGCTTCTCTGCCAAACGCTCTCTACATTCTCATTCACTTCATGTCCAATAACCCTTGTCATTCCTCCATTTAAAAAAAAAAACACATTTATTTTTTCTGTTTGTTTGAAAGGCAGAGTGACACCGAAAAAGAGAGAGACAGAGTGAGAGATTTTCCATCTGCTGGTTCATTCCCCAAATGGCCACAACAGAAATGTCTGGGCCAGGCTGAAGACAGGAGCCAGGAGCTTCATCCTCGTCTCCCATATGGGTGGCAGGGGCCCAGGTAGTTGGGCCATCTTCTGCTGCCTTCCACGATGCATTGGCAGGAAGCCAGATTGGCTCAAACTGGCCCTCTGATATGGGATGCCAGCATCACAAGCATGGACTTAACCTGCTGTAGCACAATGCCAGCCCAGATCCCTCCATTTTGCCACCTGTCTTAGGGTCACACTTAACTCTTCTTCACTGAGAACTGCTCCACTTTTTCACTTTACAGTGTATTCTCAGATCACAGGCTCCTTCCAGCTCCCTCTCTCTTACTCACACCAGTGATATTCTTTGACTTCATTCAAAACATTAAGTCCCTGATCCTCCCATTTTATTAGTGTATCAGTTCCCTCCTAGCTTCTGGTCCTTCTCCAATTGCCTGAAAACTCATGTTTGATCAGAAAACAACTCTTGCTCCAAGACCCTTACATTACTACACTACTTAACAAACCCACTCAACACAATCTCATTAGTTGCTTTAAAATAATCCAGTACAGAATATGGAAATACAGAGACAGTTATGGGGGTTTTTAGGAAATAATATAACACTGAGATCACCCCTCCAGAAGGAACATTCCCCTCCCATGGCATCACCCTAGGGGATCTTCACACACCCCTTTATGTTCCCTCCAGTTTTGGAAACCCAAGTGTTCCATTAATGGTCCCCTGCTATTCCCACCAAACACATTTTCTGGGTGATTTCTCTCAATTGCTTGGTTTTAACTGAGATGTCTATGCTGACAATTACCATTTGCTTCTCCACAGCCCAGCCCCTCTGATGCTGGACTTCTTTTGATGAAGATGCCCTAGGAAGCTCAAAAAAAAACAAAAAAGACATATTTGACAATAATGTTAATCATCCTAAACTCTTCTAAGCTCTCCCTTATCTGGCATCATTCTTCACTCAGGAAATCTACTTCTTCTACTTCCCCACCCCAGGCTCATGCTCTTCACATGAACCTTTACCTTGCCCTGAACAACTTCATCTTCCCCTCAGCAGAGAAAGCAATAAACAAAATAAGCATGTCCATGCTCCTGTTATAAACCTGGGCAGAACCTTTTTTCTGCCAAGGACCATTTGGGTATTTATAACATTATTTGTGGGCCATACAAAGCTGTCAACTTAAAAATCAGCCTGTTATAGATGTATTGAATTTCAAGGCACACCTGCAGTTGCCCTGGCAGAGCCACACCAAATGATTTCCTGGGTCACATATTCCCCACCTTTGTGGGCCTAAAGGGGTCCTGTATCTGCCACAATGAAAACCAAAGTCCTGAGGAATACAAAATTAGTTCTCCATGATCACATTCTTCCAGATTTTTCTCCCAAGACTTGTTCCCAGTGTAGGTGGCACTGTCTCAAGACTCCATGCCTGTATTCATACTGGTTCCTAGTCTGGGGCACCTTCTCTGCCTCTTCCCATTTAGAAACCTAACTCCTACTCTTTCTTGAAGACTTGGCACAAGGAAGCTTCTCTGAGACATGGTTTCTGATCCCACAGCTAAAATGGCTTCTCTTGGACCTAATGCTATCTCTCAATTACTGCATTTTTCACATATTATTATAAACAAGCTGATGTCTCTCTCTCACAATGGATTTGGAGGCTCTCTGAGGAATGAGAGAGTGGTCAATCCATCTTAATATCTCCAGCCGATGTGTCACACTTGGTAACTGCTCAATACATTTTGAATAGATTTTTAAATGTTTACTTTTATTTATTTGAAATACAGTGACAGAGAGATGGGGGAGAGGCACAAAGACACAGGACAAAAAGAGGGAGAGAGGGTGAGGAAGCAGGAGGGGGAGGAAAGAGGGTGAGGAGAGGGAATGAGGGAGGGAGAGAGAGAGAGAGAGAGAGAGATCAATCTTCCATTGGCTCATTCCCTTCATTCCCCAAATGCCCACAACTGGGGCTGGGCCAGGCTGAAGCCAGGAGCCAGGAACTCCATCTGCTTCTCCCACATCGGTGGCAAAGACCCAAGTACTTGGGCCAACATCTGCTGTTTCCCAGGTACATTAGCAGGAAGCTTGATTGGAAGTAAAAATGGGACTTGACCCCAGGCTTTCTGTTATGGGATGTGTGCATTTCAAGTGGCTTAACCCACTGAGCCACACCAACTCCAATAAACTTTTTTAAAGAAATGAATTCTTATATTAAAAAAAAAACTTCTTCTTAAGTATTAACATAAAAACTGCAAGAGTGAGTATCCAGAGACAAATTAGTCAAGTTCTTAACATATACCTATCTATTTCTGTACCTAATAATACAACAACTTGAAAAAAATCCACCTTCTACTTTATCTCAAATTTTAGCCTATATGCAAGCTTGAAATAAGACACACAGAATAACCAAGGGAAGTTTTCTCTTATAAATTCTGATGATGAAAATATGGAGGGATAAGCCTTCAGAAACAGTAGGAAGAAAACCTAGCAAGCATCCTACCAACCCTAATGGATTAGTCATCTCATAACCACACCAGCTCATTTACAATCTAAGTGTGAAATGGCAAGCAGAGACTTGCAGAAATGGAATATGAGCAGAAACTGACAGTGCTATGTTGATAAAGTAAAAAAGATGAAAACAAATAAAAAACCAAACTAAATGTGGGGGAGTAACAAACCCTTAGACGTGATTATTTTAAATTCTTAAGGTTTGATACACATGGTCCTTGAAAGAAGAGGAAAATTCATTATGAATCACAGTAAGACTGTGATTTCATGTAGCACTGTGTTCACTGAAAAAAAATACAGTTGCACAATACCAGTGAGTCTTCTAACCCACCAGTGACTGAGAAAACATTTCACAGGAATGTAATATTTTGGAAAAAACACACTACTTCTCTTTATTGAATACACTGGTGAATTCTTTCTTCCTTTCACTGCGGTTGGTCAGTCTTTGTAAACCCATTTGAATAGCACTCACTTCCATTCCCACACAGTCATGAAGTACAAATTACAGGGTAGCCTAGCTCCTTTACTTCTAAATAGTCACCTCTTCTATTGCCAGGGCACATGAGTGATGAGTGTGTATGTGTAAACATTTTATTGCATTCTTCTAAAAGCAATCAAGGGAACTTTTTAAATTTTAAAAATAATATTAAGTATAAATCAATACTTATTCTAAAAAATGGCAGAAAACAAAATTAGGCAAAAATAAAATAAAATAGAAATAACTAATATACCTTGGTATTTTCTATTCTGACATTTTTATGACTATATATAATAACAATGGAATAAAAATGTAACAATGTACTCTTTCACCTAGCAATATATATATAACATATTTTTATAGTATTATTCTTTCACAATATTTTAAAGGCTGCACATGATATGATTGTACAAACATTTATTTATACCGTTCCCTATTTTAAATCTAAATTGAGTCCAAATTTTCTTTATGATAAACATGCTCTGCAAAGAATCTTCCTGAGGTAATGGAAATTTTCTATATCTTAATAGAATGACACTAATTATTTCAAAATTCATCAAATTCTATAAGTAAGGTCTGCATATGGCAGAATATGTTAATTATACTTCATTTTGTAAAATAGGGAAAAACAAAGCAGGATGTGCTAGAAATTCTCATTCTTTTTTTTAAAGATTTATTTATTTATTTGAAAATTAGAGCTACAGCAAGAGAGGGAGAGAGAGAGAGAGAGGAGAGGAGAGGGGAGGGGAGGGAAGGGGAGGGGAGAGGAGGGGAGGGGAGAGGAGGGGAGGGGAGGGGAGGGGAGAGGAGGGGAGGGGAGGGAAGGGGAGGGGAGAGGAGGGGAGAGGAGAGGAGGGGAGGGGAGGGGAGAGGAGGGGAGGGGAGAGGATCTTCCATCTGCTGGTTCATTCCCGAAGTGGCTGGGCCAGGCTGAAACCAGGAGCCAAGACCTTCATCTGGGTCTCTCATGTGGGTGGCAGGGACCCTGGCACTTGGGCCATCCTCCACTGCCCTCCTAGGAACATGAGCAGGGAGCTGGATTGGAAGAGGAGCAGCCAGGACATGAACCAGAGCCCATATGGGATGCTGGTGCTGCAGATGGTGACCTAACATGCTGCATCACAGCACCAGCTGCCAGACATCCTTATTCTTAGATCCTCTACAAATTGGGGCCAGAACTGCATTGTAGAAGGTTAAAACTCCACCTAAAGTGCCAGCATTTCATATAGGCACTGATTTGAAACCTGGCTGCTCCACTTTCGATCCAGCTCCCTGTTGATGTACCTGGGCAAGCAGCATAAGATGGCCCAAGTGTTTAGGCCCCTGTACCCACATGGGAGACCTGGAAGAAGGAAGACCTGTCAGCCACTGCTGAGGCCACTTGGGGAGTGAATCAGCAGATGGAAGATCTCTCTCTCTCTCCTTCTCTGTATCTCTGCCTTTCAAATAAATACATCTTTTTTAAAAAAATCTTTTAAAAATCTTTCTTAAAAAAGATTTATTGGCTGGCGCCGCGGCTCACTAGGCTAATCCTCTGCCTTGCGGCACCGGCACACCAGGTTCTAGTCCCGGTCGGGGCACTGGATTCTGTCCCGGTTGCCCCTCTTCCAGGCCAGCTCTCTGCTGTGGCCAGGGAGTGCAGTGGAGGATGGCCCAAGTGCTTGGGCCCTGCACCCCATGGGAGACCAGGATAAGTACCTGGCTCCTGCCATCGGATCAGTGCGGTGCGCCGGCCGCAGTGCGCCGGTCGCGGCAGCCATTGGAGGGTGAACCGGCGGCAAGGGAGGACCTTTCTCTCTGTCTCTCTCTCTCACTGTCCACTCTGCCTGTCAAAAAAATAAAAAAATAATTAAAAAAAAGATTTATTTATTTTGCTTGAAAGTCAGAGTTACAGAGAGGAGGAGAGGCAGAGAGAGAAGTCTTCCATCCCCTGGTTCACTTCCCAGATGGCCACAACGGCCAGAGCTGGGCCGATCCGAAGCCAGGAGCCAGGAGCTTCCTCCAGGTCTTCCATGCAGGAGCAGGGGCCCAAGAGCTTGGGCCATCTTCTACTGCTTTCCCAAGCCATAGCAGAGAGCTAGATTGGAAGTGGAGCAGCCAGAACTTGAACTGGCACCTCTATGGGATGCTGGCACTGCAGGTGACGGCTTTACCTGCAATGCCACAGCACTGGCCCCTAAACAAATAAATCTTAAAAAAAAAGGCTTCTGCAAATTAAAACCATTCCTTTTTTTCTTTTTAAATATTTTATTTATTTATTTGAGAGGCAGAGTTACAAACAGTGAGAGGGAGAGACAGAAAGAAAGGTCTTCCTTCCGTTGGTTCACTCTCCAGATGGCCACAACGGCCAGAGCTGTGCCAACCCGAAGCCAGGAGCCAGGTGCTTCTTCCTGGTCTCCCATGTGGGTGCAGAGGCCCAAGAACTTGGGCCATCTTCTCTGCTTTCCCAGGGCATAGCAGAGAGCTGGATCAGAAGAGAGGCAGCCAGGACTAGAACCAGCGCCCATATGGGATGCTGGTGCCCCAAGCGGAGGATTAACCTATTGTGCCACAGCACTGGCTCCTAAGACCATTTCTAAGAATAAACTTTTTGAAGTAAGACCGCTGGATCAAAGATATGTATATATGGAATATGCTAGTTATTCATTCACTTGTTCATTCAAAAATATTCACTAGTACTTTGGTAACTGCCTTCCAGGGTAATACTCTCACCAGCAATTCCTTAATCTGTGTGAATACTGGGTTTCAAAAATCTCAAAAATGTATTCCCTTTAATCAGAGTTTTACAAATGATCCCTAAAATTATTAGTGGTGGTAAAATATTTTCCCACATGCTTATTGATCACTTGTGTTTCTTCTCTCGACTTCTCTCCCATCATGTCCTCACTTCCTTTTCTCCCCATTTTTTATTCATCCTCTATTTAGTTATTAGAAAAACTTATTAAATATTAAAGATACTAACCAATTTACACACAATGCAAATATCTTTTCAAAGTTTTTTCATTTGTCTTTTTAAAAGTCTGCTGATAGAATTTTTGACAGAACATTCACATTATTATGTTTTGTGGTCAAAGTTATTTTTTATCTTCATGGGTTTTATTTTAGGCACTGTACTTTAAAACATCCTTCCCTACCCGAAGATGACATAACTATTCAACATGCATACTTTCTGACACCCACTTTCATGATCACTGGGGCTACTTCTCATAGTTGCCTCGGACGCTGCTACACACACAGCTTCCTACCTTAGTGAGCAGTCCCTTCATAGTTGGTTTGCCTTCAGGCTGCAGGAAAAGTGGGTTGGCAGCTTGTACTCGAAGAACATTCTGTAACACTTTAATCCATTCCTCCAATATATTGGGAGAATCGGCAGTCAGATAGTATGTGTGCTTTTCAGTGGTCAACTGGAATAGGGTTAGAAACGAATAGGAATGGAAATTATAGAGATTTAGGATTATCATCATTTCCTGTCCATTCTTTAGACATCATTACTTAACATGGAAACAAACAGGATAAAGCTTGAATCTGGGTTCTGAATAAATGATTCCACAATAATTGAGAGTATTTTAACCATTTCTTGAGAATTTCAATAACTAAACTTCAGTTAAGATAAATAAAGTTTTACTTTAAAACTTTTCATAGCATTAAACTTGGTAGTTTATATTTTATATTTTATTTACTTGTCAAATTTCCCTTTTCTTTCTTAAATGTGTTATAGGCTCCAGATTTTTGAAATGAGAAGCAGAATAACTGGAGACTATAATAAAGAACACACTTTTAGCAATTAAAAAGAAGAGTTTTTTAAATTTAGTAATGAAGAACTCTACTATAAATGAGAAGATCTTACATATGAAGGTACTTCAAAAAGTTTGTATAAAAGTGAAATTAAAAGATCAGTTTACTTGGTGCAAAATTTTTTGAAATCCATGTAGAACTTTTTCTTTTCTTTTTTTTAAAATTTTATTTATTTATTTGAAAGTCAGAGTTACACAGAGAGAGAAGAAGCAGAGAGAGAGAGAGGTGTCTTCCATTTGCTGGTTCACTCCCCAAATGGCTGCAAAGGGCCACTCTGATGCCAGGAGCCAGGAGTTTCTTCCAGGTCTCCCAAGCAGGTGCAGGGGCCCAAGGACTTGGGCCATCTTCCACTGCTTTCCCAGGCCATAGCAGAGAGCTGGATCGGAAGTGGAGCAGCCATGACTCAAACCGGCATCCATGTGGGATGCCAGCACTGCAGGTGGCAGCTTTACCCACTATGCCACAGCGCTGGCCCCAGAACTCTTTCATAATATGCCATTTCTCAAGAACCTTTGGAAGATCTCTTATATATATAGAATTCAACATTGTTCTGCACCAAAATAAACTTATTTTGAAATTTTACTTTCCATGAACCTTTTGAAGTATCCTTGTGTAAGAAGAGAAATTCTTGAAAAGAACATGGCATTGTATATAATGAATTTGCAATTTTCCAGTCTCAAATCAACCACACTGCAAGTTCCCCAAATATTTCAGAAGCTTATAAATGGTTTTCAACTGCCGTGCTCCGAGGAAAGCGTTCCCTGATTGTCCTTTCTACGTTTCCGAGGTGCCCCAGATACAATCCGTTGGGAACACTGATAATGTACCTTTCTGGCAAAAGTTGTCTTCCAGCTTCCAAAGGCGCAAGATAAGAAAACAACGGTTATTGAAAACATTTCATAAATAGCGTCTGAATTTAATTACATACATCAGACTGTCTCAATATGCCACTTCTTTTTTTTTTTAATATTACAGTCCCGAGGCCTTTTAGTTTTTATTACACTTATTGAGCCATGACGTCACAGGGCATGGGTTCCAGCAGCTCGGGCTCCTTTCCAGCATCCTGACAAGACGGGCTTCTCTGGTGGATCAGGCTAGCACTTCAGTAGGAACTCGGGGACCTTGTTTTTGGTTTCCTTCCTGTTTTATCATTTTCCTTCACATATTTCAGGAAGCTATCCTGGGTCTTAGAGCACTTAATATGCTTATCATGCACATTAATTCTCTTGGCAAGAATCGCCCTTATTTATTTACAACAATGCCAACAGCATGCTGGGTAACATCTATGGGGCATTCCTTTTTGTTTTTTTTTGTTTGTTTGTTTGTTTGTTTGTTTTTTGACAGGCAGAGTGGACAGTGAGAGAGAGAGACAGAGAGAAAGGTCTTCCTTTGCCGTTGGTTCACCCTCCAATGGCCGGCATGGCTGGCGCGCTGCGGCCGGCGCACCGCGCTGATCCAATGGCAGGAGCCAGGAGCCAGGTGCTTTTCCTGGTCTCCCATGGGGTGCAGGGCCCAAGCACCTGGGCCATCCTCCACTGCACTCCCTGGCCACAGCAGAGAGCTGGCCTGGAAGAGGGGCAACCGGGACAGAATCCGGCGCCCCGACCCGGACTAGAACCCAGTGTGCCGGCGCCACTAGGCGGAGGATTAGCCTAGTGAGCCGCGGCGCCAGCCGGGGCATTCCTTTTTGAACAGTACCCCTTGCCTTGCTGTCTACAATAGTACCTTTTTGTAGGTGGACTTGTATGTGGCCAAAGGACAAACTCCATGTTTCTGGAAGGCTTGGAGCACATGCCCAGGGCACCTCTCCTCTTTCCCTTTGTGTTACCATGTTGATGAAATACTAGAAGATGGTGGCTCTGGCCCAAAGGCAACAGCCTTTTTTTTTTTTTTTTTTAAGAAAAAAAAAGATTTATTTATTTTATTCAAAAAGCAGAGTTACAGAGAGACATTTGCTGATTCACTGCCCCAGATGGTCACATCAGCTGGATCTGGGCCAGGCCAAAGCCAGAAGTCAGGAGCTTTTTCTGGGTCTCTGACATAGGTGCAGGGACCCAGGGACTTGGCCATCATCTGCTGCTTTCCCAGGCACATTAGCAGGGGGCTGGATTGGAAGTGAAGCAGCCAGGACTTGAATAGGCACCCATATGGGATGTTGGCACTGCAGGCCATGGCTTAATTCGCTGTGCCATAGCACTGGCCCCACAACCTACTTTTTAGATGTAATGGAAACTGGCTTTATGTGTAGGTGAAACTGGCAGCAAGTGCCCTATGGTGTGACTTGGCAGATCAGCTCCTGTGCTCACCAGTGTTGTTTCCATTTAGGTGTTATAGCATCTGAAGCTCATGTAAGAACTGGCTTTTTCTGATTCCACATTAACATATAAACACTCTTGAATTCAGTGGTACATTATATCACTAGCATTTTATTGGGGATCCATTTATCAGCTAACCCTTCCCTAAAATAGCTTGACAGTCTGAAAGCTGAAAATACCTGGGAGGTTAAATATTCTGAAAGATGAGAATAAATGGGGAAAGGTAAAGAAAATGTAGTGGGAGTTACCCAAAACAAATTTAGTTTATATTATAGTTTTAACTAAAAAGTCTTACATACTTTTGAGACATGAACTTGATCCCAAAGTGAATAAAGAAATTCGAATCACTGATCTCATTCCCATTAGGTTGGCTAATAAGAATAGTTTTGCATGATACAAAGAAAATTAAGAAAAAAATAAGTACCTGAACTGTTTGTTTGTTATCTCCTCTTAAAATACTGCAGGATGCACTAAGTTCAATATGGCCCTGCGGTTTTCTTATTACATCACTCTGTATGAAAAGAAGACAACCAAGAGAATAGTGACTTAGTGTAACAGCAATACTAAGAAATGTTTTGTATCATTAACTGCATTACAGGGAAGAAAAGCAATCAGGAGATTGATTTAGCTTCAGTAATTCAGTGCTAAATTGCAAGCACTTTCTGCTCACCGGAGATTTGTAGTAAAGTAATTCACCGCCTTTAAGAACAAACCATCTCCGCTTCCAAGTCTTGACTTTACCACTCATTTTTAATAAATAGCCAGATTTTTCCAGTGGTTCCTAAGGGAAAGAAAAGATGATTAAAAAAATATATCTTATGTTGCCTTTTGGAGGCTCAAACTAATGAATTCATTAACTTTTTAAAAACCCGATTCAGTGTTTACATTTTTCCCATTATCACTGGAGGCTGAGCAGGTTTTGGGGAGCTTCTGCTCAGGCTGTGAGCACTCCGTGTCGGGGGAGTAAGCGTCAGGAGGAATAGCGTAATCGCTTTCTGAAGCCACAGAGGACAGAGACACACCTACAGGAACAGAGAACACGTCAAGTCAGCGTTTTGCCCAGGGCTGGTCCACACGCCGGCTCTGAGTTCTCCTAGGAAACCCAGCTACTCCTAGAGCACAAGCCTCCTTAGACCAGACTTTATCACATTCCCTTGGCCTTGAAGAACTTTTAAAGTAGAAAGAAAAACTAAGCAGAAGAAGCAACTCTCCAAGGAAGTCAAAGGAACACAAAAAAGTATTTTGGTGTGATTGCAACCTCAGCTATTTTTACACATATAAAATACATGTAATAGTCTACCACTATATCTTTTGTAAAGAATTAAAAATGTGTTTTTACATGCTGATATACAGGAAAAACAAATGTTGAATGGTAATTTATCAAGATTTTCACAATCACATTTTAAATAGCTTAATTTTTATAATCACTTAAAATTTTCTAAATTATTTTTTATGTTATTTAAAAGGCAGAGAGACAGACACAGAGACAGAAATCTTTCATGTGCTGACTCACTACCCAAATGCCCACAACAGCCTGGGTGAGGCCAGGCTAAACTGGAACTCAATCTGGGTCTCCCACGTGGGCAGCAGGGACTGAAGTACTTGGGCAATCATCTGCTACAGGGTGCATATTAGCAGGGAACTGGAATGGGAAGCAGCACCAGAACTCAAACTCAGGCACTCTGAGCTGGGATGTGGGTGTCCCAATGGCGTCTTAACTGTTATAGCAAATGCACGCCATTAATCACTTCTAAAGTAACCTCACCAAAAAACTTCACATGATTTCAGTATTTTTCATGTACATCCAATATACTACTAAATGGTTTATAGATGGTAAAAATCTCTCATAAAAGCAAGCAATAAGAGGCCAGCTCTGTGGTGTAGTGGGCCTCCACCTGTGGCACTGGCATCCCATATGGGCACTGGTTCATGTCCCTGACGCTCCTCTCCCGATCCAGCTCTGTTACGACCTGGGAAGGCAGTAGAAGATAGCCTGAGTGCTTGGGCCCCTGCACCCACATGGGAGACCCAGAGGCAGCTCCTGGCTTCTAGCTTCAGATAGGCTCAGCTCCGGCTGTTGCAGCCATTTGGGGAGCGATCCAGCAGATGGGGGACTTTTCTCTCTGTCTCTCCCTCTCTCTCTCTCTCTGCAACTCTGCCTCTCAAATAAATAAATATAATCTTTTAAAAAAGGAGGGGCAGTAACAAGATTTCAAGAGATAAACAACCTATTTCGTTTGCCAGTAACTATAAAGTAAGATTCAGTGGATTGCTCTCAATAATGCACTCACCTTTACAGAAAACTACTTACAAGTTGCAAGCCACTTTTGGAGCATTATTTAATATATTTGAAGATACTCAATAAAATTAAGGACTTAGGCCATTATTCATTACAGTATCCAGCAATTTTTAAAAAAATATTTATTTATTTGAAAGGCAGAGTTACAGAGAGGCAGAGGCAGAGAGAGAGAGAGAGAGAGAGAGGTCTTCCATCCTCTGGCTCACTCCCCAAATGGCTGCCACAACAGCAGCAGCTGAGCCAATCCAATGCCAGGAGCCTGGAGCTTCTTCCAGGTCTCCCACAGGCATGCAGGGGCCCAAGGACTTGGGCCATCTTCTACTGCTTTCTCAGGCCATAGCAGAGAGCTGGATCAGAAGCAGAGCATCCCGGACTAGAACTGGCACCCATAAAGGATGCTAGAACTGCAAGTGCTGGCTGGCTTTATCTGCGACACCACAGTGCCGGGCCTTCCAGCGATTTTTTTTTTTTTTTTTTTTTGACAGGCAGAGTGGACAGTGAGAGAGAGAGAGACAGAGAGAAAGGTCTTCCTTTGCCGTTGGTTCACCCTCCGGCGCACCACACTGATCTGTTGGCAGGAGCCAGGTACTTATCCTGGTCTCCCATGGGGTGCAGGGCCCAAGCACTTGGGCCATCCTCCACTGCACTCCCGGGCCACAGCAGAGAGCTGGCCTGGAAGAGGGGCAACCCGGACAGAATCCAGCGCCCCGACCGGGACTAGACCCCCGTGTGCCGGCGCTGCAAGGCGGAGAATTAGCCTAGTGAGCCCCAGCGATTTTTAAAAAGTGTTTTTTAATATTTAGAGTACCTACTAGGGCAATCGCACTCTTGTCATCCTATTTTTTAGTTGACTCAGATAAGTAGTGATTGTGATAATATCTTTATTCTTCATAGAATAACACAAGTTTAGATTTCCAAGGGACCTTAGAGATCATCCTCACTAATGTTCTCATTCTCCAGGGTGACTAAGGCCTAGCGATGAAAAGATCTATCCTAATACAAATAGTCAGGAAAGCACAATGTTGGAGTGCAAACCCTGGGCTCCCAGCCCCAGGGCCAGTGTATCACTCACTCTTAGGTACTAGGCATAGAGTCAACAGCATAAAAATCTCAGCCCTCTTAGAACATAGATTTTAATGGAGGGATATGGTTGACACAGGCAGTAAGTTCTAGGGAAAGATAAAACAGAAAGGGGATAAAAAGAACCGACAACAGAAGGGCCAAGGACTTCCATTTGAATGATGTAGTCTTGGTGGATCTTTAGAGAAAGCATTGTTGGAACAAAGTACTCTAGGAGTAGTACAGATACCCAGGGGAAGATAACCAAGTAAAGGAAGCAAAAGCACAATCTTAAAGAAAAAGAATGCCTGGCAAGTTTGAGGAACAGCAAGGATCCAATGAGTCAGAGCCGAGTAAAGGAAGAGGAAGGAGGTGGTGAAGTCAAAGACCAAAAAACCATGAAGCTCCTTATGGCGTCTGTGAGGAGCCACTGCAGTGTGTCGAGAGAAGTGACATGACCTGATTCTGATTGTAGGTGGGCAAGGGGAGAGTAAGGGGACCAGTGGAAGTCAACAATGTAAAATTAATGAAAGCGGAATAGTACAGTTTAAGCGGAGGGGTTTGGAAGTACCTAAGTGTTCTGTGGAACATAGTTTGAAAATCAACAGATATACCAGATATACTTTTGCTGTAACAAAAGCTTTTATAAACCATAGACTTATTGGGATTAGATTTCTCTGTAACCTCTATCTATGCACAGAATTCCTTCAAAATACACTTAAACTCATAGGAATGCCCAAAGTAAAGTTTGGGTCACTTTTCACTTTACTCTCATATTAACCAACATATTTATAGGTGTATTTTCTGCCATTTTACAGTATAACAAATTTAGTTTAAATATGCTATTTCAAATGGGTCATGGAAAAATAAAAGATAACTACATTTTGGTGTAAAAATATTTTAAAATCCATGCATAACTTTCTGTAAGACATAATTTCCATGACTTTGTTGGATAAGTCACTCTATCCCATAAATAATTCAAAATGCCACAAAGAAGCTATAAAAGAAAACTCCTCACCTTAGTCAATTATTTCACTACATTCCCACAACAAAGTGATCTCTCTCTGACAGATAAGTCTTAAAAAAAAAAAAAGAGTATGTGGTTTATCAGGAATCACAGAGAATTAAGAAGAGAATTAGGACTGAAATATAAACATCTCAATCCTAGGAAAGTGCTTGTCCTTTTTTAAAAAAAACATGTTGTTCCAATATTTTTATTTATTTATTTATTTTCATCTTATATCAGAGAGAGAGAGAGAGAGAGAGAGAGAGATCTTCCATTCACTGGTTCACTCCCTAAGTGTGCAACAGCCAGAGTTGAACTAGGGGAAGCCAGGAACTAGAACTCAATCCTGGTCTCCCATATGGGTAGCAGAGACACTGGTGTTCTTTCCTCTTCGATGACAATACTAAAAGCTATCACCGGGACGAAATTCCCAGTACATATTCTGAATGGTCAGCTGGCGCCGCGGCTCACTAGGCTAATCCTCCGCCTTGCGGCGCCGGCACACCGGGTTCTAGTCCTGGTCGGGGTGCCGGATTCTGTCCCGGTTGCCCCTCTTCCAGGCCAGCTCTCTGCTGTGGCCAGCGAGTGTAGTGGAGGATGGCCCAAGTGCTTGGGCCCCGCACCCCATGGGAGACCAAGAAAAGTACCTGGCTCCTGCCATCGGATCAGCGTGGTGCGCCAGCCGCAGCGCTGGCCGCGGTGGCCATTGGAGGGTGAACCAACGGCAAAGGAAGACCTTTCTCTCTGTCTCTCTCTCTCACTGTCCACTCTGCCTGTCAAATAAATAAATAAATAAATAAATCATATTCCGAATGTTAAGGAGTCGTCTCGCTTGCCTGTGATTTTCCCTCACCTCGTTTCATGGCTCTGGGGCTTCCCGGCCCACACCTACTGCGTGTGTCGGACTCCGATGTCCGGGAGCTGGATCTGGAGCTGTCTTCTTCCTCTGAGCCAGAGGAGTCATCCAGGAAAGGACTGCTACTGATTTGGGTCGCCTTCTAAAGAAAGACAGAACAACAGCTCTGTATCCATCTCTATAGTTACCTCTCTCTTTGGATGCAGAATGTTTTAAGTTACGGCATTTGACGTTTTCAAAGGAATACAACAACATAATAATTTGCCCTTATCAAAGTCATGTGGCTAAACTCCCAGTTCTAATTAGGGCATTTGTCAATTATCAGAGATTCCTGAAGACATAAGATAGTTAACATTTGACAATCCAAGGAAGCCTGACACCAATACAAAGATCTTGCTAACTTAGACGCTCTCATTCCACCATTAGCAACATGCTTCCTTTAAACAATTAACAGCCGTGAGAGCATGAGACACAACAAAAACAGACCCAGACTGCGAATACTCTGATAGGAATATGTATCTTCTCCAGATCTTTCCATTCCTTCTTTTTTATGATGTATTTATGTGAGCTTCTAAAACTCTCTGCAAAGGGAGACTCTTGTGTAAAGCATCCAGAACGGAATCTGGCATTGGAATAAACAGGCTTTTTGATCTATGATAAAGAGAACCACATGTTTAGCAGTAACAATGGTGAGTTACCCCCTTCAAAGTTGTGTACACTGGGGTTGTCATATTCTTGTATATCAGAGATGTATAAAGTCCCGATATGGTATAGGAAGGCACTGCAACAGAATCTGAAACAGAAAAAATTTTTAGAAAAGTCATCAAACTAGTACTTTGGTCTACTTCTTATAAATATGAATGGGGGAAATTTCCAATTACAGGGAAACTGGGTCAACACATGGGGTTGCTAGATATAAAGTCTATGAGTTATGGCACTTAGAGCCCTATTTACGTACTTTTTTTCATGGTTCATTATTTCCTCTTGGGTGCTAGTTCCTCAACTAGACTGTAAGCTCTCTGAGAGCACAAATCAGAGCTCTTACTTGTTTGATATCTCCATGCACACTTGCTCAGACTGGGCAGAACTAAGGCTAAAACAATCATTACCACCAGATTCAATGAGCAGTAATGATGGAAGATGACAGGAGGGGCTTCAAAACGTTCATGGAAATGGAGTGAAAAGATAATGTGAATTTTTCATTAACTTCCTGAAGCTCCCTCATGTTCTCTATTCTTGGCTGTATTAATGATTTGACATCTGAGCTTAAATGGTTAGAATATGACTGTCTGAGTCATAAGAATAGCAGAACATTGGAAAGGAATAGAACATCAATGGCTACCTCTAAGATATGAATAAATTGAACAGGGAGAGGGCTAGTGAAAGAAATGAAAAATTTATCTTTTTATTCCAGATAGTTTTTTTTTTCTTTTTAATTACAGATACACTGGTTGGCGCCGTGGCTCAAAAGGCTAATCCTCTGCCTTGTGGTGCCGGCACACCGGGTTCTAGTCCCGGTCGGGGCACCGGATTCTGTCCCGGTTGCCCCTCTTCCAGTCCAGCTCTCTGCTATGGCCCGGGAGTGCAGTGGAGGATGGCCCAAGTCCTTGGGCCCTGCACCCACATGGGAGACCAGGAGAAGCACCTGGCTCCTGGCTTCGGATCAGTGCGATGTGCAGGCCCGCAGTGCGCCGGCTGCGGCGGCCGTTGGAGGGTGAACCAACGGCAAAAGGAAGACCTTTCTCTCTGTCTCTCTCTCTCACTGTCTACTCTGCCTGTCAAAAAAAAAAATTACAGATACACATTGCTTCTATAATGATTTTTTTGGAAGAAAGGGAAATATGCTCTAAACTCTGGGGAAAAAAGACATAAATCTCAATATTTATATTATTTCAACTAGCTAAAACACCACAGTTTTTCTACTTAATCTTATTTACAGTAAAAAAAATCATGAAGTACTCTACTCTGAATGTATTTGTGCCCCTATACTAAGTAAGATGAAATTAAATGTTAAAATTGAAGCAATGTAAAAATAATTACCAATGACTTTTAACATTTAGTAAGTTCTTGGGTAGCAAAATAGCAATACAAAATCATTTACTGTTTTTAGAATTTTTTTATTGTGGTTAAAGAACATATAAAGTCAAATTTAGCATTTTCACCATTTGTAATTGTCAGTTCAGTAGTGTCTGCTATATTCACACTGCTGCAAGCAGACTCTAGAACATTTTCAGTTTGCAAATCTGAAACTCTAAAGCCCATCAAATAACAAATTCTCTTCTCAGCCTTCCCCCAGGCCCCGTGCTCCTTTCTGTTCCTATGAATCTGACCACTTCAGATACCTTGTTTAAATGGAAACATATAGAATTTGTCTTCGTGACCATATCACGTATTTGTATTATGTTATCACCCAGCATTATGTCGTTTCATCTATGTTACAAAATGCAAAAGCACTTACTTTTATTAACGTTCTCCATGTTGAAGGCCTCTGACATTCGAATGCCTGATTTAGCTACAGCATAAATTCTGCTTTCCTAATGTAAAAGAGAGAGTTGAACAGGGTATTTAAAGGAAAGACATGATTAGTTTCCATACACATGTTTTCCATTTGTTCTTCATTTACTATTCACTAGAGGATAGCATTATAATAAAACTGTCATCAGCGCCAACTAAAAGGTACTGCAGAGCCATATTCTGTTATTTATCTTTGTTCACAAATTTTTTGCTTGGTGTTTTACATTATTTTGGAGAGACAGGCAAAAAGTAAAAGGAAGCTTATTCACAATCACGGACTATACTTAAACATCACTCTAATATTCTACCATTTTAGAATTTGGTTCAAGAAAAAATATCTGAAGTCAGCAATCATAGAAGGAGTATTATTCAATGCCAAATAATAAATGAATTTGAGAATTATACTGGAATTTATAATATTATTCTTGTTCCAAATGTAGATTGTTTTGTTTCCTATTCTCTTCTAAATCAAGGTACCAGAAAGGCTGTTAGCCCTGTCCCCAAGGCCCCTGGATGCATGATCATTCTGTCTTGAATTTTGTAATGGGTGGAACATGGGCTCAGGTGATGGTACAGCGCATAGGGGACAACTGAGGCTGTGCTGTTCAGGCTAGCCAATGGCCTGAGAGGTAACTGGCACAAAATCTATAGATTGAGGAGTGGCTGACTTCATGGATTAGATGCAGTTTCTTTGAGCATATGATTGTGAGATACACACACACACATACACACAGAAAAACAGCAGAGTGGGCAGAACAGAAAGATATACTCAAATAAGGCAGTCAGCAGGTGATGTGAGGCAGTGAGAAGCCATGAGAAGGTGGGGGATGGTAGTTCATGGTGGGAGTAGTAGACAGAGAACCACTGACAGATGACAAGCAGAGCCCTGGAGCATGGGCGGTGGGTGTCACTTGTTTCTAAGGAGTTGACTATCAGAGGTGCCGCTGAATCATCATTGCTGTCCCATACGAGTAACTACAATATTTTGAATGATATTCCAGTTCAATAAGGATAGGTAATGCTTTAAACTCTTAATAATCCTTAAAATAGGGAATTGGCATTGTGGAATAGCGAGTTAAGCCAGACTGGCACCCTATGTCAGAGTGCAGGTTTGAGTCCCAGCTGCTCTGCTTCCTATCCAGCTCCCTACTAATGCACCTGGGAAAGCAATAGAATATTTCCTGAGTACTTGGGCCCCTGACATCCACATAGGAGACCTGGATGGAGTTCATGGCTCCTGGCTTTGGTCTGGCTCAGCCTATTGAATATGGCTATTTGGTGAGTGAACCAGAGATGGAAGATCTCTCTCTTTATCTCTGTCACTCTGCCTTTCAAATCAATAGAAAAAAAACTTAAAAAAAATTCTTAAAATAATTCATTAAAGTAACTAGAACATATCTCTTCCTTGAAAGCAGAAATGACCTAACACACACAGAAATAAGACCTCAAACTTGGTTAATCCTGGAAGGATTTTGAAAAGCAATCCTTGTTCTGCTTTTTCAGGACTGAATAGCTTCAAGAGAGATGTGAGAAAGGAGGAAAAAAATGTAGGAAAATGGTTTAACAAATAAAATGAACTTGAAAGCCTAACCTAAAGCTCTGAGAAATGCCAGCATAATAGAAGAAGCAAAATTTCAACATCCCACTGCCTAAAGGGTAACATGTTTGGGATTTCAGAGACTTCACATGTCGTTAACTTCCATTTTTTTGTGCCATCCAAGAATTTAGCAATATACTATAGGTAGTTTCATGTGGATACAGAAATAAAATGTTTTCTTGAAAGCAATTAAGTGCAGATAAATCTCTAGGGCCTGAATTTATATTAGGAAAATATAGCTGCCCTAATTAATTTAAAATTTCTTTGGTCACTAAATTAAAAAAAAATTAGTAAAAAAGAACATGAATCTACAAACTAAAAAGTCCAGTAATCCAGATGTTTCTCTGGAGGCCAAAGGTTAAATTATGCCACTAGGAAAAGGAAAATTGATTTATAAAACAGTTCATTCTACTTTGTCCAATATAGGAAGAATCTTTTCATTCCAGTGATGCAAATATTCCTAAGAATCACACAACTGATAGATTAATTACTGTCATAATGGTCAGTGTTTCCATGGAAGAAGGTTCAATTTATGCTAGATCCATAGGAAAAAACTTTTGTTAAGGCAACGGATCTTCTTCTCCACCCCTGATGTTTCTTTCCAAATAAAGGGAGCTCCAGTAACTGAACACTCCAGTTTTTCTCCACCCATTCACTTGTTCCTCTCCAAGACAGTAGCAAACTGTGACTGGTAAGTTTAGCAGGTGGATCTGGGTATGCAGAGCCCCGTACCTTCCTCTCTCTTTCTTGAGAGGTGTCTGCCTTCAACAAGCACCTGTTCTATTTCTCCAAGTAGTTAAGTCTTAGAGGGGCCCCACCTCCCTGGAAGAGGCCACGGGTAGTCCAGTGCTGCCTGGGCCTGCATGAACAAATCTAGCTAATTCCGAAGTTCAGTGCTGGAAAGCTCATCTGTCCACCAATTCTCTAAAATGAGTTAGCAGTAAATAAGGTAATATTGTGATCTCCCATCCATGTGTTTTTCTATTGATTCAGAACTCAGTGGGATAAGGAGATTGTATTTGAAAACTGGAAATCGTCAGAACAAAGCTAGATTTGGAAAGAAACGGGAAAAATAGGATGAAACGTGAAAATGAATAGTTCTGGGGGAAGACTCCTGTGCATGTGTTACCCACAATGACATAATTACCCAGGAGGGGAAGCGGTGCAGGGGAGGAGTCGGAGGTTTGCTGCCTGCAGCTTTCTTGGTTGAGTCACAAGTTTCCTGATCATCTGAACACGGAGATTCCAGAGAGTCGTTGGAAAATAACCCATCATCACAACTGGTATCCATTTGCTCTAAAACTTCTGTGCTGTCACCATCAACTAGATCGAGATCAGTTTCCTGAGGTTTCAGCGGACGTATCATGCTTATAGCATTTCTGTTGGTACCAAACATCCTGTCGGAACTTAACTGAGGCTGGCTTAAGTGCCTTTTGGCTAGCGCTACACTTATACTGAAAACATTAGGAAGCCTTAACCGCGGGGGTGGCAGGTGGGATGAAGGTACCAACTGTGTTCCTTTTCCAGGGAGTGAGTTAGGATGCTTTGGAGTTAAAGCTGGAGTCAAAATAGGGCTTGGGGTGTTGGCCTCACTGGACGAAGATGAATAATCCAGTCTCTGAGATTGAAATTTTTTATTCAGTTCATCTGAGGAGCTGTCTTGCTCCCTTTTACTTGATTCAGAATTTCTCTTTCCCAGATGACTATTCTGAGCTTTCCACTGGGCCTCCTGTTGCCAAGAATACAGCTTCCTGTGTTCTGGCCTCTTGATGCCGAAAGTCTCCTCTTCAAATATGGAACTGCTCTCGTCAGACGCTGTCAGGTACGTCTCACTCCCCATCCTGCTGCACTGGGCCCCTTCCTCTGACGTGTGACTGGACAGGGTCGACGCGCACCTGGACTTGGACCTCCCCTTGCTTCCGTCTTCCTCATCAGAACTCCAGTCGCTCACGTGAGGCCCCGAATTCTGGGACAGGCCACCATCAGCAGCAAAGCTTGTCCTTGTTTTCCGATTCTGCTCTGAACCACACGGGGTTTGATGCAGTGTTCTCTGGCCTCTGTTGCTTTCTGGAACTTGATTATCAATAGGCTTTTCTGGGATTTCCATTTCTAGGAAAAGGATATATCATTTCAGCTTGTTGTCTTTCATCATATAATTTTTCTGTACATTCAGCGTTAGATAACTGTGTTGTAGAAACTGACAACTTCATAGAAATAAACTCAACTTCACATTACCCTTTCTAAGTTTTAAGTCTTTTTAAGACAGAATACAATAAGCTTTATGAAAAACACAGTGCTTTAGCACTTCAATATAAGAATAGTATCAAAATTCAATTGCTTTTTACAAAAAAGAAACGGTAAAAAACCTGACAATATAATCAGATAAAATGAAAGCAAAATGTGAAACAGGACAACTTTGACTGTTGGAGAAAGCAGCCAACAACAACAACAACAACAACAAACCACTAATTCTATTTTAGAAGCAAAGAAAATGACATTCATAAAGTAAATTGAAGCACAATAAATACAAAGCTAAAATTTAAGAAACAAATTTCCCAAACTTCAATATATGAATCTTGCAAATTCATGAAGAAAACAGAGAAAAGCTTTTTTTGCTGTACTTTTGGTTTAATCACAGCTACAAAATGTGTTTCAAAATAAGAATAACATTATCTTTAGATATAGCTTGTTTTTAAAATAATTAATAGAATGGCTTCATAAACAACTATTTAAAACTTTAGACTGAAAAAGTAGAAAAGAAACTGTGAGGGGCTGGCATTGTGGCATAGCAAGTTAAACTACTTTGTGTCCCGGCCACTTCACTTCCAATACAGTTCCCTGCTAATGTGCCCAGGAAGGCAGCAGAAAACGCATCAAGCACCTGGGCCCTTGCCACCCACATGGGAGACTCAGATGAAGCTCCAGGCTCCTGGCTTCTGCCTGGCCCCATTCTGGTCATTGCAGCCATCTGAGAAGTGAACCAGAGGATGGAAGATCTCTCTCTCTCCCTCTCTCTCCCTCTTTTTCTCTCTGCCTTTTGAATAAATCAAGAAAACTTTAAAAAAAAAAAGTAAAGAAACTATGAAAACATAGATATTATTTTCATAGTTAAGAAAACCAAATACATGCAAGTGAGCAAACGCAGTTCAGGCAACTTTAGCTGCACTCAACTGCTTATCAGAAAGTGTGAAGCATGAGAGTATTTTAGCCACGGAAAGCCAAGACACTCTGGAAAAAAAAAAAAAAAAAGAGGACCTAAATGAAAGATCTCTGCAAGTGAGATCCCAGTAGAAAGAATGGGCCATCAAAGAAGGAGGTACCTTTCTCTGAAGGGAAGAGAGAACTTCCACTTTGACTATGGCCTTGTCTAAATAAGATTGAAGTTGGCGAACTCAAAAGGCTTCCATAGCCTTGGAAACTCATGACTAGAGCCTAGGGAGATTTCTGACGCCATAAACAAGAGAGTCAAATTGTTAAGTCAGCAACAGGAGTCACTGTGTACTTACTCCTCATGTGGGATCTCTGTCCTTAGTGTGTTGTCCAATGTGAAGTAATGCTATAACTAGTACTGAAACAGTATTTTACAATTTATGTTCTGTGTGGGTGCAAACTGATGAAATCTTTACTTAATATATACTAAATTGATCTTCTGTATATAAAGATATTTGAAAATGAATCTTGATGTGAATGGAATGGGAGAGGGAGTGGGAGATGGGAGGGGTGCGGGTGGGAGGGAAATATGGGGGGGGGGAAGCCATTGTAATCCATAAACTGTACTTTGGAAATTTATATTTACTAAATAAAAGTTTAAAAAAAAAAAGAAAGTGTGAAGGCAATGAAAATGGCTTCTCAAAAAAGAAAAGAAAAAGCAAGAATAGCATGAAAGCAAATAGCAAAGGAATCTTCTGACTGGAGAAATGTTATGTCGTTTTCAGAAAACTACATAACAGAAAGCAAGCTTTGAGGGCTATAATTTTTCTCCTTGGGAGGAAGGAAGCTGGAACTGAAAATAGAGAAAAGGAAAACTCAAGAGCCTCTAAAACATTTGGGAAAAGTCAACAAAAGAGATTGCATTGGAGGTGGTAAAGTCAGAGCTACACCACAAATCAAAATTTAGAGCCAGTTAAGACTAAAAGAAGGAAGGTAAAAACAGCATTTGAAACTAAAAGAATAGAAATATGCACACAGGACCAGAGCTTACATGACTAAGCAAAAAGTTTCTATGCCATATTCAATTTTATGTTTAATATTAGGTAAACTTTTATATTCTAAATAAATAATAGATAGATGATTCACAGTTTTGTTCTGAAACTCAGCTATGGCATGTATCTTGTAGGTAGAACCATAAACATTTTAATTTAAAATATCACTTTCAGGGCCGGCACTGTGGCGTAGCTGGTAAAGCCACTGCCTGCAGTGCCGGCATCCCATAGGGCACCGTTTTGAGTCCTGGCTGCTCCACTTCTGATCCAGCTCTCTGCTATGGCCTAGGAAAGCAGTGGAAGATGGCCCAACTCCTTGGGTGCCTGAACCCACATGGGAGACCTGGAAAAAGCTCCTGGCTCCTGGCTTCAGATTGGCTCAGCTCTGGCCGTCGCAGCATCTGGGGAATGAACCAGCAGATGGACGATCTCTCTCTCTCTCGCTCTCTCTCTCTCTCTCTGCCTCTCCTTCTCTCTCTGTGTGAGTCTGACTTTCAAATAAATAAATAAATAAATCTTTAAAAAAATACCACTTTCACCTATTGCAGGAAAACATATGAAGACGAGAAAAATCAGTTTCTCCTATGCATCAGTGGCAAAGACTCTCAGAAAACACAAAGGTAGCAGACAAAGTTAAATGCTATATTACTGTTCAGAAAATATTCTCATAGAACATCACATTGTTGGGAAAAAGGAAATTTAAGCTATATTTGGTTTAACCATAGCAAATGATTTTTTCCTTTTTAAAAGCATGCTACATTTCAAAACATTCCTATAGTCCACAAGTACCTTCTACCTCCTTTCCGTCAATGAACTCAGGTTCTTTAGATGATATCTTGCTCATTTCCTCAGATTTTACGACTTGAGGAGGACTCCTTGCTCGGGACGAAAAGCACCCAAAGGTCAAACTGCTCAGGCGTTGGCCTTCCGAAAGTTTTGTTGTGGAGGCAGTGGATGACTTCTTCCCTTGAATTTCTGCAAGGCCATTACTCAAAATTAATATTTCTTTCAACTCATAAAAGCAGTCTTTTTTTATGTATTTGACAAAAAGCAGTCTTTTAAACACAGAACCAAAGCAAACAAAAACTGATGGTAAAATCATATCACTCATTATGCCAGAAAAAAGCCTAAAGATCATGTCTATTTATGTAAAGTAATAGGGCCCCTTCAATGTCAAGCATCATATGTCTACATTTAAAATATTTCATATAGTTTTAGTGTTCAAAATATTTTTAACTGAAGAGAGAAAAATATTGAATCCCTTTAACAGTAATTAGCTCTCAAATGAAAACAAAAAATACAAAAACAGTTTGTAAATAGCTAGAGTTAGTTTTTTGAAAAGTCATATATTGGTAAGTATCCATGGAGACTGATAAGATGTATGCAGTAATATCGCTAACTGTGAGAAACATGGGACTGAGGTCTAGATTACCAAAACAACCCGAGGAAATTTAGATTGTCATTGGGGCCAATATCATACGATCGCTGTGATGACTTTTGTCTATACTGGTTTTCAGTAGTGAAAAGGCCCATGAAGGGGATCAGTCTATGGTGACCACAATGTAGACCACTTTAGTTACTTCTTTAGAGGGAAAAACGTGCAGATACAGAAATTAGATTTCTAGTGGAGTAATTAGAACAGCACCTAATGAATGGTTTAATTTATTTCTAAGACTTTCAACATTGCTTCTTATAAAATCAAAAGCATGGGGGCCAGCATAGTGGTGCAGGGGGTTAAGTCATTGCCTGCAATGCCAGTATTCCATTCTGGAACTCTGGTAAAAGTCCCAGCTGCTCTGCTTCTGATCCACTCCTTATAAATGCACCTGGGAAAGCAGCAGAGATGGCCCAAGTAGTTAGGCCCCTGCCACCCACATGGGAGACACAGATGGATTTCCTGGCTCTGCCTAGGCCATTGCAACCATTTGGGAAGTGAACCAGCAGCTGGAAGATAACAATAATATAGTAATATATCCATAATTGTATCTTGAAGATACCAAAAATAAATAGTAAAATCTCATATAGCCAAATAAACCTAAGCTATTTTAGTCAAAATATTCGTACCTTGTAGTTTTAACTGCATTGTTCTTATCTCTTCAGTTTGGTTTTGGTTGATCAAACGAAGATTCTGATTCTCTAATTCCAGCTAAAAGAACATAATGGTATTCTTTTACACAGGGACAGAATTTCTAAAATGTAATACATTATAATGTCCATCCTAATTCTTCTATACATAAGCAAAACAAAAATAAAATGATATGCAAATATCAGATGAACTTATCAGCATAGGTGATCAACTTAGATAACTGACATCAATATTTAATTTTTTATAACTAAGAGTTCCAAATGCCTTTCTCATTTTAAAATTACATTTAAACAAACTATCCCAATAATTAATCTACTATATAATGTTTATATTTAATAAAAATTAATAGTAAAATAGCTCCTCAGATATCAGATAAATTAATTAAGAACTATACATATAGTCTGTAATCACTTAAAACTAATTAGTACTAAAAGTAATTTGAGAAAGGCTATTTATACTGATCATCATGAGTATACCAGGATTTTTAATTTTTCAAATGCACTAGGTGTTAAAAGGAAAGCTATCTATCCCAAGTATACAAAATGATAGCAGAACCACTAACAAATCAGAATTTTGTGTTTCAGTCAGAACTACCACATAGTCTGATGATTTCACAAAAGAAATGAAAGGTAAAGAAAAAGATAGCAATAAATACCTCATTTAACTTAACTGTTACCCATTCTTTGATCTTAGCTGCTTTCTCTTCTATTATTTTAGCTTCTTGTATTCTTATTTGTTTCTGAAATAACATTAGCAATTTAATTCAAACAGAAATTCAGTGGTCTGGAAATGTTAAATCAAAAGTATATAAGGCAAATCCACTTATAATGTTCCCGAGTTAATAGATTTAATCCACCAAATGGATTTTAAAGAGAGAAAAAATTATCCAGCAGATACAGTATAAATAATACAGGCATATGCAAGAATTACTAGTTTTAACAACTACTATTCTCCTTCTCTTAAAGGTCAGACATTGAAATCAATCTACTGAATTTACCAAGAAAATAAACCATTTCTAGAAATGGTCTAGGGTTCAGAACAGTTGAATAGGGGTAGCCAGGTTAGGAGAGGAGACTGAGAATCGCCTCAGGAGCATGACTTTTGACCCCTTAAATACTGGTCTTTAAACATCCAGGAGGGGCCAATGTTGTAGCACAGCAGGTCAAGTTGCCATCTGAGACACCAACATCCTATATGGCAGTGCTGGTTTGAGTTTTAGCTGCTCTATTCTAATCCAGCTTCCTGCTAATGTGCATGGGAACTGGCTCCTGGCTTCTGCATGGCCCTTATCTGGCTGTTGCAACCATTTTGGGATTGAGCCAGTGGACAGAAGATCTCTCTGTCTCTATCTCTCCCTCTTTCTCTCTCTCTCTGTTACTCTTTCAAATAAATAAATTTTTTAAAAAAGATACAGACAAAAATAAAAATGAAAAACTAGCTCACATTTAACCATCTTAAAATCTGGTTATAAGCATAAAACTACTAAGATTGTGACTACCATATACATCACAATGCAGGAAGTACTGGAGGTGGTAGAGAACTGAAATACACTGACCTAAAGAAACACTGACATTCCCCTTCCAGGAAAATGAAAAAAAAAAAATCGTTGAAAATAAACTATTTAACTTATTTAACAAATCAATTTTATAGTGGTCATAATTAAATTATGTTAACTATTTACGTTAATAACCCCAATGCAACTTCTTCCAAATTAAACTGTAAAATAAACTAAATTCTACACTTGATCCCAAATAGCTTAAAAACTGAGTACACATTTCTCAGCAAAAGAATTAGCATCAAACATAAATATTGAAAATACAATGTTCTATAAACATCTCCAACACCCTCACAATCTAAAGCAAATTCAGCCATAAACATTTTATGGACATAGACGCTTGCTGATAACCAGAAGTTTCTAACATAAACCTAATTTGAATGTTAAGGAGCACTGTCACATTTTACCTTGGAATCACCCCAGACTTCAAGTAAATGCCATTTTACTAGCATGATACAATTCTACGGGTTGACCAAATAAGTAAGAATTTCTCCTATAAATTTAGAAATTTATGCTCTCTCTTTTTAATCTTTGTGTTTATGCACAAAGGAGTACACACAGAACTCTTTCATGATCAAATTCTTCCCAACCTGCTCATCGAGTTGCAGTTCCAAGTTTTGAATGATGTCATCTTTTTCCTGTATTACAGACTCCAGATCTTGACACTTTTTATATAACCTTGTCTCTGATTCACTGGTTTGAATATTAGCTGCTTTTAATTTCTCTTCCATAACTTGTACCTAAGTTCAGAGGATAAAAGTATTTAACATCATAGAATTAAATTTAGAATTTTACTTTAACTTTATACAGATTCCTAAAAGGTATCAAAATAGAAGGAAAGTACAACAAGATGCAAAATGCATTTAAGAATGATCAAATAAGATTGTTTCTCCAAATGGTCTTACCTTTGCAACATATGGGGTACATAAGAGGTTCTCAGAAAATTGGCATCATATAAAGTAATGGACATGTTTATTAGAGCAACAATAATATGCAAGATGTTTCTACAAGTATAGAAACAGAAATCTTTAGGTCTTTATTTTTTTCATATTTTAAACAAAGTAGGAATATAAAGTAGAGAAGATGGGTGATGACATAAGACTTATAATAGATGACCTGGTACAATAACACATTTCAGGAGGGAATGAAGAGAATCACATACCCAATGGAAAGGAAAAAGAAAACAAAAGAACCTGAAAGCCCCAAAGGATAAGACTCATAAAAAAATAAGAAGAATGAGAGTCTAGATGCAGTAAGACAGTGTGTGCTATGAGCCCTCATTGATTCATTCAATTAACAAATATTCACTGACTACTTGCCAATTGCCAGCCCAATTCCAGGCCTTAAGGAGGCACCAATGAATAACAAACCCAATAATCTCTGCTCACATAGAAATTACATTCCAGCGTGTGAAAGAGATTACAAATATAATAAACATGTAAAAATGCTACAGGACATTACACAGGTGATAAGAGTAATGAGGGCCGGCGCCGCAGCTCACTAGGCTAATCCTCCGCCTTGCAGCGCCGGCACACCGGGTTCTAGTCCCGGTCGGGGCGCCAGATTCTGTCCCGGTTGCCCCTCTTCCAGGCCAGCTCTCTGCTGTGGCCAGGGGGTGCAGTGGAGGATGGCCCAAGTGCTTGGGCCCTGCACCCCATGGGAGACCAGGATAAGTACCTGGCTCCTGCCATCAGATCAGCGCGGTGCGCCAGCCACAGTGTGCCGACCGCGGCGGCCATTGGAGCAAAGGAAGACCTTTCTCTCTGTCTCTCTCTCACTGTCCACTTCTGCGCTGTCAAACATCTGACTATAACAAAACCAAACACAAACAACAAAAAAAAAATCGAGAGAGAGTAATGGGAAAAAGTAGAGCAGGGTAAAAGAGCTCAGGTGTGTGGCTGGAGGTGGAGGGATGTCTCAATTTTAATATCCAGGATGGAGCAGCTCTGCTTGGAGCTTCTGCAAAGCACATTGGAGCATATAAAATCTTGGAAGGGACTTCTTATAAGTGGACTTATAAGTCCACTCAATTCATAGTGAAATTTAGATTATATTGTTACCATTTTTCAGTTCTCATTTTTCTCTCACCTTTCTTCAAATCGCAAACCTGATCCTTGGTTATAATTGGTCTAGTGGACTGGAAGCCTCAGCAGAGACTTCATGAGAAGAACCAAATTAGGAAGGCATGAGATGTCGATGTCAGTAAGAAAATATGGAGTCTGTGTACTACTAGGCTTTGGGGCCAGCACTGTGGCATGGCAGGTAAAGCTGCTGCCTGCAACACCAGCATCCCATACGGGTGCTGGTTCAGTCCTAGCTGCTGCACTTCCAAACCAATTCCTTGCTAACAGCCTGGGAAAAGCAGAAAAAGATGGCCCAAGTGTCTGGGCCCCTGCCATCCACATGAGAGACCCAGATGAAGCTTCTGGCTTTGGCCTGGCCCAGCCTTGCCATTGCAACTACCTGGGGAGTGAACCAGTGGATGGAAGGTCTCTCTCTCTCTGCAACACTGACTTTCAAATAAATAAACAAATCTTAAAAAAAAAAAAAAGTGAGACTTTTATTCCAAATACTCTAAATAGGAAGAATATAATTTTAGTAATGGTTTAGGTTATGGGGCAAAGAAAAAAATATGAAAGCATTTGAGAAATTAAAGATGAAAAAAATTTAAACTATTAAAAATACCTCTGAAAAATTCAAATAATCCCTTATAGTTCAAAATATTTGACTAATGAGGGGGCTTTCAGAAGGAAGCTGTAAAGGTGAGTTTGGTTATACTTCTTTTTTTTTACCATGAATACCAGGTTTCATCTGTGGGTTCACTGTACAAATGCAAATTCAACTCAGAAGCCAAATTGGTTCTATTTAAATACCACTCACACAGCTGGAAACTACTAAAATAAAAGCAAATTCCCCCTCCCCCCCAAAAAAAGGACAAATGTATTCCACTATCCATTTTGCATTAGCTCATGGACATAGATCTGCATCAAAGATACTGTCATGGAAAACAACCCAAGCAGGACAGACAGCTGGAGAACAAGTAGCAAAGGCCGTCTGAAGTTGGAGTCAGCTGATGCACACAGGGCATCTGAAGCTGGGGAAGCTAGCAGAGAACAAAGCCCAAGTCCCACTTAGTCATTCTCCTTTGGGGACACAGTAACAGAACATAAACCTCAGGAAAACAGATGTAGCTGAATAAGAGCAGAAATAAATATTACCAGACCTACACCTGCAGTCTCCTGTTATGAAGTCACCGCAAGCCACCCTACTGGGTTACCATATAAAACTGTCCTGTTACTTTTTGGGAAAGGCCTATAATCCTAGAAAACTATGATTTGGAACTATTCTTTTTTCCCTGAAAAACGTGTTTAATTGGAAAGTTGTTCTCCCTCTCTGAATGAATGCTATAGAGCTCTTTGAATGCATTTTTACCATCTGACCCTTTTTCCATTTGACCATGACTTTTGCACAAACGAATTTCCCAGGCAAGAAAAATATTTCTAACCTCATCCCTCCCTCCCCACTGCAGGTAATCCAGATGGGACTCTGTGTTTTGAGTGCCGGTTAAAGGTTTCTATTTCTAAAAATAAGTTACAATAGCATGACAAAGATTCCTGATTGTCCCCAACTGAAAGGAAGAAAGGAGTTAAGAATATTTTGGGGCAGGCGCTGTGGCACAGTGCAATAACGCCCTGGCCTGAAGCACGTTACAGGTGACGGTTCGAGACCTGGCTGCTCCACTTCGGATCCAGCTCTCCGCTATGGCCTGGGAAAGCAGTGGAGGATGATCCAAGTCCTTGGGCCCCTGCACCGACGTGGGAGACCTGGAAGAAGCTCCTGACTCCTGGCTTCGGATCGGCGCAGCTCCGGCCATTGCAGCCATTTGGGGAGTGAACCAGCAGATGGAAGACCTCTCTCTCCTCTCTCTATGTAACTCCAACTTTCAAATAAATTAATAAATCTTTTAAAAAAGAATATTTTGAATCCCAAACTATTTGGGGAAAGTGACAAAATCTCTTAGGGAAAGTAGCCACAGGCAACCTACTTACTAACTGTTCCTGGTAGGACCAAGTTCCACAGGATTCACCAGTTTTCCTTGGTAATTAGCAAGAATAAGAGGTCTACAGAAAAGCTGGGAGGCCTACAGAAAAGCCAGTAGCCTTTTAAATATCTCACCACAACCACTTGGAAAATAGCCCAGTTCCTTTTCCATTCATTTAACCTGCGCCATGTAAGAATTTTAACTCCTGAGAGATGGGCCAATAACAAACATCTGTGAATTCAAATTGACTTAAATAAACTTTTGCAATTATCTATACACGGATCCCCTCCAGGGAGGAAGCTTCATGTTTTGCACCTCCTTTTCCCCTTTACTTCTGGGAGAGCCCTTCTCGTTACACCTGCACACTCAGCAAACTCCTCAGCCATTTCCCAAAAACCTTTTTGATCCAGAGGTTCCCAAGATCCTATTCAGCAAAAGGTTAACTCAGCAGTCTTGAGGTGCTTGCATCCTGCACATTTCCAAAGAAAGGACTGGATCTTGAACTGCTCCTGAGAGACCGCCACTGAGCCACCAGAATATCAGATGGACACCTGAGGTGTTGAGTCACGCAGAAAGTTAACACTGACAAAGTGATTACGGTGAACGCTTGTTTCTGTTCACCTGAGGCCCTGGGCCATGCTGGATCAGTTTGACTGCTGGGGGTCTGGGGACTGAGTAACTAAGGTCAGCCTTGTGGGTACTCCAGGCCTATATTTCTGGCCCCCAATAAAAATCCTGGATCCCAGGGCCCAGGTGCGCATCCATGCTTGGCAATACGTCCTACGTGTTGTCACACATCATTGATGGGAGGAGTAAGCAGAGCCTCCTACAACTCTTCTGCAAGAAGACAACTGGAGGCTCCTTCCTGATTTCTCCTGGATACTGTCCTATGTACCTCTTGCCTTTGCTGATGTTAATGTGCCTTTTCACTGTAATCAACCACAACCAAGAAGATAGAAGCTTTTCTATGGCCTGTGAGTCCTTTCAGCAAGTCATGGTCTCCAGGCTCCAGACACCGCTTCCAGTGCTATTTTTCATGATCCTGCCCAAACTGGAGAAAGCAGGAACTGCAAATATTACTGCCATGGTAATTATCCATATTGCTATTTCCTTCCTCCCACTTCTAACCTCATCCCTCCCTCCCTTGGTTACTAGAAGTAACCAAGACACGCTTATTTTTGAGTGAGGGTTGAAAGTTTCTGTTTTTCTATATAAGTTGCAATGGCATGACTAAGATTCCTGATTGCTCCCAACTAAAATGAAGAAATGAATAATTAGGAATATTTTGAATCCCAAACTACTTTCCAGTTACTTGAAATTTATTGCAAATCAGTTAATCACTCTAATCACATTTTAACACAAATATTTTGTGTATGAAGTAGGATCCTTCTTGGTGAAGGCAAAAATATAAAATCTCTAAGTAAATTTGCTTTCCATGTAATGAAGGCAGGCTTCATATAGAAAATCATTACAAAGCCTGGAATTAGGATGATGAGCAGTAACAATTTATTAGGAATCAAAACTGACTTCAATACTAACAACCAACTTTACAGAAATACAGAAAGGAAGACTAGTCCACATATTAGTATGGGCAGAGAGAACTTTATTTTTTTTTAAAGATTTATTTTATTTATTCGAAAGACAGAGTTACAGAGAGAGGTAGAGATGGTGGTGGTGGTGGTGGGGTCTTCCATCCAC